ATGGAGCCTGGATTAATTAATATACCTTTTTTGGTCAAGCTTAATAAATATGGTCTCAGTGGAATATTCTTTTTGCCCTTTTTCCAAATTAACGATGGCGTGGCTGCAGCCTGCAGGGAATCCATCGATGGAGCTCACCGCGGAAAGTTCAGGAATCCATCGAAACTATTCCCATCGACCACGCTCATGAATAAAAAAATAAAAAATATAACTATTAATCTTTATAATTTTATTGTATTTTATTATTAATTCTTATATATTCTTTAATGTTCTAAGTCGTTATAGATTTTTTTTTCATTTGCAATGTTAATTACTTTATTTTTAAATAAGGACAATCACATTTAAGGATTACTTGAAGGAATTACTCACAATCAATGATCAATGTGAAGTGAATTATTGTTAAAATAAAAACATGAATTATTTTTTATCAAATAGAATTTGTTATTTGTTATTGTCTGTAAATAATTTACTTAAGTGATTTTTAATTATTTTCCTTTTTAAATATGATCAGGGAAACGATGATGCAATACAAAGGGTATTAAATTAGAACATTTTATGTATAGGGTACAAGGCCTAACCTGCCATGACTGGAGAACATTTTTCAACATTGATAAGTGATGTTGTCAAAATTTCTTTTTTTAAATTTTCCAAATTCAAATTGCCAATTCACTATATTTTAAACATGTTAGCATCTTTGTTAACATTATTAGTTATACACATTAGATAATTTTATATTGTTATAATTGCTTCACCATCATCTCTCTAGACAAATTTAAAAATAGAAGGACTAACGTTACAAACGGGATCACTAGTTATGTTTTTTTGGTAAATAAAGTAAAACTTAAAGCTTGTTGATTTTTTAAAAAACTAGCTCGAGTAAATGTTTTGAATTTAGTTATTTATAAAATTGTTCTTTTTTTATTATTTATATGTATCATTTTATTAGAAATAATCTTGTTCAATGCATTCTTAAGCACCGACCATGAGTTTCTTTTTCAGTAGAGATTTGAACATTAATTTACCATGTTATAAAGGATTAACTACTTCTGTTGAACACAATCTCTTGTTGGATGTTCTATTTTTTTCTTAAACAAAATAATAAAAAACTTTAAAACTAGTTTTGTTTTATTTTTATTGTTTTCAAATACAGTATACTTGATTATAAAAAATCATAAGCCACCATTATTAACTATTGGTGATCATTGTTGTTGACCGATTTTTTAATTTTAAAATTAATACAATCAATTTTTTTCATTTTATTTTGAAAAAATTTAAAATTGTTCTAATACAATCTTTAAAATTATTTTTTAAAATAAAATAAAAATAAAATTCATTTGGTTGTATTAATTTAAAATCAATCTTAAAATTTAAAAATTAATCAATAGTGATGACGATTGACGGTTAATAGTGATAATAATTTATTAACGGATTGTGATTTTCATTGACCAAATATAATAATATGTTTTATAAACAAGAAATATAAAATGTAAATAATTTTAAGATATTTATATTTGAAAATAAAAAGATATCACAATTTCTGAAAATTTTAAAATCAAGCCACTCATTCAAAAGTTTTTTTTAAAAAAATATTTTTAAGAGTAAAAAAAAAACAACGTAAAATTATAAGGATTAAAGTTATTTTTTAAAGTTAAAAAACTAATATTTTAAGTAGTTAAAATTCTATAATTGAATTGAACCAAGTCATAATGTATAGACTAATTAAATCAAAATTAAATTAAATTATATTAAATTAAAATTTAAGTACAGAATTATATGGAGTTAAAGTGATTATATGATTAACTTTCTCATCGTGGGTAAAAAAATTAATTGAAAAAAGGGAAAGAATAATGGAAATATAAAATATTAAAGGTAGCAATGAGGTGAAGTGGAGAGAAACCTTTTGAATGCAACCCAATCACCTTTATCCACCCGCGAAGAATTGATTCGCTTTCTTTCTCTGTGCCGGGTACGCGTCCTTCCAAGATCCAAGATCATAATCAATCCCATGTGGGCTCCTGGCAAAGTCATAACGAATCTTCCACACCAAAACAAAGAAAGGTGGTAACAACCCCCTCATCTCTATCTCAATCCTTTTCAATCCCCAATTATTTCCCGCTAAAATATTAAAATCACATCCAATGAAGACAAATAGATAAAGCTTGCCTGAGTCTGAGTTTTGCCCTTTTGATTTGAATTTGTTCATTAATTTCTTACCGGGCAAAATGCACAGATTACCTTTTATTAATTGATATGGCTGTGATTGCTGAAATTGATACATCAGGTGGCACGTCACCTAATAACTTCGCATGAGGATGTGTGGCCTTTTATCGTGATTTACGCCGAAAAAGCACATACTTCGGCTCGGTTTACGATAAGTTTGATCTGTTACGTACTACTCAGTCAAATACAAACAAATACGGACTACAACTATTTCCCAGTGTTTAGAGTTACGGCTTGTTTGCGTTTGTTTTCATTTTTTTAATATTATTTTTCAAGACAGACCAATGAATGCCCATTTAACTATATTAATTTTAAAATTAAAAAAGGGCCAATAGTAATAGAATATTAAAAAAAAAATCATTGGACATGGTCCTCCAATAGCGTAAAATGAAACAAAAAAAAATGTATAACTTTCCATAAATTTTTTTTTATACATTTATGACCAATCATAACAACATTGATCATTAAGTTGTGGATATAAAATTTATTAATTTAGTCACAAACGTATTAAAAAAACAATTCAATGGATACTAGCACATTTTTTCTTGCTTAAATGACCTAACCAATAATTCCTTTGATATTTTTGCCCATTTTTCCTTTTAAAATATGACTGATATATAAAACCAATATAGTACAATGTACTTGCTTGTTTTTTAATATTAGCATAATTGCTTTTTAATAAATAATCACCAGTGCTGTTATAGCTGTAATTTCTATTATTCATTAACTTGCGCATAGTCTATGACTTAAAGCAGAGTATGACTGATTTTATTCTCCCCAAACAAGTATCACATAGGCTTAAGCATACTTTTATTTCCTTAATTTTGTGTGAAAATTTTATTTTAATTCTTAAATTGTTTGAAATATTTTTTTAATCTTTTAACCCAAATACTATTAGCTTTGTCCAAAGAATTTTTTAAATTAAAGTTTTAAATATTGATAAAGCATTATTAAATACTAACATTTTAAGTTTAATTTTTTAGATGATAGTGATTGGCCAAAAAAAAACTATTTGAAACTAATAGCATTAGGGTCAAGAAACTACAACTGTATTTATAAATACAAAGAATCAAATTGAAATCTTTAATAAAATTAGAAGATCGAAAGTGCAATTTAATCAGAATGTTATGGGAAAACAATATTTTTGATCTTTTACTTTGATCAAGTTTTGATATAAGTATTTGTACATTTTTTTTGTATTTTAAGTTTTTACACTTTTTTTATGTGTAGCGTTAGTCCCTTAATTTTCAAATGAATATTGATGTGACACAAATGGCATTAATGATGCTGACATGTTAATTAATATTATTAATTTTTAATAAAAAAATTAAATATTCAAAGTCAACCAATTTTATTTCAGATATAGATTTTTTTAAATTTTTATTAAAAAATTCTTGTTAGTATCAGTTTGATATGTAAACATAAAATTAACAATATTTATTAATATGCCAACATTATTATACTATTTGTGCTATGTCAATGTCTCTCTGAAAATATAAGAAGTACTATTGTAGATGAAAAAAAGTATAAGAACTTGAAATATTAAAAAAAGTATAAAGTCTTATATCAAAACTCATGTAAAGTGTAGAATTAAAAGTAGTGCTTTCTCACTATATTTTCTATGATTTACCCTTTTCATATGGGAAAAGTAGAGTCGGGAAAATGAATTGAGCCCACAAACTAATTCGTTTAACTCCCACAATTTGACGGACTGGGTTACAAAAATTGATCTGTTTTTAAAAACGGGTTAGGTTAGCCCAACCCGCAAAATTAACAGGGTAAAATGGGCTAGATCACATGCTGACATATTTTAAAAAATAATTTTTTATTTTTAAATTATATTATATTTTTTTTATAAATTTACAATAATAATAATATTTTTTAAATATATAAATTAAATATGTTCTTTACATTTGAAATATAGTGTAAATTTTTTTATAATTTGTAAGTAAAATTTTTGTTATAGTTTGAAAAGATGATTTATTAGTTTTTATAAAAATATTTTGAATATATATTATTTATTAATCTCATAAGATCTATTGATTAAAATTATAAATATGAATTCACTAAGAAAAATAATATGAGTTTATATTCAAATTTTCTTTTTCAGTGACAAAGATAACACACCTAGACGAGAAGATAATTGATAGTAAAAATATAATAAAATAAATTTACTTGATTGAATTCTATATTTACTTTATTTATTTATAAGTTTTTTAATCGCTAATTTTTTTAAAATATAATATATATATATATTTATATTTATATTATATAAATTTTAAATTATTAAAAAATTTGATTTTTTTTCAGACCAACCCACGAGTTAGTTAGCCTATTAAAAAATGGATTGAGTTAAATTTTTTAGCTCGTTTTATTTTGCGAGCTGACTAGTAATTCGTCTTCCCAGTAGAAAAAAGTATTACAGTAATTTTACAAAAAAATTAGATTATTTGATGATTTTCTTAGTCTGTGTGAGATTTTTTTTTTTTAAACGCTTTTTATGCAACAAACATGGTCGGTCTCAAATAGAGGCAACAATCAATTAGCACAAAAAAATTCGGGAGTTGCGCAAGAAGCACGGCAGCCATGATTTGAACAAAATGGGGTTCGCACGACAAAATTAAAAAGCATCGGCACAAAAATATCGAAACCAGAATGGAAGAGAGGTGAAAATTCAAAATAGCACCAGAAACAGCTCACAAAGTAAGACTACGACTACGTAATTGTAAACCTGTAATTATAATACTCATTGTTTTGGCCAGAGTAATTACAATACTAATCAGTTAGCAAAACATAGTTAGGCAGCGAAAGGTTATCTAATTAGGTGTGCGACTTAAAGAAGCTCAGGATCAGGAAGGAGAGAGGCTATTCATTCTGGGCATTCCCATGAAAGAGCATCGTCAGATTCAGATGTATAGCCTAATTGATCTACGTTTTGTCATGCCAACCAACCGCGTTCCTACCTGCCTTCGTCGTTCCAGTATAAAAAAGTCAGGGAAGGCAAATGCGCCCTCCGTTTTTCTTCAACACTGTTTCTAGAATTATATTTTGCTCCCGTGTGTGTGTGTGTCAATATATATATACATATATATCTATACACACATGATTCGATTCCGCTTTCAAGGGCGAAGCTTTACGATGAGAATGCATAAATTAAGAGAAAAGTGAATCAGAGATGCAAGGGAGTCCCAAAAAGATAGCCATGCCCTTTGCCAAATGGGTTTCATGTCTTGATTGGCGTTGGCTGCTGTTTATAGGTTCTCCTCTCTTTCTTTTCGTCGTCTTCTTCTCCACATCTTTCCCTTCTACCCCTTTGAGCTCTCTTTGGCCGCTCCGCCGCTTTATTATCAGCCATGCCTTTCAAGGCAATTCCACCTTCAATGGGGATTTTCTCTCGAAGGACCAGTTGGTGGTGCGGTCCAGAATAGCAGTGTGTCTGGTTGGTGGGGCTAGGAGGTTCGAGCTCACTGGACCCTCCATTATCGACAACATTCTGAAGCAATATCCCAACTCCGACCTCTTCTTGCACAGCCCGCTCGACAAAGATGCCTTCAAGTTCTCTCTCTTGAAGAATGCGCCCAGGGTTGCTTCTGTACGCATCTTCCAGCCTCAGCCCTTGCCGCAGACCGAATCTGAGACTCGAGTTCTCACCGCACTCAATTCTCCCAACGCCATCCAGGTTCGTTTCAAATGATTCTTCTCTGTCTCTGTGTCTCTGTTTCTATTTCTGAAATCCTTCATCGCAATCACCGGTATATATTTTGAATTTCTTCCTTCTTTTCTTCCGAACGATCATATAGAATCTGAGAGTCCGAGTCTAGCGGATCCGTCTTAATCGTATTTCTCCCTCTCCTTAGCAAGGTTCATTTAATTTCCAATCTCCAAAATCTGAGAACAGTACTCTGCTTGTTAACGGATTTCGTCCGGTTATAATGAAAAGGGTGTTGTTTCCATCTCATTTCACACCCAATCTGATGTTTGCTGAACCATGAGGGAGGATAACTACTTTTATTTATTCGTGGGCAACATTTTAATTTCGCCCTTGTACGCTTCCACTTTAATTTAAACTTCGCTGCAAATCAACAAGGATGCTTCTTTTTTTATTTTCTCCCTTTTGCTTTAATGTTAGTTTTGGATTTTTATGTTGATATTGAAAGGGGCATGATTATGGTGGTAGCAGCGGGTGGAATTCCTCCTCCTCCGGGAAATGCATTCCCACTAATCCAGGAGGTTTCTTAACTTTTGATGTTGTAAAACTGTTGAGTCTTCCATGATTATAACCGCAACAGAAAAACTTTATTTTACGATACAGCATAACACTTCGTACTTTCAAGGAACATACTTTTGAAAGCAGGAGGAGGAGGAGGAGCTGATTTTGTTTGGAAATTTATTGTTGTTGCAGGGACTGCTCCAATATTTCAATCTGGTAGAAGGATGTCTCACGATGATAAAAAGTTACGAGGCGAAGAAAAATTTCAAATACGATTGGATAGTCCGAACAAGAGTGGACGGGTACTGGAATCGCCCGCTGGACCCTGAACACTTCATCGCCGGTGAGTACGTGGTGCCGGAGGGATCATCGTACGGAGGGCTGAATGATCGGTTAGGGATTGGAGATCAGAGAACATCAACGGTGGCCCTGTCACGTCTCTCGCTGATACCGGCGTTAGATTCCGCGGGATTCCACAGTCTCAACTCAGAGACGGCCTTCAAAGCCCAGCTTACGACGCACGGGGTTTCATATGTGACGAAGAGACTGCCTTTTTGCGTCGTTTCGGATCGGAGGTACGATTTCCCGCCGAGCGAGTTCGGCGTGCCGGTGGCTGCGTTGTCGAGCCCCGGTCCTCTGAGCGGAGCGAAATGCAGGCCCTGCAGGGCCGCTTGTAAAGGGGAGTGCGCGGAGAGAGCGATGGCGGTGTTGAACAGAGGGTGGAGTTGGACCCGTTTGGAGAATGGGAGCCTCCGTCTCTGTAACGCTTCGGGAGGCTGGGAAGAGGGATGGCAGGCTCGATTCGATAAAGTCGCCGGAAAAAAATTTGCAGCAACGAGGAAGCGTATTCAAAGTATGAAACTGGAAGATTGCCTTCGAGATTTCAAAATACTCCAAAAACGGGCAGTCACGTGGGACGCGCCGCCGGCGACTGAAATTTGTACGTTGGGTTTGGCCCACACGTGAACGTGTATAGAGTAATTCTCTTCCTTTTTCTTATTCCTTTTCTTTTTCTGTAATGACGACCGTGAAATGGTTTCCTGTGAATTAATCCCTTCCAGAAAACGCTAAATAGTAAACATTGATTGGGGATTGACTGGCTGTACAGGGTTGGCCTTGTTGATGGCTTAAAGGGCAATGTCACGATGGGATAAAGTTGTTTTGTTGAGATATTTGAGTTTTTGCTTTTTGTTTTTTTTTTCCTTTTAAATTAACCAAAGAGTTGTCTAGTTCAAGTCCTCCACATCTCATTTGTTTTGTCGTGCGAGGTAACGACGCGTGGGATTAATACTTAAATTTATATTCTTGAATACTTCAGCTAATTGTTGGATCTACCGGTATAATTTTTGAAAACACTCCATCTGATTTAACATTACAATTAATCATCAGGCCAAAAGAAGTTATCAGTATAAAAAAGTGAAAATGCGCCTGATTCGCGCTTTGTAAAAGACATAAGGGTGACAGGATATGAAGACCGTATATACCTGTGAATTATTTATTAGTGTGTGCTAATGAGTCTGATACATGGACTGTGAAAGTTATGGTCTATATTTTTGTTTATGAGGGAGTCTCAGCTAATCAATCAGCAACAGGACTAGCTTGAAGGAAGATATGTTTAAAACTTAGGTGGATATGGATGAGTGACGTTGCAATGGGTCAAGGAAGGCAGCTCACACCCGCCAACTTTGGTGTAGGGGCGTAATTGAGCGGGATATATAACTACCACTACTAACAATAATAACAAATGATAATAAATAGGATAAAAGGGTAAAAATACAGCCAAGAATATTTAGTATCTTAAAATGAGAAAAAAAAAAAAATACCCATTACATTATATGAGTAGGTGTAAAAGTGATCAAATGATAAACTTTGAACTAACACTATTAACTTTGACCATTAAATACTGACTATATATGTCACATGTCAGCTTTTGCTAACGTGAACTAATAAGAAGAAAAAAAAATGCCCGCAAACTCATTGCCTAAGAGCAAAAATACTTATACTATTATTAGAGTTGGTACAAAAGTGATCAATCTATCAAATCTCTTGAATATTGACTGTTTAACTGATACTTAAACAGAAGTTGACCATTTTTTGTTAACATGAATAAAAAATATTATTAGATAAAATTCTTTGAAGTTAATTGATTATTTTATAAATTTTACATGAAAAATATCATTTTGATTGAATATTAAATTAAATCATTTGTTTTTTTGTAACGGTGATAAAAATTATTTAAAAATTTTAAATATATTATAAATAAAATTACTTAAAGTTGTGATAATATTTTGAAGAAAGTAATAATTATTAGCATTGCGAATCAGTTGAGAGAAAGCAAAACGGAATTGTGGAGAATTTTGGTGAGGTGTGATGGCGTAATGTGTGAGTGCGCATGTGAGGGTTACAAGAACGTGAGAAGCAAGATAGCACGTGGAATCATAAAAGACGAAGAGGGAGGGAGAGCTTATTTTAAACCGTAACGCGGACATGAAGCTTAAGCGCTTGATTTGGCACTGATTTAGTGAAGCCCCATCCATCCCCATCCCACTCTCACCCATCGGTGGTTGCACATTGGTTGAGGCGTCCCTCTCTTTGTGAATCAATTCATTTTGTTGACCTGTTCCTGGATTCTTTACTAATTTCCAGCAAACGTAACCATTAAGTCTCAATAAATTAAATTAATAACAGTTAGATCTTCTTAACAAAGAAATCTGAGGATTGACCGTTGAGCAGCGTTGATTTAAGCAGTTTTAGATAGGAATATCAATCATAAATTGATAATTTTATTTAAAACTTAAATACTTTATTTACGATTAAAACTCTTGAATTTATAGTTGTTTGAATATATATTTATAATTTATTTTTAAAAAATTATCAGTATTCTATTGTCATTAATAAATTTTTTTAAGACCCAATTGTCATTCTTCTAATTTTTAATTATATTCAAAAGTTAATATGTGTCCACAACTAACACTGGTTACAAGGTAAACACGGTTTAAGACTTGAAGAGATTATAAATAATTATGAAATGAGAGACAGTAAACTTTATAATAATTTCATAAAACCATCAGTACCATCGTGGTAAAAAAATGTTAGTATGACATATTTATATTGAAGGTAAGAACTTTAACAGCTCCCATTGAGGCATGTACCAGGGGCAAACGACAAACCCATAATCAGGTTTGCTTTGCACTAGTTTTATATTAGAAGGTCTAACAAATTGTAACAATCCTTCACAATTAAAATTATTAATTCTGTTTATGATTCTTTTCGTTTTTAATATATTTGAATTTTTTTAGAAAAAGTTCAAAGAAATTCTCCAACATTTACAATCTCCTCCACTGTTATTTGTCTTTAATCATGTTTCGTCCCAATCTGGAATCTGGAGGCTGTCCCCAATTCGCTCTCCGCCCCTTTCTTTCAGTTTCACCTTTAGTGATACTTTTACAAGTCAAGTTGCAAACTTGCATTTATATCCTCGCACGCTACCTCCTCTTCAAATTTATCGTGTTCAAGACTAAGTAACCTTTTAAGCTTTTTTTTTTAATTCTTAAGTATTTAATACACTAAGATTAACAGACCAAAACCTCACGCCTTGTAGAGTCGCAGCTATAATCCATTTTTTTAAGGAAAAGAAAGATTAACACAAAAGTTTCAAATAAAATTGAGAAAAGAACGTGACAAAATTTTATGATACCCAGTGCACCACAAATTATTTTAATTTCATATAATGTAATGATTTTTGCTTTAACCAAAAACACGTTATTAACTTTTAAATTCAGATTTCGAACGAAGGATTTAATACACATGGGAAGTTCTTCAGGATCACGACAATTTAAGTGCAGTTTGTCGCTACATATAGTATGCGTTATGGTCCAATTAAAGTTTTTTAAATTAATTGCTGTTGCCCATCCAACACAATTTTTGTCAAAAGTCGCCCTTTTTTTAGATCAAAATAAGAGATTTTTTTTAAGAGAGATTGAATTATAACTTTTAAATGTTTTTAAAAAAGCAAATAAGTGTGTTAATGTTTTGCTTATCAAGCACTTAAACAATTTTAATATTGTTATTTACAACATTGCAAAAAATTACTCCCTTTGTCTCTATAATAAAAGAAGTCTTTTAAAATTTTTTTTATCTCTAAATATAAGATGTTGTTAATATTTTTTTAATAAACGGATCATCATACTCTTGTTAAATTGAAAAGAGAAAAAATAAATATTTTTATTAATTTAATTTGAAAAAAAATTATTTTTTATTTATAATACTTAAGGATAAAATTAAAATGTTATTATATGTTTAATTACATAATCAACTTTTATTTGTTTGAATGATTTGATTAAAGTATACATAAGGACAGAGGAAGTAATAATTTTTTATATAACTTGGTTTGCTTGTTCTTTGCACGGTTATTCTTGACTTTGTAATTTGTAATAAAAAAAATTAATTGTTATTTATAGTATTTGAAATGGTATCGATATCAATATATCGGCGAAATGCCGAAACTGTCCCCACATGTAACATTTATGGGCGGTGTGATTGCCCTCTCACGTCTCGCCTGCCCCGGCACTTAAAAAAGAAGAAAAGGAAAAGTTGATCCCCACAGGCATTTTAATTTTAACGGACAAGGCACGATTCAAGAATACAGCTCTTTCATGTCGTGTCCATCGTTAGTTGGCCAAACAGTTAAAGTAGAGTATATACCTCTTTTCTTTTTAAAAAGGTAAAAAAAAAAAAAAACCAAATCGATGCTTAACCTCTCTCCTACTTGTAATAAATACTCTTTATTATTATTTAAATATTTTTAACCGAATGAAACTTTTAATAAATTAATCAATTATGTTGAAAAAATATTTTTAACCGAATGAAACTTTTATAATTAATCAATTAAAAATTATTTTAAATTAGTAATTTAATTATCTAGTATTTCTTTTGAGATTGTCTTGAAATATTTAAAATATTTTATATTCTTAAATATTATATCTTCCAATCTATAGTATTAGTTTCCTTGCTGGACTAATAAGGCTCGTCAGCCAATGGGCCATAGTGTTTATGGTGTGTCGGTGAGTAGCTACATTTTGGATAGACATAGCATCATAGCTTTCCCCGGGCCCTCTGTACTCCTCCCCGTCCCTGTCCCTGTCCACAATATATGGAGTTTTTTGTTTTTAAATTTTATTTTTTAAAAATTTAAGACACACACCTAATAACAAATATAATTGAAAATAACGTGAAGTAACTTCTAATGTTACCAAAAGAGTATAAATCAGTTCCATTTACTTCACAGGAAAAAAAGTAACTAGATTTCTAAAAATAAATGTTTTTAACTCATTCTTATTAAATATAATATCTCTAAAAGCATGCTAGCCTTCATAAGAAATCGTCTGATTCAATCATAAAAATTGTGCTAATGATAATGATAACTTTTTATATAAAATAACTTAGAGAAAGGGAACGGAGTTGATTGAAAAGTAAAGATAAAAATAAAATAACAAAAATATAAATAATTTATTTATGAAATTAAAATTTATAATTTATGAGATTTTTGAGAGATATAATAATTCTCACATTTATAATATATAATATTAATTTTTATTATATTTAATAAAAAATAATAATTTAATTTATTTTTATTTTTATTTTTTAAGATTTATTTTATTTCACCGTTTGAGGAACTAAACAAAAATTTTAGACCGAGCACTAATTGCTGATAAGTAATACCGGGAAAGTTGCCTGTGTTCAACAACAACTCTTTACATGGTTTCTTTTCTTTTCGAAGGGACTAAATAAAAGATAACTTCGAGCGGCAACGGAAAAGATTAATACAACAAACACAACACAACATATATAATATACAATGACGCAGGGTACTGGGAGCTAATATTCATGAACGAAAGTCAAAAGTAAGATGAGACGAAAGAAATTAAAAGGGTCGTAAAAGGAGAGAAAACTATTGGATGTAAGACTGGCCGGTGATATCTAAATCTCGATCACCGGTGGACGGTGGAGCATGGTGGTTGAGGGGAAGCCGAGTTTGTTCCACGGGGCCATCAGCACTCTGCGTGTCACTTGCAGGCGCCTTCTTCTTCAACTGCTCCTCACCTTTCTCTGTGCCATACATTCCTCCTCCGTACGCTCCACGTGTCACCGCCTCCATCTTCGATATTTGAGGTCCTTCCCCAAGTTTCTTCTCATTATCACCCTCCCTTCTTGTTTCTCTCCACACTTGTTCCGTACTCATCTCTTTCTCCTCCTCCCTTCTCCGTACCCCCTTGCCTTCGATCTATTTATGTCTATTCAGTATTCACGCACCCGGGTTTCACGAACTACAAACTTGGATCTTCTTCTAATGTACAATAAGGGGTTTTCTATATATGTACTTATATGTGAACCCCCCCTTTCTATGTTTGACCAGTGTCTTCTTCTGTGTTTGCGTGGCTACACTTGACGAAGCCACGCCAGCATGCCCCTTGAACACGTGTCAGTTTCTGGAGTTGGATTGGTGTCGTTCTTATATTGGAACCCATGTTCTTTGGGATATCGCTCCAGCCTCTGTCGGGCATTTAGTAGTGCTTACTTATCATGAATGGATAGCTAATTAAATAGGGATTTAACCTAATTTATGAGTGCCATATCTCAGAGGACTGTCCAGATGCGATAATGCCCAGCGTCCCCATGAACATGAAGCATATGATTGCACCCAGAAAGGAGAAAAAAACCACATGTTTGCACCAACTGAAGATAACTACAGCTAGCACATGGTTTTTTAGACAAAACTACCAGTCTTAGTTCAATAATTATGTTATCTTCTTCTGTCCATGGAAATATTTGATCCGTTCAATCTTAAATATAACATCTAGTTAACTAATTTGTGGAAATTGAGAAAATTAGAAGTTGCTTGTTTGTCATTATTGTGAGAAAAAAAAGCGTGTTATCCTTTTCCTAAATACTCCTGTTTCAATGATTATATTAAATATAGGTGACAAAAAGGATATGAAAACCTGTGAACGTACTGATGATAATTTGAAAGTTAAAACATTAGATGAGAGAGAGAGAGAGAGAGAGAGAGAGAGAGAGAATTGAGATCCTATATTTAAAATCAAAATAAATCCCCCAACTAACTCATATATTTAGAATTAAGGGGAGTATCAAAACAATCGATAGAGATTTTTTCAATTGGTTTATGGATTTGGGCCTGGCAGACATGAAGTGCTCTGGTCCGTTCCACACATGGAGCCGGGATGGTTGCAAGAGCAAGCTTGATCGGATTTTATCCAATAATGAGTTCGTATCTACTATCCACCTTTCCCCAAGCGAGTGCATGTTCTCTTTTTCAATTTAAATTTGATCATCGTTCAATTTTACTTCGTATGGAGCCTACTCTCCAACACGCTTTGTTGATCGACCTTTCAAATTTATGACATATTGGGTTTTACATGATGAATTTTAACGTTTTGTCAGGGAATTGGATGGGTAACTGCGAATTATGGAATGTTAATATTGAGTCTTTTTCCACTGAAATTATCACTTGGAGCAAGGAAGTTTTTGGGCATTTGGGAAGGAAGAAAAGACATTTTGGGACCGTATTGAGGGAATTAATAAAATTCTTCGAGATGAGGGCTCTTTTTCATCTCCCGAACAGCTACAACGTCAACTTTGGGTGGATCTTGAAGAAATTCTTCTGCAAGAGGAAGTTATGTGAGCGCAAAAGGCTAAGGGTGATTGGTTCTCGCTGGGTGATCGAAAAACAAAATATTTTCACCATGCAAGAAAGCGAGCCAACAGAATTGAAGCCATCCAAAATAATAGTGGCGAGTGGATTTATGATGAGTCAGAAATCAAAGAAGAAGCTACTTGTTTTTTCTTCAATCCATTCATGGAGGATGGGCAAACTTGTAGTAGACTTGATAGTGAATGTGTAACAACTTAAAAAATTTAACTTCCTGTTAATCAGATTAATTAAGGATAATTAAATAAAAATTAGTGTGGTATGTGGATAAAGAAGACTAATGAGTGTTTTCAGCTCTGAATGCAATTCCAAAGTGAGATCAGGTCACCCAAACCTCAAAATGGGAGAAAAATTAAGGAAAATGGCTCTATGCTGCATTTTGCAACACATGAATCACAGAAATGTAAGAAACTCTCTTTATGCCACGTGCCGTGATGTGTGGAGACATGTGCCATGACATATGGATGAAGTCTTATAGTAATAAGTCACAAAATCAATTCAAAACTTCATGCAAGAAGATGAAGGAGAATGCTAAGGGCTTTATTAAGGCTTGGAGATTTAAAGATTTAGGAGTATTTTGGACCGTTCAATCACTTGAAATAAGTTTCTCAAACCTTAATCTTTTGTTATTTTCCTCTTTTTAATAGATTTGAGAGTTAGGGCTTGATATATAAGTGATTTTTCAATGTTTAAGGCTATAAGTTAAAACTTATTTATTTAAATAGAGTTAATAGAAGTCGTTTAAGTTGTTTAAATTTAATATTAATGATTTTTAATGTCCTTGAGCTTGAGTTTCTCATTATAGATGAAAATGACAATTATTTTGGTTGAGAGGAAGGTTGGACCCTACTAATGGTGTTTAATAGATTTATTGACGATAGTTGTAGCTAAAAGGAGTGGATAAACCCAATGAGTAAGTCTAAATGCTAAAAGTAGGAATCTTAGACATTTTTATATTGAAATTGTATAAATAGTGATTTTGAGTTGTTGGATGTTAAAATCAATATTACTCAAGTTCATATGAGTTAATTATAGTTTATGGGAATTAATGTATCCATTGGTCGGGGGTAAACTCAAAGGTTGATGTTGTGTAATAATTACAGTGTTGAAATAAGAAGTTAAGAGATTGTAAAGAGTAACATTGATGATTGTAGACTTAATTAATTGTCCCTAGCACCGAATTAGGCTTGACATCAAGCTTGTGAAGCATTTGTTAAGGGGTAAACTTTTGACCACTTAAAGGTTTGAGGTAACCAGAGAAATTTATTTTGTGTAATTGTAGGTTAATTGATTTTTATCGCTAAAATAGTATGTGATTAGTAAGAATAGATGAAATTTTTCTATTCTAATTTATAGCATGTTTTGAGAGACATAAATGAGGCTATGATGAGTTCTTTTAATTATAACATGATAATGAATAGTTTTGTGTTGTTGGAAAAAAAGAACTTGATATGAAATTGTGAGCAATGTGATATGAATATATGATGACAAAATGAGAAATGAACTTATGATGCATGGAATCTTGTGATGGTATATGTGTGTGATGAAATGACAATATGTGGATTCATATATAATGCTCACATGTTGTAGCTTATTGAATATATGAAAGTGAGTTTGCTATTATGAGTTGATAATGTGCTATGTATGAGCATAAGTGATGCATGATCGTATTGGTGAGAGTTCACCTAGAGAGAGAGGTAGAGATAAAATCCCATAGTATTGTTGCTTATTGTTAGAATCAAAAGCTAGCTTGGCTACCTATCGTTGGAATCGAAAAGTAGCCACTTTCTAACTATTTGTCTAGAGATTGTTTTATTGTTTGTTAAGGGACTCAAACTTAGCTATCTCCAGTTATTTGTTGAGGAAAGTAGCTTAGGTTTTACAACACCTCAGTGATTCAAGAGTGGGGGAAGCCATAGTTCGAGAGTGAGAGTAATGACCTTGGCTAGGTTACTTCTCACAATTATTAAGCTTGGATAATCTATTTATACGGGCAAAGCTTATTTAATTTTATAACTCATGGTTTCAATCTGAAGATATAAGGAGGATATAATGTTAGTTCAATCATATATATGATTTGATGTGTCACATGATTTTTAAGTTTGTGGCAAGTTGTGATATTTAAGTTGGCTATTGTCACATAGTTGTTATTATTGTGATAATGAATATTGAATATTGGATTTGGCCATTGTGACATGGTTGTTAGTAATGTGGCAATGTGCTTTGTCATTTGAATTGTGAAAAGATAAATTATGATAAATTATGTGAAATGACATGTGATATTTGTGAAATTATACGATATTTGATTGTATGCCTCATACATGATTTGTTTTAAAAATGCCAATTAATGTGCAGTTGCATAGGGTAATCTTGGTTACTAAGTAGTTGTGCTCACCCCTATCTCTTTTAACATTTACATGCTCTGGCTCAAAATAAGAAAAGGAAAAAGCACTTGAGGCATATGACCACATGTTCCTATGGTAGGCCTTATCTTGGTTTATTTTATGTGTAATGCAATATCGATATTGCTAACTAGGATATCATGTTTTGAGTTCATGCATTCACTTGCATCAAATAGTTGTTGAGCTGATATTTATATTTTGAACGCTTGATATTGTGTAATATAAAATGATGACGTTGATAGGGCAGGATTGTTGATGCAAATAGGGTATGAATGTGAATGCATGAAAAGGAATTTATTATGACATATATGCTATATTGGACCTTCCCATGTTTTGATATAAGGGGTTGAAGTTTGAGAATGATATACATGAGTTATATTATGCATGTGGTGTGTTGCATAGGTAGTGTCAATCCATTGAGTGTGTTCTAAGTGTTGATTGTAGCTTTTGGTACAAGAGTTGGGTTTTGGACACCCTATGTATTGTGAAAAGTGTGAAAATGAGTTTAGGTGTTCAACTCTTTTGTGTGAAATTATTTGGGAGTAAGACTCATGCCAAGCTAGTGTATGAAAAGAACTTTTTATATAAACCTAGTTTACATCAATTGGATGTTAGAAGGAGAAATGAAGCACAATGAAGGTTTGCCCTTGTGCTGTTAACTTGACAACATAGTTGATGTCAAACTGTGCAATGCACTGTGGCGTAAGGTATAGCGAGGGACATGCTATGACATATGCGCACATGCTGCAACACATCCCTCTGTGTAGTCTCATTTGTTGTTTTTAAATTAACTTCTGAATCTTTTGATCACCAAATACTATCCCATGCTTCCACAATTATCTTAAACTCTATTTATAGACCAATTGATGTCCTTGAAAATTAATTTTTGAATGGTTTTCAAACTGGGATCTCAATTTGTGAAAAATACAACTTGAATTCAAAAGTGTTTTGAAAATAATTAATCAAGGTAGGGTAACTTGTCGGGGTTAATCTTATGATTATCTAGGAGTGTTATGTCAAGTGTGGATTAGTAAAGGAGACCTTACAAGTTATCTTTCCCTCCAATCCAACATGATCAACTTAGTGCATTGGGTGCTCATGTGTGCAATGAAGAAATATCTCAAGCCATCCTTAATATGGGCGCTTTAAAATCCCCTAGTTCGAATGGTTTAAATGCTTTATTCTTTCATTTCCAATGAAAGGTCGTGGGTCAATCTATTTTTAGTTTGTATAAGATGTGTTTCGAAACCCTCAAAATATTCAAGAAGTGAATCAAACATATATTGTGTTAATCCCTAAAAAGGAGCATTAGGAGACTTTGCGAGATTTTTGTCCTATTAGTTTATGCAATGTGATTTAAAGGATTGTAACAAAGGTGATTGTTAATCGTATTAAGACACATCTACCTCATATTATTTCATCAAATCAATATGGTTTTGTATCACGGAGACTTAGCTCTAATAACATCATAGTTGCCTAAGAGTTCATCCATTCTATGAGAACTATGAAAAGCAAAAAAAAAAAAAAATTATGGCTGTCAAAATTGATTTTGAAAAAGTATACAATAGAGTGCAACAGGGTTTTGTCATATATTATTTAAAGGAGCTTAATATTTCTCAAAATTTGGCAAAGGTTGTTGAGTATTGTATTTCTACCCTTCTATGCAGATACTTTGAAATGGTGGAAAAGCGGATAATTTTGAGCCATCTAGAGGGGTGAGATAAGGGGATCCATTATCTCCTTATCTATTTGTTTTATGTATGGAGAAACTAGCTCATTTAATTTAGGCTAAAATGGACAAGGATAATTGGAAAGGCATTCGGTTAAATAAATTGGGACCTCCTATTTCCCATCAATTTTTGTGTAGATGGCTTCCTTATATTTATAGAAGTAAGCTTGTCCCAAGTGTATATTATAAAAGAGTGTCTTGATAGATTTTGTGCAGCTTCTGGACAAAGGGTTAGTACTACCAAGACCCAAGTATTTTTTTTTTTCTTTTGAAAATGTTAATCATAATGTTCGAGCTCAATTGAGTGAAGAGTTGGGTTTCGGTAGAGCTGCAGATCTTGGTAAATATTTATGAGTCCCACTTCATCATGACCGCGTTTCTAAGTGAACTTATCAATTTGTCATTGACAAGGTACATAGGAGACTGAATAATTGGAAGACTCATTCTCTTCCATTAGCTGGCAGAAGTACTTTAATTAAGTCTGTGATCTTGGCCACCCCTTCATATGTTATGCAAACTGCATTACTTCCTGCTAGTTGCTGTGATGAAATAGACAAAAGTGCTAGAGGATTTCTGTGGGGATCCACTTCAGAGAGATAACGTTCTCATTTAGTTAGCTAGGATCGAGTGCGTGGTGAGAAGTGTGGAAGTTTAGGCTTAAGGCATTCAAGGTTACAGAATCAAGCTTATCTCATGAAGGTGGGATGGAGATTGGTCACAGATCGCAATGCTCTATGGGCTCAAGTGGTACGAGGTAAATGCCGATGTGGGGTGGATGTGTTGCATACGATTAACTTGAAGAGGCCTAGATCTAGATTGTCGAGTGGAGTTAAAGCAACTTGGGAACAAGTAAGTCAAGGGTTTGAGCTGGTTAACAACTCGGATCAACCTAAGCTGAGGTGGGGATATGAAAAACATAGGGCCTTCACGGTAAACTCAGTGTACAAGGCTCTTTGCATACAAGCATTTGATTTTGATTCCATCTGGTCAAAATATTTAGAAACTAAAAATCCCTCAAAGGTGCAAGAATTATATGTGGCTGGTGCGGCATGGTGATTGATGACAAATGCAGCATTATTTAAGAGAGGATTGCATACTTCAGGTGAGTGTGATCTGTGTGAAGGAAGTAGAGAAGATGTTTTGCATGTTATTTGGGATTGTGGTGTGGTAAGAGAAGTTTGGAAGAACTTATTTCATCCTTTAGAGCAAGGAATGTTCTTCCACAGTGATATACAAGTTTGGCTGGCCATTAATATACATAATAAGAGAGACGAGGGTCATAGCAGATGCTGTGATCTTTTTGGAGTGATGTGCTGGCTATTTTGGGAAAGGAGGAATGAAAAGGTTCATCAGAATTCAAATGAAGGAATGGCTTCGTGTGTAGCAGAAGCCAGGGGTATTCTTAGATGTATGGTACGTGCTAAACAGAAATTGCACTCTGCTATTAATTGTCATGTTGATGCTAGTAATCAAGAAAGTGCACAGGAAGTGAGTGTGGGCATTAATTGGGGTTGATGGGGCATATTCTATTGTGACGTCTGCAGCTGGTTGTGGTGGTATCTTGAAGACGGCGAGAGGGGACATTATGGAAGCTTTTGCATTACAACTGTTAGAAGGGGATAGTCTCACTGCTAAACTATGGGGTTGTTTGATAGGGCTTCGGCGAACTTGGGAGTCTGGCTATCGAGAAGTTACTCTGCCTTGTGATGCAGTGACAGCTATTCAACTTAATCAATCAGATGACTATGAACTTCCTGTTGATCGGCATGCGATCGACGAGATTCAACAAATGGTGCAACGAGGATGGCAGGTTAAGTTAGTGCGCGTGGATCGAAATAACAATGCTCATGCGGATTTCTTGGCTAAATATGCTCTTGCTCATGGAGGTAGTCTTCACGTGATTCCTAGAAGCATGGTTTCGACGTATTTTTGGAAGCAGGCATCACTTAGTTTTGTCTTGTCATTGTTTTTAGTTTTATTTACAGTCCTGTTAAAAATAAAATAAAAATCAAGGGGATATCACAGGTTTGATGTTTGATGAAACCCCCATAATTGTTCTTAGTTACAACTCAGATCATTGAAGACGATTGCAGAAAAAAGGAATAAACAGAACTTCATTGTCCTCCACTTTTTATACATACGTCACTGTAGGTATTTGTTTTGATGCTAAATAAAGTGCCTCAATCTTTTGTTTTTATCATGTAATACTTGTTTCCTCAGATTATCTTCATTAATTTTACAGTTTTTCTCCCTCCTTTTATCTCCCACATTTGATGCCGTGTCTCTCCCAAGGAGTACTTTAAAAAACGCGATGCGCATCTTTTACACAATAATGACAAATAACCAATTTTCTTAACATTCTTTAGTTAACCAAATCTTATATTTAAAATGGAAGAGAGTGCTACTTTCTTCAAGCATTGAAGATACAAAAATAACCATAAGTGTTGGCAGCAACATGAGATATCTCATGTGTCCCTAGGCTTGATTCACCCAACTACAACCAAATAATAGCAATAGTATCTAAAAAATGATAGTTTCATGTGTTGCCAGTTCTTCAATAAACATGCATTGTCTAAATACTAAAATAGCCTGATTCTCTACTCTTGAATGATCAACTGTAGTTTATAATCTAAGTAAACAGCGCCAAACAAATAAAAAAAAAAAAAATCCTACAGGAAAGTACTAGAGTGTTGTCTGGCAGTCTAGGATAAAATGTCATGTTTTTCTTCTTGCCTACTCATTCCACATTCCCAGACATCTCCCAGAATTAACATTCTGTAAACCCTCAAAAGAGAATAAACACAGGCGGCGCAGTCTTAATCCAATTTACATAAGCTGATGTAATCTGTTTTTTTTTTTTGGCCTTTTTTCTTTCTTTTGCTCGACTATGATAAAAACATTGAATTGACTCTATGTATGTAGCTGCTAACCTTATGGTGGCCATGGAACAAATATGGCTGAGTTTAGGTATATACGCATTATGCAACATATAATTCAGCTTTTCCATCAATGAATAGACTCATGAACTCTTCACCATCCACAGTTTCTTTCTCGATGAGCAGCTGAGCAAGCTTGTGAAGGATGTCACTGTGTGTTGTGATGATTTGCTTCGCCCTCGAATAGGCTCTCTCTACCAGCTCCCTCACTTCTGCATCTACAACATCCGCAGTAGCCATGGAATAATCTTTCTGGGTTGACATCTGCATACCACAAGTAGGCATGCCCTTAGAAATTAGGATCCAAATGTGGAAATTTGATGATAAACTAGATGGGTGGGTGGAACTGTGTATGTATCAAGTATCAACTTTAAAATTAGAATGCCACCTGTTGGCCCAAGAATGGGTTTCCACCAGGTCCTCCAATGGCTACTTGTCCTATCTTTTTGCTGAACCCAAACCTCTCAACCATCTGCCTCGCGACCCTCGAGACTTGCATGAAGTCGTTTGATGCTCCGGTTGTAACGTTGTCCTCTCCAAATATTACCTCTTCAGCAACTCTGAATTGGCATAACAAAAGCAATTTGCAGCAAAATATTCAAACTTGTAAAGGAAGTATTTCACACGTATAACCTCACAACAGTTTGTCAAATTAACATAAAGATCCCTCAGTGATGCATGCAAACTCAACTGACCTTCCACCCAGAGCAACCGCCATTTGATTTTCCAAGTAGCTTCTACTGTACAGTCCAGACTCGAGCCTCTCTTCGCTGGGAGCGAAAAATGTGAGACCACCAGCTTGGCCTCGAGGAATAATAGATATTTTGGCTACAGGGTCATATTCAGGCATCAAAGCACCAACTAGAGCGTGGCCAGCCTCTGAAAATTAAAATGCAAAAACATTGTCAAGGAATTGAAATGAACAGCTATGAGGCTCAAGCTTATTTAACATGCATACCATGATAAGCTACTAATTTTTTCTTCTCATCTGAGACCACGGCATTTTTCTTCTCTGGTCCAGCAATGATCCTTTCAAGTGCATCAGATATCTCATCTTTGCTTATTTCCTTGAGGTCACGCCGAGCTGCAAGAATAGCTGCTTCGTTCATTAGATTCTGCAGATCAGCACCCGTGAATCCTGGGGTTCTTCTGGCAATTTTTTCAAAGTCTACATCCTTCGCAAGTGCTTTTCCTCTGGAATGCACCTAACAAAGAGAAGGAAGGCCAGTGAATTTAGGTACAGAAATTAGAGCAGCACACTCATTAGATTAGACACCTATGACTAAATGTGGATTTTAGATAAGGCCTGCAATCCTGCATATCACGTTCACGCTCAAACTTAAGACTGCGCTGCAGTGTTCCGAAACTTGGAAGGTATGAAGTACATTGATTCGCAATTATCACGTAAATCGAACTACATCACCCTAATAGCATGTTTGGTCATACGTACTAAGTGTATCTAATGCTTTCCAAGCATCCTGTTTACTGTATCTGTATTGTCTTAAAAGGAGATCACCTGAAGGATTTTAACTCTACCAGCAACATCAGGTCTGTCCACAGTCACTTGCCTATCAAACCTTCCAGGCCTTAACAATGCTGAATCAAGAACGTCTGGTCTGTTTGTTGCAGCCAAAACAATGACACCTGAATTACCAGAAAACCCATCCATCTCTGTCAATAGCTGATTGATTGTCTGCTCCCTCTCGTCATTCCCACCTCCCAGACCTGCCCCTCTCTGCCTTCCCACCGCATCAATTTCATCAATAAATACAATGCATGGTGCCTTGGACTTGGCCTTGTCAAACAAATCTCGCACTCTAGATGCACCAACACCGACGAACAATTCAACAAATTCTGAGGCTGCACAAGAAAAGAATGGCACCCCGGCCTCGCCGGCGACTGCTCTAGCCAAAAGGGTCTTTCCAGTACCGGGTGGTCCGACAAGAAGGCATCCTTTGGGGATCTTAGCTCCGAGGGCAGTGTACTTATCTGGGTTTTTCAGGAAATCAACAACCTCCTGCAACTCCAATTTGGCTTGGTCAGCTCCAGCAACATCACCGAAGGTCACACCAGTTTCCGGAACTTCCTGGAATTTGGACTTTGATCGACCAAAATCCATGGGTCCACCGAGACCACCAGGGCCACCAGGTCCGCCTTGTGCTCGGCGAAAGAGTAAGAACAATCCAGCAAATGCCAGGAATGGGAACAGCAAATTGCCAATGAAGTTAAACAACCCATTACCCGAATCACCTTCGGAGACGGAAATATCGACACCGTTCATGGCCAGAATATCGATAAGGTCCGGGTCATTGGGTACGATAACGGTGGCTCGGCGGCCATCGACGGCGGTGAGCTGAAGGGCAGAACCATCCTTGCTGAACCTGACTCTCTCGACCTTGCCCTTCTTGACGGCATTTAAGAACTCGCTGTAACGCCATTGGCTACCTTCAGGGAGATCCGGAGAGGCCTGAGATTGGGGCTTGGGCGCGGTAAGAAGAAGATTTTGAGCGAAAGGGGAAGAATTTGAGGGGTTTGGTTTGGTGGGTTGTGCCTCAATTACAGGAGGTGCCGGAGGAGGATTGAAATTGTCGGCATCGGCGGCTAGAGCTTGAGGGGTAAGAGAGGAGAAGATTAGAGCAGCTAAAGAAGCTTGGGAAGGTAAGGATTTCGAATTCGAATGTTTAGAATCACGCTTTCTGCTAAATATGTAGTGAGTGTTCAAAAGCCTCCTCTTGAAGAAAAGTGGAGGTGGAACTGACGATTTGGTTGTTTTAGGGGTTGGGGGCGATAGTAGGACCTTCCTTCCAAGAAAGTGAGAAGAAAGGAGAGCGTTGGTGGTGAAAGCCATGGCTATGGCTCGCTACTTCTCTCTGCACTGTCCGCGCGCAGCTTAGCTCCCGTTCTCAGAATAATATCCTCCTACCTCGAAATAAACTGCTGGCCGCTGGGTCTGCGCCACAAAGGATGGTAACTAAAACAAACAAAAGAAATAAAACAAAAAATCCAAAGGCCAAGGAAAAGCCTCGCACGGCGACTGTGTCCTAGTAACGTGAGAGAACCAGTAATATATTGTACGCTCGGAGATTCTTATAAGAAATACAATCGGAGTAAATCTGAAGAAAGAATCAAAGCTTGGATGAAGCCGTGCCATAAATTTGGGTGGTGTTTTATATCTTCTACGTGGAGTAGATTGGATCCATTTATTTTATCGCTGACCTAAATAATCAAATAAAGACAAGATATTGGACTAGCTTTACTTCTTCTAGTTTCAGCCTCTCTTGGTTGGGCCGGGTTTGATACAGAAACATGGCCCCATCTACTCTATTGGGCTAAAGTAACCGAAGAAATTTGAACCATTAGCGCATCCCAAAATAATTCCATTGCATGATCAAGAAGTTGAAATTATTCTGGTCCAACTGAATTATTTCATCAAAGACATTTCCAAAACACAATTGAAATAATTATTACTCAGTTGATTTTCATTGAAATCAAATGATATAAGATAACAGTTAAAACAAATATCCCACTTAGATTGTAGTTCAAAGATTACAAGTTAGTGATGACATAACCGAGGAGTCGATATATCAGAGATAAGTAGAAAGAAATTTCTGCAAACAAATTTCAGAAATATTAAGACATACAACGGGTTTGTGGATAAAAGGTGCATCTGGTTCAAACAGCGTGGAGAGGTAGCATACTTATCCGCTGCAAGCAACCACCCAGGAATTCACATGTTGATTATTATTTCTATGCTCGACCAACCCATCTTCCATATCATGCGTCAATTTGGAAAGCTTGATTTGAGGTAAAATCTTCAATTATATACTTTCATCAGCTTGCTAGATGTGGCACAATCCAATAATGAAAGAGTCGCCGAACCACCGGCAGTGATCATTGATCGAGAATGCTCAGGACCACTAATGCATTATATAGGGATTGGGGAGAAAAGAAATGCGCATAGTATAGGCAAGAGATCAAGACTTGCTATCATTTTACAATTACATGGACAATGGAAGAAGCATCCTTCGTTTCTTTTTCCTCGCCAGTCTTACTTGCTTTGTAATTTTCATGCATAAAAGCAATGAAACAGTGATGCTGACTAATATAAAAGCTAGCCGGACGTTCCTAAAGTACAAAGAGACTGCCGAAAAGACCAGGAATGCTAAAATGACAAGTTCCCATATCACAAAGACCACAACATCCACCCTGCACCGAGAGAGAAAGGGAACAAAAGGCATCAATATTATTATATAAATGTTACCCTAAAAAAACGACACAAGTCCAGCAATTCTTTGCACGAAGACATTCAAAAGGGATTCTAAGTTGACGAGATTTTTTTTGCCAATAAATTTATGAGGATGTTGAATGTCATTTTATAATTCTGATCTCAATTCGATTTCAACCAGCAATCGTCCATCCAGTTAGACAGAGTTAATCAAATTTGAAACTGAGGTTGCCTGAGGTAATTAAATGGTGGTTTAAGTTAGGCCAATTAAACATCATTACCCAACTCCATTCGCATGCCAAAAGACCAAATACGAAATCAATTGGCTCTTCTAGCAAGAAAGAATTACATGGGTTCAAATCTTCAATGGGAGGATCTTATGAGTAACTAATAACCTCTATAAATTCTATCTGAACCGCGAGGCTTACTGTAACCTTGGTAAGCCCCCTAACTCACCTTAATGAGGAGAAAGAAAGCAGGTTGAAGTGTGAAACCAAAACTGATCGAGTCAACATTACTTTGCCCCCACCTCAAAATTTTGTAAACTAGTAAGCATGTTTTTCCTATACTTAAAATCTGCAGTGCCACTCAGGTTAGACAACCTTGTATAGATGATTATACGTGATCCTCAGGCTCAAGAAAACTAATGAGTACGTCTATTGACGCTGTTCAATCTAAGCATAATAACTTGTTATTATGAATCATTGAATCTAACAAATATAGTTCACTGCCTTGAACAAGCATAACCTTCTTCACAGAAACATGACACCCAACATATAGAGAGATAAAATTTCAAAAGGAATGAAAGATACTATGATTTACAATAGATCGCAAATTTTTTGTTCTCTACAACCGGTTTCGTTGGCGGGAAAGAAAAAACAGGATCTCAAAGATACCTTTTGACGGATTAATCAAGTTATCTGTCCTGGCTATATCTTGATGGGGCATTAATTCTGTTATATAAATTTCCCGAGCATGTTCATGTGGATAATTTGAATATAAATTCATAAACCTAGCCAAAATCAATCAACCGGCCCGTTAATTTATTGCCATACCGTTTACCTTGTCATATCAATGTCAGCCTCTTGCTAAATTACAATGTAAAATGAGATACAGAAAATGTGAAACAAACATTGAAGCAGAAAGAACCGCCCAGTTAAGACCCTAAACAACCTAGACGAATACTTACATTCAAAAGAAAATGGCAGATTCAGTAACATTTTCAATCAAATACGTGTACACGTGCAATTCACAGCGGATGACCAACGAGAGGACCAGGCAATATGCAATAATTCCAATAAAAAAGCAATAAACGGGATGAAAAAGGGGGAAATTGTATCAGTACCAGGGGAAATGTCAAAAACCCGATTTTCGAGAGAGAAATCCAGGATCCGATGTTTGACATACCTAGAAGTCGAAAAATTTGAAGAGGTGGAGGAGAAGAAGGAGATAGAGGCCCAGTCGTGTTTGGATCGAATCTGATATTCTCTTAGCTGTTCGGCGAGATTCGATCGAGTTATCATCGTAGCCTCCCGCCCTCTCCTTTCCCAATCTGTGAAATCCTGAGGTCCCTTTTGCTGTCCTTGGAACGACAATGTCGAAGATGAAGACCTACAGCAGAGGCATGAAGGCGAATATTGGAAATTCGATTAGGGAAAGACTCGAACCCAAACAGCATCTGATTCATTTTCATTATTTTTCTTTCCATGGACCTTCCCTACCTGTAACTTGTCCGAATTTATTCTTGCTCTCCTATTTGGGTCATTCTCAACACCGTTTAATTTCGAAGCACCACGTGGTCCATTTAGTTTGGGCCTAAGGTCCAATTATGAAACATTAGCTTAAAATCCCATTGCATTCTGGTATGTTCTTGGGTTATCACTGTTCAGGATCCAAAAAAATGGTTCTCTACTATTTGGGTCTGAATGGTTATTTCAGGCCTCTTAATTAGAGGGTGCTTCATTTTTTATTTTTTATTTTGGTTAAAAATATAGTTATGTGGCGCTCGCATTACTTGGTAGAAAATGCCACAAGCATGATATCGAGAAAAAGAAGAGACTTCTCACTTCTCCGATTTGATTTTACGAAGTAACCGAAAATGATTTAATTTTTTATTCAGGAAAAACATAATTATGAGTTTCTATAATTTTATAAATTTTTACTTTAGTTCCTGTACATTCGTTTGGATAGAAAAAAAAAAAGGTTGAGAGGCAAAAAAAAAAAATGAAAGAAAATGAAAAATAGAAAGAAAACTGAAAAAAAAAAATTATCGCTCTTTTGTTTGGATAGACATAAAAAAATAGGAGGAGGAAATAAACTTATATCACAATGACTATAATATTTTATTTAAAATATATATGTTTAATGTAATTATATATATAAAAATGTATTAAAAGTTAACATTATATAAAAATTAACGCCGTCGAACTCATTTAAAATCAAATTAGTTGGTGAAAATTATTTTAATGTTATTACATTTGAAAATTAAATAATTTAGTAAAACATATGTTATTTTTTACTTACAAAATTAACAAGTGGATAATTTTTTAAATTAACTATAATAAAAAAATAAATAAATTCTAATTTGAATCTTGATTTGTTAGTGAGAGCATTTTACTTTTACATATAGTCACGACAACATGTAAAACTAGAACATACAAAATAAATTATATATACATAATATTATAAAAAATATGAAAGGCACACATTTTTAAAATATGTAATTTTCAAAGAAGATAGAGACATGCACAACATTGAGATAGAACAATGTACAGTCATTAATTTTTAAATCAAAAACTTCCATAATGATAAAATTTATGTGAATTAATGTTAAATTATTTTTGCAATAATTACTATCACTTATTATGATGTAACATATAAATTATAATAACAAATATAATGCGAATTAGAGTGCTGAATTCATGAGGTGAAAAATAAAGGATAAAGATGGTAAAGTAAAAGGTGGACGTAGAAAAAATATTTTACTTTTAAAATCTCTTCATTTGTAAAGAGAAAATATGGTGAATTTAGTATCTCATTTTTTCTTTCACTTTTCATTCCTTTAACTTTTTTTTCCTTCTTCATCCAAATATAAAAAAAAGTTATCTTCTCTTACGTTTTCTCTCCATATTTTATTTCCTTTCATGTTTTATTCCCATCCAAACAAATCAATAATGTTTTTAATTTTTAAAAGGACAAACATCAATTAATTTTATTAAAATTATCAAAATTAAAAAGATGAAAACAAATTATAAAAACTAAAAATAAAATATGACAAAATTATAAGTATCAATGATTATATTTTTCTGTTATTTATAAAGAATTAACTTGACACTTTTTTATAAGCCCGTATGAGGATTGATACTCTGAGGCTAAAATATTTTTTATTTTATAAAAATTGAATTAAAAACAAGTTTAGATGTAATTCTTTATTTTTTGTCAGAGTAATTCTTTATTTATTTATTATTAAAATGTTTAACAAACTCACACGAATACGATATAGTGTAAGCATTTTTTTTTCTCAAATGATTGAACTGTGAAAAAAATAATATCATGTTCATAAAAATTCTTTTTTTTTGCCCGAGATGTTCATAAATAATTCTAAATCGTCATATTTTCATTAGAAAATTAACACTAAAATCTACACATTCTAAGAAAAAAAATTAATAAATGCGAAAAACTTCATCCAAACCTTGAATCAGACGTTCGTTGCGAGAAGCAGAGAAGGTGAAAGAAAAATGAATCAGGGGGAAAAAACCGGGGGGCGGTTAAAAAAAAAAAAAAAAGGCTAACACCGTCCGGCCACCTAAATACGTATTTAATTAATCTTCGGAAACGACAAATCAAGTCCCACCATGACGATTCCAGCCGCACCCACCAACATAACTCTCGAAGCGCCCTTCCTTCTCATAGGGGAAGAGAGATCTCTCCTTTCTTTTCTCATGGAGAATCTGCCACGTGTCCTTCAGTAGCACCGAGCCACCGACCTTTCAAAGTTTAATCCTATCGGGCATCGAGGCCGACATATTTTCAGGTCCCACAGTACAAGCATCCAGGTGTCGGAACTCTTATTGGTCCGACTACACAGCCAACAGTATGGCGTGTCGCTATCATCCTTCTCCGGAGCCTGCTTTGGCACTCGATTAGTAGGTTCCGTGATCGCTACACATGCTTCGAACGGCAATAAACCCGTTACATGTTTAGGGGCGATATTTGTGGTGTCCATCAATGGCAGCCAGTACATTTGGAGGCACGTGACGCGAGATTAAGAGCAGTTAAGGTGAGATCATTTTCCCGGTTTTAAATTTAATTTCCTCTTTCCTTAATCGACACGTCGGTTACACAGCCATTATTTTGAATCTTATGAGCGTCTAATCCGCGTTTTGGGAACTATAAATAACTCCACCTGGACCCGAACATCATCATCATCAGCTGAACGCAGAGAGCAACTTACAGTTACTGTATCACCCATTGCAAGCAAGCTGCTTAAGAAGATCTTCCAAGTTGCTCGTAACATCTCAGATATGGCGGAGGAGAAGCAGAACATGACTGAGGTGGAGACCCAGGAGCGCGGGCTTTTCGATTTCATGGGGAAGAAAAAAGGAGAGAGTCCCGATCATCATGTTCAAGTCCAGGAGGAGGTCGTAGTCACTGAGGTGGAGAAGGTGACGGTATGTGACGATAATGAAGAAGACAAGAAGCCTGGTTTGCTGGAGAAGCTTCACCGATCCAACAGCTCCTCTAGCTCCGTAAGTATCTTCATGAGAATATTCTGATATAACCCAGTCAATTACATTTTCACGTTTGTGTGTGCGCGCGCGCGCGTGTGTGTGCTTATATTGGTTGAGTATGAGTGCAGTCCAGCGAGGAGGAGGAGGAAGTAGGAGAAGATGGTGAGAAGAGGAAGAAGAAGAAGGAGAAGAAAAGAAAGGGCTGAAGGAAGGGGAAACGACAAAGACGGGTGATGAGGGGGAAGAGAAGAAGGGGTTGCTGGACAAGATCAAGGAGAAGCTGCCAGGTCAGCATAAGACAGAGGAGGAGATCCCACCTCCTCCTCCTTCTCAATCACCCACCGGTGACGGGGAAAAGAAGGGTATTTTGGAGAAGATCAAGGAAAAGATTCCCGGTTATCACCCCAATAAAACTACTGCTGATCACCAAGGCAAAGAAAAGGAGGAGGGAAGTGCTCGCTGTGATTGAGGGCTCTGTTCTGTTCACACCATTTGTCATCTTCATTGCGTGCTATGTTGATCATTGTCTTGTATTGTCTTTAATTTCGTGTGTCTACAAGCTTTATGTTTATCTCGACCATATATGTACATATATGTATGAAGTTTGTTTAAATTTCTCCCTTTTTTCTTATCTATCATCGTTCACAATTTAGAGCTTCTTTTTTTTTTTGGCAAGAAAATGTGAGGAGACTATGTATTTATATGGATGGAGTACACACGTACAATTTCTTTTCATTATCTGGGATGTTGTATCGTTATGCCTTCATTAGGTTATGTGGGTATGACCACTCACGAACGTTACAGAATGGGTGAATGTTGACCAGATCATGCGGATCTTTTGAACTTTCAAGTGCGTTAGCAGTTATCTGAATTCTGAAGATATATATGTTTGTATGTATGTATGTATCGTTATTGATTTGTTTAGCTGTTGGTTATGGTTTACTATTGTCAGTGGAATAGATTTTCTTGTTCTTTATATTTTTTGACTTGTTTAGCAAATGAACGAGCGGTGTCGTTATATGTACACCACTTACTGTAACACTTGGAATGATTGAATTTACTTACCAACCATTTAACTTGAATAGAGTCGAGAATAAGGGTCGGGTTTGAAGAGCCAGACTTAAAGGTCCTGTTTAAATAAAAATTCAAGTTTTAAAAATAAATTTTTTTAAAGTAATCGGACTTGAGGGCTTGGCCTTAATAAATCCTGTAAAAAAAAGGTTCAGATTCAGGTAGCCTTTTCAAGTTCTGTTATATTATTATTATTTTTTTTTGGTGAAACACGTATTTGAAGTCAATGACTTGCTCACCTGATCCTACACACATTATATTATTATTAATTTTAATTTCTTCTAAAATTAATTTAATATAATTTAATAAATATCAGTGTATAGTATAAAATTTCTGATATTTTTATTTTTCTATAATTATTATGTTTGTATATTTATAAAAAATGAATTATTTTTTAATCAAGATTTAAATTTTATTATTAGACTTCTAACGTGTGTTGTTTAATTTTTAAAAAATTATGAGAATTTTATTTTTTTTAATTTCAAAATATTTTAATTAATTTATAATGTTTGATTTTATTTTTATTTTTTTTTTTTTTTGAAAAAGAGTTTACGCGTCCAGTTTTGAGTCCTTTACATAAGGATCAGGCGTGAGAAACATGGTTTAAAATAGAGAACCGAATTTTAGATTCAGGCCTTTAAGGGCCGAACTCATAAGGGCCGGGCTTGTTCATATTCCCACTCTAAACTTGGATGCTTACAAACTCAACTTAAAAGTATGCTTTTTAATTCTCCGAGTGATGGGCCTCCATTTCTTGTACAGAATGCGCACTGTATTTTTTCGAACAAAATCCAGAAAGTTTATATTTTTAGACCTTGTGTGCTAATTTTTATCGGGAAATCGCTAGCTAAGCTTGCATAATCATCGATACTCGGATACAAATCTAAAACCTAACTATGAATCCCTTGTTTGGTGACATGGATATCACATATTTGGACTTCTTGAACAAGCTATTGCAAAAAAATTTCAGCTTAGTACAGCTTTATTATTCTAGCCACGCTAATTAATGTAAATTTTTTTTTTAACCAACAATTAATATAAAACTAGAAAACATTACTTTGAATGAATTATGTCTCCAAAACTGGAAGTGTGTCTCTCCTTTGGTTGAGGGAGTTTCGTGATTGACGCTAGTTTGGTGCCAGGAAGAAAGGAACAGAGCTTTTGATGGGTATTATTGCGATCTCCTGCACTTAAGGGACCGATCTAAAGGAAAAACGGCCGAGATGGAAGTTAACGAATGAGAGGAGAATAGCATCCATCTTAGATAAGAGTTACGTGAAGGAGAGAGATCCAATAGAATATTGACGCAGAATTGAAAATAGACTTCAGTCCTGAAAAAGAATAATTTTGAAAGAAAAATGAACATAATTACTCAAGGCATTGTGTCTAACTGAATATGTGGTCCTAGTCTGATCAGACCGTACAAAAAGGGCACATGACTACCTACCACGGTACAATTAATTCTATCATCTTTTAAAAGAGGCGACTACGTCCGGAATGGGGCGCACGATCAACATGTCTGGGACTCAGGAATCAATTGAAAAGGAGTAGATCAGAAACCAGAAGCATAAGAGTAGTAGCATAGTACAGCATGATCGTTGTTCCACATTGTATCAAAAGAAATGGCAATAAAAAAAAATATTAATGCTAGGTTAGGCATTGGGGGATTCTCGCATGTGACTTCTCAAATCTCACTGCTATCACGCGAATAAAGAATCTTCAAATCCTATCTCAAGCCAGTGAATGGAGACACTAACTGCATATAACATTTAGCTGCTTTCACTGAACAGTATGAAAAGAAAATACTTCTACTTATTCTATTTAATGAAGAACTTGTGTTCTTCCCAGTGGAGTTTATACTTTATGTTTTGGAAATTTCCTAAAATCCCTATCAATGAAACCAAAAACAAATCCCCCACCCTGTCTCCCAGTACTTTGTGTGTACCTGATGTCCTGTCCTCCTAGTTGCTTGACATAGCACAATGAGGAAGAGCAAGGGACAATAATATGCCAATGAAAGACCCAGTAGATTTGTTTGTGTACATGTTTAATGGGCCTGCCATCAGTTTTAACCAAAATCAAGGAAGCAATGTGAAATTAACATATGGCACGTAGCGATCATTGCTGCCAACGACGACGTTAAAATAACTACAGTCCCATATGGCGGCAAAGTGCATGTATTTACAGGGGCTACAGACAGACAGAAGAATACTTTGTCTGTCACTTTGCTACATGGATACGCTGTAACCTAAGAATTTTACCAGCAAGAAAAGCATTGGATGTTCACGACAACAGCATCAGAATCCAAGAATCCCGATCACACCATGCATATATAACGAGACTGAAATGAATGCAAGAGGGAAAAGGAGGGACAAAATGCAACAGAACACACTAGTTATTGCTCTAGGGTTGGTATGTGCCTGGAATTGGATTCTAGCTATAGATGGTGAAGCTGGTGAGTACTTAATCGGAGTCGGAAGCTATGACATGACTGGTCCCGCCGCCGATGTCAACCTGATGGGTTACGGCAATTTGGACCAGAACTCAGCTGGTATTCATTTCCGTCTAAGAGCTAGAACTTTCATCGTCGCTCATCAGAACCTTCAAGGTCCCAGGTTTGTTTTTGTCAATCTTGACGCCTGTATGGCATCCCAGCTTATCACTATTAAAGTGCTTGAAAGACTCAAGTCAAGGTACGATCTCAAACAACCCAACCCATTAATCCATCCTTTTGTTTGTCGTGATCGTGATTCTTTTATATATCAACGTGATCTCGTTTCTTGTTTTAGGTTTGGAAATTTGTATACCCAAGAAAACGTAGCTATTAGCGGTATTCATTCACATGCTGGACCTGGTGGTTATCTACAGTACCTTCTCTACTCAGCGACTTCCCTGGGATTTGTACGACAGTCCTTCGATGTGATTGTGAGCGCAATAGAACAGAGCATTATTCAGGCGCACAATAACCTCAAGCCTGGTTCCATCTTCATCAACAAAGGTGCGCGTTATCTATATAGATGAACACATACCTATGTGTACGTATTTTTTTATATATAGAGTAAAACTTTCTGTTTGAGGTTAGATTCTATGATGGGTTTTGCGCAGGAGAGGTGAAGAATGCGGGAATAAATAGGAGCCCGAGTGCGTATCTGTTAAACCCAGCAGAGGAGAGAGGTCGGTACACTTCTAATGTTGATACAGAAATGACTCTGCTCAAGTTCGTCGATGCTTCAACTGGGAAAAGTGTTGGAGCGTTCAGCTGGTTTGCCACTCATGGCACTTCTATGAGTAGAGACAACGAGCTCATTAGTGGAGACAACAAGGGTGCAGCTGCTAGGCTCTTTGAAGATTGGTTTGCTTCGACATCTTCCTCCTCCAACACCAACTCTACTTTATCACCTTCTGGTATGTTCAACTTCATTCACGTCTCTGTTTCTGCTCAATCATCAGCTTTAATTCTTCTGGGTCACACATGTATGCGACAGATATTGAGACGTTGGTGGAGAAAGCAAGGACGATTAAAGCGACAGGAGGAAAGGCTAGCGGGAAGCAAAGAAGTCAAGCGTCCAAAGTTAGGAAGAAGGAAAGAGACTTATTTGTGGGAGCGTTTTGCCAATCAAATGTTGGAGATGTGACTCCAAATGTGCTTGGAGCATTTTGCATTGATACTGGGAAACCTTGTGACTTTAATCGCTCCTCATGTCATGGCAATGACCAGCTTTGTGTTGGCAGGGGACCAGGGTACTCTTTTGTAACCCCACTAGACGTTCATTTCATCATGCTTCTTTGTGGAATATAATGGATGCGCGTGTGCTCACAATTTGTTTTATCAAAAACAAACAGCTACCCAGATGAAATATTAAGCACAAAGATCATAGGTGAGAGGCAGTTTAAAACTGCAGTGGATCTGTTTACTTCTGCTTCAGAGGAATTGAGTGGGAACATTGATTATCGTCATGTGTATCTCAATTTCACGAATATTGAGGTGGAGCTTGAAGGCAACAAGGTTGTTAAAACTTGTCCTGCCGCTGTGGGTGCTGGTTTTGCTGCTGGCACTACTGATGGCCCAGGTGTATTTGGATTTCAGCAAGGTGACACTGAGGTATAAACCTGTGGTCTCTATTTCTCTTTTTAAGTTTCGTCTAAGTTGTGATTCGTTTAAAAGAATGAACCTATGACTATTTGGATTTATATTAACGACCTCCTGTCTCTGCAGATTAATCCACTATGGAAGAACTTGAGAGATATTCTAAAAATGCAGCCAAGCCAATATCAAGTGGAGTGCCAAAAGCCAAAGCCAGTTCTGATGAGCACAGGTGAAATGTTTGATCCTTATGCATGGGCGGTAAGGCCAATACCTATTGTCAGTCAAAGCAGTGATACGAAATGATTAAGTTACTAATCATATTGTGGGCCATATGACTATGTGCTTGTGCAGCCGGCAATTCTTCCAATCCAAATTATAAGGCTAGGAAAACTCATCATTCTGTCTGTACCTGGAGGTTTGCTTTGTTCAATTTTGCTTTCATTTAAACTCGAAAGTAACTTTTTGAATTTGATAGATGAGTTTGTATGCTTAGCCAAAGAAGAGGGCTTCAACATGATCTGTTAATCTTAAGTTTTGAGTACTGCAGAGTTCACAACAATGGCGGGCAGACGATTAAGGGAGGCAGTTTTGGAAGCATTGATAAGCAATGGAAACGGGGAATTCAATAATGAAACCCATGTAGTTATTGCAGGCCTCACTAATACTTATTCCCAATATATTGCAACCTTTGAAGAATATGAGCAGCAACGTTATGAGGTAACTTCACTGAGCTACTAGGAAATTATATATATATATATATATATATGTACAAGCCCATAATTAACAAGTGGAATTTGCAGGCTGCTTCAACGTTATATGGACCTCACACATTATCAGCATACATCCAAGAATTTAAGAAACTAGCACAAGCAATGGCAAAAGGAGAGAGAATCACAGTATCAGATCCTTCACCACCAGACCTTTCTTCTGTACAAATCAGCCTCTTACTCGGTCCCTTTGGAGATTCAAACCCGACAAGACAAGATTTGGTGATATGAAGGAAGACAGGACCCTCCCAGGAAGAGGCTATTTTACACAGGGAGAAAGAGCCAGTGCCACTTTCTGGAGTGGAAATCCAAGAAACGATTTATTAACAGAAGGCACGTTTACATCCGTAGAAAGACTTGAAGGAGAAAGGTGGATTAGCGTTTATGATGATGACGACTTGAGCTTGTTTTTCCACTGGAAAATAGATAATAGCTCCTTGCATTTGAATGGCTTCGCAAGCATAGAATGGGAAATACCCAATGATGTTGTTTCTGGAGTATACAGACTGAGACACTTTGGATCATCCAAGGAAACTGTTGTCTCACCCACCCTATACTTCACTGGAGCATCGAGTGCATTTGCAGTTGTACGGCAATAGATTATAGCCCCATCCTCCCTTTTTTTTTTAAATTACGTTTCTCCATCTTTCTCAGAAATAAGTAAGTACTGGATGTGATTTTTCATATTACAAGTCAGCGTTCATTTGTCCATCCGAAAATGAAACAGAAGAAATTGCGGCGTAAACATGCGACGGAAAACCTTTCTTGTGTTAGCATTATTAGATGACACAGAAGGATAGAGTTCACTATAACAAATAATAATGCAGAGAGATTGTGCCACAAAGATACATGTGATTAGTATTACTGTGCGTTTAAAATTATTTAATTAATTTTATAATGGGGTCAAACGTTACATTTCTTTCCTTGTGTGTTTATTTCTTGACACTAGGGTCTTGTATGAAGAGTTCCTGTGAAATATAGAAGCATGTGAGCTTGGGGTCTGTTGATTTTTTTAGAGAAAGGTGAAAGAAAGATGATATGCAAGATATAAGTGATCAATTAAACTAAAAGATTTTACTTCGACATAACATCCTTGTATAGTTGTATTTGTATACCCATTTCTCCAGGCTAATAAGTGTTTTCATTCAACTTTCATATCATTTACAATTCTATAACAGATTTGAGCACCATCTGAGAATTCCTTTCAAAAAATCTCTAAATAGTATAGATCGCACTGCAAAACATAGCCAGCTTAAATTTATTGTACTAACTTATATTTTTTCCTTGTTTGTATGTAGATATGCTTTCATACAAATTCTGAAAAAGCCAATATCAAAATCAACATAACGTCCACTTTTTAAAAATACCAACTAATGCTAATGTTCAATAAGATTTCATGGCCTTATTTAGTACGCAACATTGAAGGATAAGAATTAGAATTGAGTTAAAGAATACCACATTTAATATATTTAGTATAAATTATTCACCAATTATTGGGATCACTAAATCCCACTTAATGAAAATACTAAAATCGACCACTTCTGGTGTTGCAAAATTAATATTTATATTAAAACTTTCATGGTCAAAATAGTCTCCTAAAAATTGACCAGAGTCTTTTCTCCTTCACCTCACTAGCACGGATCATTTGCCATGGATGACTGTATTGGTGGCTTCCTTTCTTGTTGGTGACAGTTTTGACAGAAGCAATAATGAAAGCAAGAGCAAAAGAAACAAAAGCAATAACAAAAATAAAAATAGAAGAGACAAGATTCGCAAAAGCAATGATTATGACCCATAGCAACAATGGACCTTGACACAAGCAAGAAAATAAGCAGAGATGATTGAGGGTGATGAGTGAGACCATTTTCATTTCCAATTGCATAAAAATCAATACTTCATACCAAACACAGCATAGCTTTTTTTTTTTTTTTTACCTGTTGGGTATATGCAGGGTAGAATTATGTTAATGATGGAGGGGGCCAAACCCCTTCCTTAATATATATATATATATATATATATTAAACACCAATTATGAACCATATGAAAAGAAAAATATCAACACCCACTTTTTATTTGATTCATGCAAGCGTGGAGTGTAGGAAAAATTACATATAAATTTTATAAAGCAAATTTATTTATAAATAAATCTTGTGATATTTGAAAACACAAGTAGGTCACTTGTAAATTAAGTATAATTTGAAATTGAAATAAAAAGACAACAATACCTCATATCAATTAAATAATTTATAACTATTTTATCAATAATTTATAGCCATAATTTCAATATTTCACAACTGTAATTTTGCATATCCAATAATTAAATGAATCAATTTAATTATTGAATATATAAAGTTACAGTTGTGAAATGTTAAAATTATAGCAATGAATTATTGGTGAAGTAATTGGAAATAATTAATATTAAACTCTGTTAACACATGATTGTTTAACTATTGCATATGTGAAGTTACAATTGTAAATTACTGATGAAATAATTGTAATTAATTATTTAATTGATGTAATGTATGTTTAATAAGGATATTATTATTTTTACAACTAAATTTAAAATTACAATCAAGTTTTAAGGAACTTAGCTGTGTTTTCAAATTTCATATGACTTATTTATAAATAAATTTATTCCACATGACCTATACATAATTTTTTCTATAATAAGTATATATATTTTGCCTCTTATAAAATTGTGAGTGTAAGTTTAAATATTAAAAATTTTCTTTATCAATATTTAGTTAATTCGTTTTAATTTACTTAAATTAATAATATTTATTAAATTAAAAAAGTTGGCCCCTTAAAATCTAAAGTCTAGTTTTGCCCCTGGGTATGTGTTTGTCGTTGATAGCCTCCTTCTGCACTTCTTTCATCCCCGAAAATAAAATAAAAACCCCTTATTGTACTTCACCCAAAAAATGAAAAATCCACTGTTAAACTTAGAGCTTTTTTGAATGAACGTTTGTATAACTACACTTTGTATAAACTATAGTTTGCAAACTAAAATTAGAATAAAATTCAGTTATTATAATGTAATTTATGTTTGAATATTCTTCTGCCAAGAAGTCGAATTGACGAACTGAAATTTATTTAAATAATATAATTAAAAACAAATTTAAATAAATAATAACTGAGAATGGCATGGCCTCGTAAAAAAACCTAAAAAAACATGAGTCGTATGTCTCTCACAGACATGTAAGTATGCAATTTGATAATTTAAGAAAATATTAAAATTATATTTATAATTATAAAAATAAAAAAATTAATGTATCAATGTAGTCTATATTTTTAAATATTAAAAAATTTAATTATATCTATTTGAAGAATATATATATATATATATATATTACAAATAATAAAAATATTGAATTTATAAATAATAAAAACATCAAATTTAAAAGAAATTATGAAAAGATAAATAAATTATTCAATAAATTTAAAATGTATTAAATTTAGCTTTTGATTTCAACATAACTAATGTAAAATTTTTAAAATTTAGCCTTTGATCTAATTTTAGTTGAGAAAGAAAAGTTCATTTATTAATTACCCTTGACAAACTTTTTTTTTTTATGCCAAACAACTTTTTGAGCCTCCGAACTATAATTTAATCAATTGATCCCAAACAGGCACTTAAACAGGTTTGCTTCATTTAGTGTGCGTTTGGTTTTCAGTTTGTTAAAAATTCATTTGGTAAAAGTTCATTTGGTGAAAGTCAGTTTAGTGAAAGTCAGTTGTTATAATGAAATTTGTGTTTGTATATATTTTTTTAAAAGTTAGTTTGATACATTAAAAGTTGTTTGGTTTGTGATAGTGAAATATGCTTTTGAGTGTACAATTACCAAAAAGGACATTAATTTATAATAATTTATAATTTTTATTATACAAATGTAATATATTTAAAATATTTAAAAATATAATAAAGATTTTAAATTACACAAATTTTGATCTATAATACTAAAAATTTGATCTTTAGTTATTTGTATTTTTTTAATTTGTAATTTTAAAAGATGTAATAAAGATTTGTAATTTTTAATATACATTAATGTTAAAAATTAATATGATTAATTATTCAATTTATAATACTAAAAAAATTGATACCTAATTATTATTATTAAAATAATAATTTATTTTTAATAATTAATTATTTTTTAAATAAAAAATAAGAGATTAAACTTAGGATAGTATGGTCAAATAACAACTTACATTTTAAATTTATTTTTAAAAATTTTAAATAATTACGTTTTAAAAATTTACTTTCAACTACTGTTTTAAAATGTATTTTTTTATAAAATATTTTATTTAAATAATTTTTAATTTTTTAAAAATAAAATTTTGCTTTTTAAACCTACCTGAAACGAAAGAAAACCAAACGGAACTTCGACTTCAAGGACTTCAAGGACTTCAAGGGGCTATTTGTTGGCTATTAACGGAGCGGGCGAACAGTGCGTGATCGGACCTCTCCATGGCTTACTCGTCAACCCCACGGAGCTCCGGCGCCGCCGACAATCGGAAATCTAAGATAATGTTAGGGTTCGTAAACAACGCGAAGAAACATAAGCACAACTTCATTCAATTGGCGGCCATGACGGGAATTTTTCTGCTGAGTTGCAGATCTTTGGGGCAAAAGTACCGAATCCATGATCTTGAGGAGGATACTTATAAGCTCAACGAGGAGCAAGAGTCCCTCTCTGAGCGCATGAGAAACATCAAGAGTGCACTACTTCACGAAGCTTCTCTTGACTCTACCGGCCTCTTTGCTTCTCGCCTTCGTCTTCTTTTCGGCGAAGAAGATTAATCATAGGATCCAGGTTTCAATTTTTTCTTACATATTATCAAAACACGACTTCAGTCAGAATACAGGCTATGTTTTTGTGCTTTGAATCTACGAAGTGAATTCTAGTGACATTCGGAAACTCTGTCCCATGCTTCACTACTATGTTGATATGTTAAGTAAATTAGAATTTATTGACCTCCTCATAGTTTAGTTGAGCTAGAAAGTGGTCGTAACTTTATTTTCAATGAAGAAATCATTTATATTTTGTTTTTAAAAAATCTATCTGTTGTTCTCTGATGCCAAGCTCTTGGGATAATTATCGTCTAAATGAAGAGGTTCCGATTGTTTAAGCGTGATTTCCCTAACTCGATTCGAGTAGGTTTTAACCCTTGGACGATCATCTATTGTCTCCGTTGGATAGGACTTTGGAATTCTGCGTCCTGGTTCATGGGCATTCTAAGAATACCTATGCGGACTGTTTAATCTTGCTTGTAGAAGTTCTAAACAGTACTGGATCACTCTGCCTTCTGATCATGTCTTAAAAAAAAAAAAATTAAAACCTTTTTGGATTTCATTTCTATGAAAATAACAACATTTCGACTCCTCCATAATATTGTTTTCACTCTTAAATCAGAAAATGAATTTTGGGATTTGGATTTCCTGATATACGATATAAAATTGTTAGTACTTGAAGCTGAGATGCCTGTGATTCTATCTATCTGTTGTGAATGATTTGGAAATTAGTGGCTAACAGGCTAAGCAATGCTCCTCATCATGTTAAAACTTAAAATATAGATCCCAGTGTTCTATAGTTGTTAGTCTTTAGCTGTTGATTCTTGTTTGATAGATCTGAAGTTTTGATGCATGATTCTGTCTGATAATCATGTCATGCTGATTTGGATTTTTGTTGGTCCATGCTCAGGGTCCTTCTCCCCCTCATGCTGTTTTAAAATTCTTTACCCTTAAGCTTTATTATACTAGCTATGGAATTATAGATTCTTTCTTCAATAGAGTATACTATTTTGATTGAATTGTGGCACCAAAACTGGAAGGGTCTTATCTTCGTATGTTTGGAGTCTGATTCATACGGCTAGCAGGGTAAGATGGGGCTTAGAGAAAAAAGGGAGGGAGAGGAAGCTTTTCCTGGTTTTGCAGTTTTATGAAGTTTTTGTCCTATATAGCTTGTAACATTGATTAACTACTTCACTAGGGAATTTGAGCTAATTATTTCAATAGTCAAAGCTGGTGCGATCTATTTAAAGTGGGATTCATGACTTCGAAAGTGTCTGTATGCTGATTGTGTTCTTAATCCACATAGTCCTGGAGCTACTTCTAAAATCCCGATGCTGATGCCATGGGAGTTATAGTCAGGCCAGCAATTGGACTCAGATTCGGATCCCTTCCATTCCTTGTCTTTCACTGTGTCGGGAAATCAAATTGAGAAGCATAGAAAAAACTCCACTTATGCATAGTGAGAAAGACAATAGAAGAGGAATGTTTGGATGAGCATAACTATGATCACTTTTAGCACATGTATTTTTAATATTCGAAATTATTCTAATAATCCTTTTAGCAACTGTTTAATAATCATTTTATCCTACTTGGCTTGGTTATCAGTTTCTTTAAAATTTAATTAATTTAAAATCGTCCGAGGTGAGTGATGAAAGTCATGAGTCATAACTAGTGGACTAGTGGAGTCAATTCATGAGGCTCGAAAACGAGGGGGGGGGGGGAGTCTTGATTGGAGATGTTGGCGCTGATATAAAGCCTTCAGCCTTTTTTGGCCAAAATATAAAGCCTTAAGCTTAGTCTATCTTTTTTATGCTGTCGGATGTGTTCTTATCAGATTTAATGCATTTCATAGAATGCGACAATGACACATAACCGTTCGTATCTCGTGGGCACCAAGTCTAGCGATGACATAATATGGTGCTACTCTCAGTGTCGTTCAGAATGACAACTTGGTTTGTTAGTTTGTTAGTTTATTTAACATTGAATAAAGTCAACGTCATATTGCATATCTTTTTGTTATACCCGCATCTTAGTCTACGTAGTTGCTGCTAACGGCAACTTTGTTGGTGGCTAGTGGCGACCATCACAATCTTGTTAATTGTGATGACCAGGCAACCATGTATAAAGTAATTGCTTTTCTTTTTGTTTTTTGTTTTTTGCAAAAATGGGAATATTTCATTCAAGCCAACAGGAATAACAACAGAGATAATTGTTGTTGACTGTTAAAAGAGATTATTAATGGTTCATTGTAATTTATATTTTTAACAACGGATTGTTATATATGATTCCCACTGAACAGTAGAGATCATTGAGATGTGATGTCAGTTGCATGCCTTGGTTTGTATCAAGTGATTTGATGGTACAGTATAGTGCTACTGACTATTGGCTCATGGTTGGAGGGTGGGAAACCTGAACAGAAGATTGTACTTATATTAGCTAATTTAAACTTTTTTTTTTGGTCCAACAGTAGTAGTGAAGAACTTCCTCTCCTGGAAGTCACTTTCGCGAGCCTGGGCTTTTACCGCGATGCACGCTCCAATGCCGGAGCTTGCCTGATATGGGTATTGGCTGCTGCTGCTTCTCGTTCGTTTCTAGTTATGAAAAAAAATGGAATCGTTTCTCCTTTGGAATCCACTTGCTCGGCCTTTTCGTTTCTCTTGGCGGAAAGTGGGGAGATCGCCCCTCGTTTCACGAAAATAAAAAATTACTCAGCGAGTTCAGCAATAGATTATACATTATTATGTATTATTAAATAATATAAAAAAGGGGCAGAGTGGGGATATTACTGGATTAGCATGGTTGTGAACACGTGAGGGTGGCCGAAATTCAGTGCTTAGGGAACAAGGGCAACCGTTTGTGAATACATGTGTTACTGTTGGTGTTATTTCCTGTTATACGTGCCTCTGACAAATCCATCATTCATGTGCGCATTCTGCATTTCTAAGTTAAATCAATACTCCCCATAATGTGCGAGAAGGGATCAGATTCATCGGAATGGAGAACCATACATATGATAATTAATTCCTTCACTCCTCATGTACCAGACTAGCCATCCTCAAAAATTTATCCTGATTGTAACTTTCAAGGTGCAAATACAGAAATACTTATTTGGCCAAAAAAAAAAAAACACAGAAATACTTGCTCTTACGTCTCATTCGCCGGAAATTAATTAATTATTGATTCATGTATCGGTGGGTTTACTCGAATCATTGGCTCCTCTATTGATTGGTGAGTTATAGCAAATCATGTCCGTCACAAGTTTTAAATGGATGAAAGAACAAACCAACTCGGGGTCCTCATAATTGAGTATTTACCTCTTGTTAGGTCTGAAGTGGTTACGTAACTTTAGAGCCCAAAGTTTGTGCAGGAGAAACATAGCCGTCCCGTTATTAGGCGGGAGAACCCAAACACTAAGTTAAACAACACGATTAACTAGCTAGATAGCTAGCATGCACTTCCTCACAGATTAAGCCATGTGAGAGGGATTAACAAGAAGACTAGAAGAGGTTCAAAGAGCAACATAAAGGTCAATGGAGGACCCCACATGCCCACACCACCGACACAAATTTCTTCTCTTTTAGAAAAACTATTTTCCTTTTGCATTCAATCTTCACCGCTATATGCGTCACTAGTGCTGTGTGAAGCGTGCCATCCCTGTTCCCTGCACATGTAGCTTCTCCTTTATTAGTCTCTTGAGTTCACTATCAAAGGAAAGCGAATACCCGGAGTGAGAGAGAGAGAGAGAATGGGGTTGAATATGGCGGCGAGAGGCGGCGTTGGCGTCGTGCTCTTGCTTCTGATAGCCATTACAGGGGCTGAAGATCCCTACAGATTCTTCAACTGGAATGTTACTTATGGTGACATCTATCCTCTTGGTGTTCGCCAGAGGGTGGGTGTGTGTGTGTGTGTGTGTGTAATATGCCTTTCTCTGCAATGTCGTTTTTGCTCGATCCATTTATACATTTTGATCTCTGCTTTTTTGTTGTTGCAGGGAATACTCATCAATGGACAGTTCCCAGGTCCAGATATTCACTCCGTCACCAATGACAATCTCATCATTAACGTCTTCAACAGCTTGGACGAGCCTTTTCTTCTCTCCTGGTATTCTTTCTCTGTTCTTCTCTTTCATTCTCATCTCCAGTTCTAATTAAATTTAAAAACCATAATTATTATTATGTGATAATTCCTAATACATTTATCTCTGCATCTATGTATCGAACCAAACGCGTGTCGGAGACTATACGTGACTTAGGTTCGTGTTTCCTGTTGATTCATTTGGAATGTTTGTGGAGTCACATGGTGACGACTTAATCACAATGAAACACCCCATGTGTGGACCTGGATCCATCTAGATCTGATTCATATTATTAAATAATTGTGTCACTGTAGTTTCATGTCAAAATACGAAAGCTTCGTTGTGTTGTTAATTGGTCTCGTAGTTGTAGTTGCTGCCGGGAATGATTTGGGATGATGGGAATTGGGACGTATTTTAGAGGCCAATGATCCACTCACAATTAATGGACCACTGTTAATTTTGTACATTACCACTTGCAACTTCTGTACGTGTTCTACAGTGTATAGTATTATAATGCCTCCCCTGGTATGAGGAAATGGGAATTAATGAAGATTGAATGTGAATTAGGGGGTTAATTGAATTAATATGAGAATAATGGGAAAAAAAACAGGAACGGGGTGCAAAACAGAAGGAACTCCTTCGAGGATGGTGTAGAGGGAACGACGTGCCCAATCCCAAAAGGGAAGAACTTCACTTACATTTTGCAAGTGAAGGATCAGATCGGAAGCTTCTACTACTTCCCATCGCTGGCCTTTCACAAAGCTGCCGGCGGTTTTGGAGGCATCAGGATTCTGAGCCGACCTAGGATTCCGGTTCCCTTCCCTGATCCCGCTGGTGACTACACCGTCCTCATCGGCGATTGGTACAAATCCAACCATACCGTACGTTTTCTTCCCTTTTTCTCGTGCCTTCAATTTCCATCGAAATTACTGTTCACCTGCAGGCGAGATTCAAGTAATTTTAATTTAATGCCTTTTTTACTTCCTCGTTCTGAGGAAGGCCAAAAGAAGTCAGTGAAATGCATGGGGTCAATATCTTCGACATGAGTGAGCGGAAGTGTGACCATAATGGATTTGCATTACAGTGGCTTGTGTGTGTCGGCAGAATGAGTACAAATTCTCACAAATACCATCTGGGGGAAGCATATGATGAATCTGGGAAAGGATTATGAAGGAGTTTTATGACAAGAAAAATAATTAACTCTATGAAAAACTATATATTTTAAACTCTATTAAAGTAAAATCTTTCAAGGCAAGCATCAATATCCAGACTTTAATTTCCTTCAGTATAGTCCCGTGAATCTCGGTCTCCAACAAACCCCGCCCCCCGTTTCACTCTACCCCACATTGATTATTGACAGCAGGATAATCTTAAGAAAGTACTGGAAATATCATGTGACGTCCCTTTTGTTCTTGTTGGGTGCCAACTATTAGCCAATCATTAACTAGTTGTAAATGCTTTTTTTTAAAAAAAAAAAATCTAAGCCCCTGCAATTTCCCTCCCAAATCGAATTGTGAAGTCTTCAAAATGCCAAAAATTAAAGTATCTTAATTATCAAAAAATTATGTGACCTAGAAACATACGAAGCCCACCGACCACCATTCTTATCTCTTCCAGATTCTACAAAATCCAGTGACAAGGTCCTTGATCCATTCCTTTCATTTTGTCCCAACTATTTGAATCCTGGTATCGTGTAGTGTGTGTGCGTGGATTGTCATTTCTAATTATCTTTTGGGTTATGAACAGACCTTGAAGGCCCATTTGGACCGCGGGAAGAAGCTGCCGTTCCCTGACGGAATCCTCATCAATGGACGGGGGACTAACGGCGGAGCCTCTTTCAATGTCGAACAAGGTACCGTCTCCGTCAGGTTTAAGCTTAGTTAGTCCACTCTACCGTGCAGGGTTGGGCTTTGACTGGATATATTCTTTTGTATTATTATTATTATTATTATTACTTGTTTGTTGATACATACATGAGTAATAAGTATTAACCTTATAATTTTAAGCTATTCAATACAAGTTATGGAGAATCTTTGTAAGGTGCATATTTTTCGTTGTTTTGTGCCGACAGGAAAAACATACAGGCTCAGAATTTCCAATGTGGGGCTCCAACATTCGCTCAACTTTCGGATCCAGAGCCACAAAATGAAGCTGGTCGAGGTTGAAGGAACACACACCCTTCAAACCACTTTCTCCTCAATTGACGTTCACGTGGGTCAATCTTACTCCGTCTTGGTCACCGCCGATCAATCTCCTCGCGACTATTACATCGTCGTCTCCACTCGCTTCACTTCCAAGATCCTGACCACCACTGGAGTCCTTCACTACAGCAACTCTGCTGGGCCCGCAACAGGCCCAATCCCTGGTGGGCCCACCATCCAGGTTGACTGGTCCCTGAACCAGGCTCGCTCCATCAGGACCAATCTTACTGCGAGTGGGCCCAGGCCCAACCCTCAGGGCTCCTACCACTACGGCCTCATCAACACTACCAGGACCATCATCCTGCAGAGCTCAGCTGGTCAGGTCAACGGCAAGCAAAGATATGCCATAAACAGCGTCTCGTACATTGCGCCGGACACTCCTCTGAAGCTCGCCGACTACTTCAAAATCTCGGGGGTATTCCGGCCGGGAAGTATATCTGATAAGCCCACTGGCGGCGGCATATACCTCGACACATCCGTGATGTCAGCAGACTACAGAACCTTCGTTGAGATTGTATTCCAAAACAAGGAGAACATTGTTCACAGCTATCATCTCGATGGCTACTCTTTCTTCGTGGTCGGGTGAGCATCGAACTAGCTCTCTCTATTTCTCTCTCTCTCACATATTTTGATCGAGATTTGTAAAAGAAGTATGTCTTACGAAGTGGTGATTGTGAATGGGATTGTAGAATGGATGGAGGAGAGTGGAGCCATGCAAGCAGAAACCAGTATAATCTTCGAGACGCAGTTTCACGTTGCACGACTCAGGTAAAAAAATATATATATATATATATATGAAATGAATAAAGGAAAATGTGAAAATATGTGAAAGTTGATAGGGGGTTGGCGACGCAGGTATATCCCAAGTCGTGGACGGCGATATATGTGGCGCTGGACAACGTGGGGATGTGGAACTTGAGGTCGGAGTTCTGGGCAAGACAGTACCTGGGACAACAGTTGTATTTAAGGGTATATACGACATCAAGCTCTATCCGAGACGAGTTTCCCATTCCTAAGAACGCTCGTCTGTGTGGCAGGGCAAGTGGAAGGCACACTCGACCTCTTTGATTTCCTCAGCGAAGCCGTTCTAGCTCGGCATGCTGCTTGCCTGCTTTACTTTACCACTAGTTAATATTTATTTGCTTCTGATTTTCAACTGTCGGGTGCTTTTGCCTTTTGGTGATTTCCCTCTGGATTCATGAACTTGTATCATTAGTTGATTGCCACCCTCTTTGACGATGACCTCAGCTCGAGGTCTCATTCTTTCCCAAAAGCAGAAAACGGAAATGTTCGTGACCGCGTGAAGAGTTTTACTATATGTATACACGTCAGATCAGATGTTCGTGCTTGGCAATTTTCTTTCCTGGCATATCTTTTGATTTTACTTTTGCCCCTTGCATATATATGGAGTTAAATCAAGCACAAATCCGTATTTCAGTTTCTCACATGCATTATTCTTCATTAAAGAGATGCTTCCTTCCATCCTAGATGTGGGAGCTACCAAACTAGTTTACCCAAATTAAAATCAGGTAAGTTAGTTATTTACTAAAAAAATAAATAAAATTGGCGCATAAGAGGTTTTCAAAAAGTTTGTGAATGAACATTTATTTAAGGATGATAAACAGACGGGCTTGGTCTATAAGTCATTTATTATTATTCTTTATTTTTAAAATTTTTTTAAAATTAAAAAATTTAATTATGATATTTCATATTTTTAAAATACAAATTATAATATTAGAAAATTAAAAATAAATAATAAAACAATTTAATTTTAAAGTATAAGCATATATTTTTTAATTTAAATTCAATTTAAAAATAAAATATATTTTTTACGGTCAAAATGAAAAATGATCTAAAATGGCCATTAAAATTCAAGCTTATTTTTTCAAGGCCTATCAGAATTAAACTTCAAATCCTAATTTTTTTAAAAAAATGTTATTTTTTTCAAACTTAAATTTTTATAAAAATAAATTTAAATAGTTTGTTCATCAAACTTAATCTTTATTCTCCACTTTACATTTATTGGGCTCTTGAGAATTAGACCATTAAAATAATTAGGGAGACTTTGTTTTAGGAACAACGGATGAAAATTATGCTTCGGGCCTGAAGAATTCTTTGGGTTTGAAATGCACTCCTCGAGACAACAGCATCGGTAATTAATTCATTGTACAGTTCTTGTTAATTGAAACATTTAATTTCTCAAGAACAATTTATATATTTTTAATTATACTTTCATTAAATACCCAACATAAGAATCTTGATAATAATAATTAAAATTTCGATACATTATTTTTTTCAAAAGAAATAACAAATGAAATAAGGATACAAGTGAAAAAAAATTATAAAAATTGTTCAATATTAGGGGTGAAAATGTGTTAGGTTGAGTTAGGCTTTGATTAAATAGTCTTATACGTGTGTGGTATGTCTGAGACTTGAGATTGGCTTAAAACTTGTATAAGCTTTTCTTAACAGCTTTGGTCTGGCCTACTTTACATATTAATTTTAAATATCTCAATTTCTATAACAATAAAACAACATGATTTATCAACTCCAACATATGATAATTAAGAAAACTTACTAACTATGACATATCAATATAATAACGACATTAAAATTAATATATAAGTTCAATTAAATTAAAAATATAACTAAAAATAGATTGATTAAAAATCAAATAGTAAGATTAATGTGTATGTTATTAAATAAGGTGTATGTAAATAAGCCGTTTTGTTAGGCTTATAAGCTAATCCTTATTAAAATATGTTTTAAATAGGCCTAATCAAAGGCTTAACTTATTTAATAAATATGTGGGTTAACCTAAAGTAACCTAGTTTCCTAGTTTGTGTTGTATACATTTTGAATTTAGAAATGTTTTTTTATACCATAATCAGAGGGAATAATTAATTATTATTAGTGGTGCTTAGATAAAATAAAAGCCTTGTCCCAAATAATTGATAGTGGTGACCATAGTTTGGGTGCGTACATGAAAAAAGATACCCTATTATTTGTGGTGAACAACAAATATCAGGCATGTCAAAGACATTGAGTTTCAATTGATAATAAAAGGGTCACAAGTTCCTTTATTACAGTTTACTCGGATGTAAAAAGATATAAAACTTGTTCGATTTTTATTGAAATGTGAAAAGATTACAAATCTAAAACTAACAAACTAACTGATAAACTAAAAAGGGCGAACAAATATAAAATTATGAGTTGTTGATTAAGTGTTGACTAGTTTCTTGTGTGTCTTCTTCTTCTATTCATAATATCAGAATAGTGGTAGCTTCTTTTTTGAAATCTAGCACATTTTGTCGAAGGATTAGAGATCTCGCAAAACTCATGACATGATCTTTATTCTATACTCTCCACTATGGTAACTAGCCTTTTCACCGAAATACTTGAACATAGATTTCGACATTTACTTAAGATTATATCTTTCTTGCCAATGATCTAATATCTATAACTGACGGGATTTTAACATGTTTATTTATTATAACTTTTATTGAGCCTCGGGGCTAACCATTTTTATTATATTGGGTTTAATATTTCAATTACTCAACCCAACTAACCATGTAACTTATTTAAATAATATTTTATATTTAGTTCAAACACCTATACAGAGAATGCGACATGGTCTCAAGACTACTTCGCTGTCCTTGACATTGTGTGATTGTATCCGAGCTCTCATTATATTTCGTTCTCAGATCACAGCCAAGGGTGGTTTTTCAGTTTGCGGCGACTGCTCATGAATCTTAACATATTTTTAAGTACTCTATTTAGTCAGTACGTGTAAACCTCTTTTTTACGCACGGATATATCCTGCAGGGCTAACCCTTTTTCTATATATAAGCCTCATCCATCGTAGAGTCAAATCAAATCATACGCCCACAAAAGGAGAACGATGCTAACCAAAAACATTCGCGTCTTGCACGAAAACTAATATGTATCCCCCTCATCCTTGAACGCCCCACCCAACAACTTGAGTACTCTACCCAGACTACCTTAATTGAAACCCTCTGACAAAATGTTTAATACGTCTGAGCCACGCATGTATCGCATGCGAAGTTAATGAATGTAATTGACACTTTTGCCCCCAATGCAATTTGAGGCGTCCCTGTGACTGGACTTGTGTGGACTGTGTCCAGAATGAATTAATCCATAAAAGCTCGCACTGATCATCACAAACACAAACACAAACACAAACACACAAAGGAACATTAAATAGGGCCCTCTCTGCATGGATAAGGGACGTGGTAATTAAATAAAAACGATTAAGAAGTTACCAACAAGGTCTACATAGTTTGGCTGCAGATGGGTGGAGCTCTCAATCATATTGTTGGGAATTTATTAATCCTTAGCTATGCATAAGAAAAAGACTTTGTCAAGAGAGGTAGGGGGACCTACTTCTGTAATCTCTACACATTTTGAAAGGGATTGTTTGTTCTTGATTATCAGATGGAGATACTCTTAGTATGAAAGGAAAACAATCAAGAAGTTGTGTGGGAGGTGGTCTTCATCCAGGTTACGGAGGGACGCACTAAAATTGTTTAATATTGTGAATGCACTATAAGTGGTTAATTCAATCATAACTTGGGTGCAGTTCAGAAAGTAGATCAAATGTATGTTGTCCCGTTTCTGGTCTGCTGCTAGCCCGCCACAGTTTCTTATCTTAGAAGATTTAAATTGATCAAACCAATTATGAAACCCAAAAAAAAAAAAAAAAACCAAATCCAGATAACAACGAGACGGCAACTCTACATAAGGCTAAGAGGAAAACAAAAGCAGGAAGAGAGATAAAGAAGAAAAAGGCGCAGTCGCAGCTATATATCCATATCTGTCTCTATGTCTGTGTGTGTAATTGTAATGAACTTAAGCAACTGTAAGAAGCTTAATTATATATTTGGAAGCAGCCAAAAGCATCCCGCAGAAATCAGATCTTATTTGCAAATACGTTCATGACATTACCTGTGAAGTGTGAGTGTGTGTGTGTGTGGGTGTATCAGAGATGCCAACAGAGAAAGCGAAGGCAAGATCAAGGCCAGAAGTTAACAGTACAGAGCGAAGAAAAAGGATCAATTAATGATGAGAGAAATGAGGGAGAGTTTTACGAAGAGAAGCTAACAGAGCTCCGTTGGCAGCATGCCCACCTCCTTTGATTCATCAGTACTGAACCAAGCCAAGGAGGTGGACAGAATGCCAAGAAACTCTGTAAGCATTCCTTTGTTAAACCACCCCCCGATAATGCCAATATGGGATGTGTGTATATAACTATAACTACATACATACATATATATATATATATATGGACGTTCTCGTTTGAGATGAGAGATAGATGAGGTGGGTCATGGCTGCCATCAATTAATTAATATATTATAAACAGTGAGACTAGTAGCTCTACGAACTGCTAGGAATGAGTATTTTAATATTAGAGGCTAGAAAAAGCGAGGAGGCAGGCTCAAAGAAGATTGGATGTATGGATGGTTCAATCATCGATGCTGAGTCGTGAGAGAGATTTAGAAGCACAAAAGGGATCATCATTGGTATTCTTCACCTCGCGGCTCCCACTCCCATCCCGTCCATCAATCTTTTCACTCCCTCGATTCTGATGCCTACCTATGCCAACCTTTCCTTTATTTATTTCATTCGTCTTTTATATATCTTCTAATTCCTTTCATACAATGCTTAACCACAACACAACGCATTTGGAATTGGACCAGCAACTTAATTGCTGCACTTCCGAAACTAACTGAGATACGTCCCCCTTGGAGCTTAACAAGAAATTTATTACAAGAAAAATAGTTCACGACTAGCTAGGAATGGATTCTATGGGATCTTCTGTAATATTCCTCGAAAGTCATGGATGATCATGACATTGCGAGGTCTCGCTTGCATTGCGCTGCAACGAAGTCCCTTCAACTGAATTTTTGAACCTCTTGTGCAGACAATTGCTGATCTGTCTTTGTTGTGTTCCATTAATTGGGAAGCAATTATTTTCACTGAGAAAAGGCTTTACATGACGCCCAAGGTGCAAGCTGTTGCATGCTAATGTTTAATCATCTTGTAATGGAGTACGTACACACCAAGTGCAGTGTAGTTCAATAATTGCGAGAGCCAAGAATGATTTGGGACGATGGAAAACCCTGCGCCTAGTGAAAACAGAGATGTGCTATTTGATGAATAATTCCAACGTTAAAAAAAGAAAAACACACAGCTAAGCAGCAATGATAAAAGAGAAGAAGAATATCAGTTTGCAGAAACTTCAGTATTGACTTTACAGGCAGTTTTATGATTCATCTTTTAGCTTTCTCTCTGACTTGCCAAACCAGGAGACTTTCTCCACAAACTAGAAACCGCATGCCCCAAATATAAGATTGTTGTAAGTGTAGTAAGATTGATATTTCATGACATAATCATAGGAACAGCTTTTGTACCATGTTTGGTGTCTGATTGGAGTTCATGCTATTGAAGAAGTTAATGCACCATGTTCTTTGATGTTTGCTACAGCACAACTACAAGACAGGAATTAACCTTCCCATGCAGGTACGTTGGATCCTGCTTCTTAATTACTAATTAATCATGTGGGAGCATTATAAAAATTTAAAACGGAACAACATGAGAAAAAGCAGATAGAGAACACATACATTATAGAAAGAATGATTGGGTTTAGGTGGAGAGTAAAAATAATATTTTAGGAAGGCGTGAATAATATGGGAATGGGTTAAAATACTAAATAATGCATGTCATGTGATTCTCTGAGAAAGAAAGGACAAGGTGTTTGACACAGATAACCATCGAGGACCGTGTTTGGTCCACTGGTGAAGAGTAGGGTATCCCCCCCCCCTCCTTTCTCTTAGCTTTTAACATTCTGCTTTTCAAAACCCAAATGATGGCTTGCCATATTCTCTGATGATTGTGGCTGCATATTCTCTGTTCCCCTTCGATGACTCCACTGTTTAACTTTTTATTTAAAAAAAATGGTTTCTAGTTTCTTTATATCCCTCATTTGAATCTTCCTAAACGTAGGGGTGCTTCAATCAATGCAATCCAAACCCTATCGCGTTTTTTCCCAGCCTGGCCATTTAACTCATGTCCTGTCAAACCAATAAATTTAAGAATGCTGGATAATGAAAACTAGGAAAGGGAAGAGGAGGTGATTGAAGTGGAAGCGTGTGCATCAAAAGTTAGTTCAAATCCAATGAAATCCACAGTATATATAATTGAACAGTATTCTGGAAGCTATATCAAGACTTGTTGATATGGCTCGACATATTTGGAAGTCCAATACTCCAATACGACGCTTGGTTTAGCTGGGAAGTGGATGGAGTGCAGGTTCTGATTTTACTTGTTTGGTTTTAATTCATTAATACCCAAACAGTTCATAATCAAGGTAAGGAAAGGCATGAGACTCCAGTGTCTGTTTCTAAACTTCACCGTGCAAAGCTGGGTGGTCACTGTCAGGATTGCACAAACTGCTTGCCTGGTCCTCTGTACAGGAGCTATATTGACTATTTTTATGATTTTAAACTAATGAGTTAGAGTTGTTTAAATGTTAGGAGTTTTTGCAACTCTTTAAAATTACCATTAATGACAAATTTTTGGGCCAACCTTAACAACGATGTCTGTAAATAGGGAAATAAAAGATGAGGTTTGGGTACTCACCTTTTCATATTCTAAAAATCCTTTTGCACTTTTAATATGTTCAAAGTTATTTAGGCAATAATTGACGACCTAAGCTAATTTTATGAAAGTGTATCTAAATGAGCCTAAAAGTGAATTTGGCCCATGTGGTTATGCGGAGCTTTTAAAGTGTAAATCCAGCTAATGCCTCTTATATCCTTAAAGAAATTCACAAATTCACGGTGAATGATATTTGGGCCCACACCCTTCTTGTAACCACAAGAAAAACTTCTACATGAGCCAATCATCCATGTACAGATTAATATTTATTTTGTATTTTCACAGTTAACCCAAATTTTATAATAACCAATACTCCTATTTAGTAACGTTAATTATTAGCTATGAACCATTTGCTTTAAAACTAGGCTTAGCACAAAAATTTTATCTAATTGTATTTTTAAATGAGGTAAACAAAGTCAATTATTGTAGTTATAAAGTCCCCTTTAACTTGAGTAAAATATAAAATATCAAATAACATAAAATCTTAAAAATTTTTACTACAAAAATTACAAATAATAAAAATTAATATTTTTTTTAATAATTATACATTCAAAAGCATGTTTCATTATATAATTTAAATTTTTAGTTTATCAAATTTGCTTGTAAAAAAATATATTTAAATATAAATTTTATTGTAATAACTAATTTTTATTAAATTGACTCCTATCAACTAAATTTTTGATAAATTGACTTTTGGCCAAATGAAAAACCAAACATGCAAAATGTCAAAGTAAAAGACAATGGCACTTCTGAAAATAGTTTCATAATGTTTTAAATAAAATTTCGTTTAATAAAGTACTCTTTCCATTAAAAAATATGAGATTTTTGTAATATTTTAAAATATAATTGTCATGCTTTTTTTCAAAAGTACTCATAAAATAAATTATTCTATATTTACTTTAAAGTAAAATGCCTTATTAAATATGAGTAAATATAAAAAAATAATACTAACTTGAAGATAATTAACTAATATATTTAGGTAAAATTTAATTAAATTTTATATTTTTAAATAAAGAGAATAAAAATTATATTGGTGTACATAAAAATTTAAATGAATTGAGTTTAAAAAAACTTTTAACTAACTAGAAGAAAAAAAACACGTATCATGCCCTTGGGCCTCGACAAGAACTAAATCCGTACTCCTCTCCAAGAAAAAATTCCCATCAAGTTTGCTAATGGGATATTTAAAATTATTTTTATTTTACTATTTTAAGAATTAGTATTGTACAGAACATGTTTTAAGAATAATAAATAATAAAAGTAAGTATTATTATCATTTTTTTTGTTATCTAGAATAATAATCTCAAAATACTTAAAAGATGTTTTTTTCTTTCTATTTTTTATAATAATATTTTATTTTTTATTCTTTAAAACACTTTTTTAAAAATAAGTTGCCAAATGGATTTTTCATTTTTTTGTTTTGAGAAAATAGAAAACAGTTTTGAAACAAATTGTCAAATAGGCCTAATTTTTTTTGAAAAATTGCAACCTTTCTACAGTTATCCATAACTAGAAAATCTCCGTCCCTCATATTGGTTTTGCAAAGTAAATTTTTTTTTATTTTTTTTATTGTCCAAAGTATTTCACAACTAACAGCTGTGAGATTAATCTCTTAAAAAATTTGAATATCATTTAAGAAATTGTTCTCTCATGAGTCTCTTTTGTTTTACGATGAAAAATTTTACCTTGAAACAACTAGAGATGAAAATACAATTGTTTAAGCCTATTTTTTTAGACATAGATTTTAAGAACTAAAAAATCATTGTATTAAAGGGTTTCTAAACTTGGCCCATTTAAACCCAAAAAAGCATGCTGCTTCTTTAAGACTACATTTATTTTAAGTATAAAAAATGAAGCATTTTAAATTTTTGGATTAAATTTACATTTTATAATAGTATTTATATTTTAAAATATAATTTATATTATTTATTTTGAATTTTAGAATATTATAATTTATATTTTAAACGATAAATATGCAATGTTATAATATCAGATTTAATTTTTAAAAATTTAAAAATAAAAAATAATTACGGTTTCCTTGACCCAAAGCCTGCTTTTGGGCCTAGACAAAGGGATTTTTTTGGGGGAGGGAGGGGGGAGTGCGCTGAATGGAAGGAGAGAACGCAATATCCAGGGCCACAAAACTGGAAGGGCGAGCGTCGGATATAATCCACACATGAAGGAGAAATATCTATGCCACGTCAGAGGATAGCATCCAAGCTGACCAATCAGAGTAGTTCTTTGTGGGATAGGCATGCGTCCCGTTATCCAAATCGCACAGTTCTGCATTTATGCGAACCACACACCATTGAATCACCTCATTCACAATTCAAATTCTTATATTTCCTTACTCCCCTGTGACGTTCTGCGTGATTCTAGTATCGAGTAAGACGTTCCGAATGGCCACCGTCACCTCCTCCGCCGTTGCCGTTCCATCATTCAGCGGTCTCCGAGCCAATGCCGCAAAAGTTAACGGCACCCAGAAGCTGATGGCTTCTCCATCCCAAAGGGTGAGCTCCGGCGTTAAGGCTTCCCTCAAGGAGGTCGGAGCAGCCTTTGTGGCCACCGCCGCAACCGCCATGATAGCCAGCAACGCCATGGCTCTCGAGGTTTTGTTGGGTGGTGATGACGGATCTCTTGCCTTCGTCCCCAGCAATTTCTCAGTGAGCTCCGGCGAGAAGATCGTGTTCAAGAACAATGCTGGTTTCCCACACAACGTTGTGTTTGATGAGGACGAGATTCCCGAAGGAGTGGATGCTTCCAAGATCTCCATGCCGGAGGAAGAGCTTCTGAATGGCCCCGGAGAGACGTACAGCGTCTCCTTGGTTGAGAAGGGGACTTACGCTTTCTACTGTTCGCCTCACCAAGGAGCTGGTATGGTGGGCAAAGTCACCGTTAATTAATTAAAATGAAGCCTTCTTTTTTTCTATTTTCTTTTGTATTGTCTTTTTGTAGCAATGGTGTATGAGATGAACTAATATATATGAAATGCACTCATGTAATTCATTTGCTCTCACTCCTGCATTTTCATACATAACTCTAGACCTGGCTAGAGAGCATGGGAAGATTCCTTCCTGGAGGAAGCAAAGAAGAAATTAACACTGGACATACATACCCTAAATATGGATTTTAAGGATTACCGTTCAGGATAGAGAAAGAATGGCTCCATTCTCTGATTCTCATAATATGAAACCTACATCTCCAGATTCTCCTTTTCCTATCAATTCAAGTTTTTAAATTCCGTCTACGCAACAGGATATTAACCACTGTGCATTGTATATATGAAGAAGCCCTAAACCGAAATTCGCATTGTTTATTGTTATGAGAGCTATGTGGCCTTCTTACTTATTATGGGGATGATTTGCAATATGCGCTTTATTAATTGCATTCCATGCTACATAGCTTAAGCGTTAAGAGAAGAAACAGTTGAAATTTAATTTAGATGTTTATAGATTCTTCCAAACTCAGCTAAAATTTGCGCAGACTAGCATTTGAATATAACGTGAAAGTTAAAATTAATTCAGGAATTCCAACCAAAAGGGGCGTTCCGAGAATCGAACTCGGGACCTCTCGCACCCAAAGCGAGAATCATACCACTAGACCAAACGCCCGTAATTGAAGGCAATGAGTTCAATAAAACTCTGCACTGTCTTCAACTCCAATGGGAATTTGGGGACCGGGACAATTACTTGGGGAATGGCAGCGTGCGTTTGGCAATCGTTTTGGGGCCAATAATAATCTGAGAGCCCAAATAAGGATTACAATTGTTCTACCCACTCTTGTCACTCGTCAGATGAATTGGACCAAACCTCGACCGTCATGTCTCTTTACTGTTTATTGCTCTTTCTTTTCATTTTTTTGTTGGTTACCTTCAAACCTCGACCGCTATAATGTCGACCCAGGCTATTTATTCATCTTCGTTGCTCTATTGAAGGAGGGGAGAAGTTCCTCGCCACTGCGATTTATGCACTGCCGCACTCTTAACTTCCGAGAGCTTTATGGCAGAACTATATGATTTTAGCAAAAATATCTCTAAACCCTGGGTAGTGTTTGGTGATTTTAATGACATTGCGTCACCAGATGAAAGAATTGGGGGAAGCCAACATCACTTGGCCAGAATTAGATGGTTCAATGAAAAAATTGACTAATCTAGGGTCACATGGGCCAAAATTCACTTGGAAGGGTCATCATGTAGCAGGATTCACTAAACTTTATCAAAGACTTGATTGGGCACTAGCAAATAATCTTTTTTAACCACTTTCCAAGAATGTTTGGTCAAGGTATTACCTAGAACTCTGTCTTTTGATCACAATCCTACATGTATTAAGTTGCGTGGAGGTAAGTACGCTCTTACTAGTAGAAAGCCTTTTCGTTTTGAAGTTATGTGGCTAAAACATGAAAATTTCAAAACTTTCCTCAAGGAGAATCAGGGTGTTAAACATGACTTAAGTTTTAATCTGTGCAATTTTAAATCTAATATCCTTGACTGGAATAGAAAGATATTTGGTTTGGTAGAGAAAAAGAAGAAATAGATTATGGCAAGGTTGAATGGTATACAAAAATCATCGTTGCACCCTTACTCTGAGTTCTTGAAGAATTTATAAAAAAGAACTACACAGAGTTCTGGATGAAATCTTGAAACAGGAAGAGATAAAGCGGTTTCAAAAATTGAGAGTTAATTGGACCAGTCAAGGTGATTGAACACTAGATAATACCACTTGAAGACTACTATAAGGCAAAGAAGAAATAAAGTCATTGCTTTGAAAAATAATTTTAGTGACTGGGTTGAATATGAAATTGACTTGCAGGATATGGTAATTAATTTCTTCAAACAACTCTATGAGGAAGGAGAGAAGGATTATCATGAATTGAAGACTATAACCTCTTTCCCTAGAGGCTCTCAAACACTGATATGTGATTTAGCATATCTACCTTTTGAAGAGGAAGTCAAGAAGCAGTATTCTCAATGGGACCATATAAAGCACCTGGTGTGGATGGGTTTTCCCCAATCTTTTTTCAAGTAAACTAAGGTATAGTAGGGCCCTCCCTATGTAACTTTGTTAGAGGAGTGTTTGAAGGCAAACTTCCAATCAAAAAGGTGAACAAGAGTCTAATGTCACGGGCTGAGAGTCTAGCGCAGCACACGGCGCCCGTGCGGCGTCCTGGAGGACCCCATAATCCTCAAGACAAGCCTTACCACATATGGATCACACTGGTTTCGCCCTGCCATGGGCTCGTCAAGGAGGCGGCACTAGCCCCCGACCAGTTGTGCACTCAGCCCAAAGACTGAGGCAAAACACCTCCAATGCCAATGTCGCCCCCTTTACCCATATTGTGCGAGGTTAACCAGCGGATCGTTCATTATATTGGTCTTTACACGGTCACAGAGATATCATCCGTGACATTCTCCCACACTCAATCTAGCACTCCCTCATGCTAGGGGAGAAAGACTCCGCCCAAGGATCGCAAGTACAGTACTGCCACAAACACATCAGCTTACTGCTAAGTGGCTACTCGAGTCCTGCACTCTTCGGACCCACTTGCACCCCGAGCCAACAGGAGTGGAGTCAACAACGGCCAACCTTCTCGCCCGAGTCCCCACTTTTAGACCCACCTGCTCGGAGGCCTTTCTGAAGCGGTGCCAAGGTCGACCAGTCCCAACGTGGGACCCCACAGGCACACGACAATAAAGTACGTCCTGCTCTGATACCACTCTATCACGGGCTGAGAGTCTGGCGCAGCACATGGCGCCCGTGCAGCGTCCTAGAGGACCCCATAATTCTCAGGACAAGCCTTACTACATACGGATCACACTGGTTTCGCCCTGCCATAGGCTCGTCAGGGAGGTGGTACTAGCCCCCGACCAGTTGTGTACTCAGCCCGAAGACTGAGGCAGAATACCCCCAATGCCAATGCCGCCCCCTTTAGCCATATTGTGCGAGGTTAACCAGCAGATCGTTCATTATCTTGGTCTTTACACGGTCATGGAGATATCATCCGTGACATTCTCCCACACCCAATCTAGCACGCCCTCGTGCTAGGGGAGAAAGACTCCGCCAAACGATCGCACGTACAGTACTGCCACAAACACATTAACTTATTGTTGAGTGGCCACTCGAGTCCTGCACTCTTTGGACCCACTCGCACCCGTGAGCTAATAGGAGTGGAGTCGACAACGGCCAATCTTCCTGCCCGAGTTCCCACTTTTGGACCCACCTGTTTGGGGGCCTTTTTGGAGTGGTGCTGAGGTCGACCAGTCCCAACGTGAGACCCCACAGGCACACGACAATAAAGTACGTCCCGCTCTGATACCACTCTGTCACGGGCTGAGAGTCTAGCGCAGCACACGGCGCCCGTGCGGCATCCTAGAGGACCCCATAATCCTCAGGACAAGCCTTACCACATACGAATCACACTGGTTTCGCCCTGCCATGGGCTCGTTAGAGAGGTGGCACTAGCCCCCGACCAGTTGTGCACTCAGCCTGAAGACTGAGGCAGAACACCCCCAATGCTAATGTCGCCCCCTTTACCTATATTGTGCGAGGCTAACCAGCGGATCGTTCATTATCTTGGTCTTTACATGGTCACGGAGATATCATCCGTGACACTAAGCTCTCTAATCCTTAAAAAAGAGAAACCAAAATTTGTGACCCATTTTTGGCCTATTTCCCTTTGCATAGTGCACTATAAGTGCATTTAAAGAATCCTTACTAAAAGGATGAAGAAGATGATGGATCGAGTAATTTCCCCATTTCAATCCAGCTTTGTTCCTGAAAGACAGATTCAAGATAATATTATTATGGGTCAAGAGATATTACATATTATGAATAAAAAAAAGAAGGCGAGGACTTATGGCAATTAAGATAGACTTGGAGAAAGCCTATGACAAAATCAGATGGGACTTCCTCTGTCAGGTTCTTCAAGAATTAAGAATGCAATCTAATTTTATTTAGCTTGTTATGGATTGTATTTCTTCTACTTCCTATAATGTGTTGTGGAATGGGGCTCAAATTGAATTTTTTCCCTCTGCGGAGACCCGATTTGACCTTTTTTATTTGTGTTTTGTATGGATAGGCTGTCACACATTATTTGTGATGCAGTTCATGAGGAGAAGTGAAAGCCAATTCATGTTATTAAAAATAGGGCATCAACTTCACATCTTATGTTTGCATATGACTTCTTATTATTTAGAGAAGCTTCAGAACAGCAGGCTAAAGTTATGATAAGGTGTTTGGAGATTTTTACTAATACATCCAGGGAAAAGGTTAACAAGAATAAGTCCTCCATCTTTTTCTCTCTTAACGTAGACACGAGATTAAGAAGGAGAATCAAATAAGTATAGGGATGAACAACTTGAAGGAAATTGGCACTTACTTGGGATTTCCTTTGAATAAAAGTGGAAAACCTTTAGAGAAATTCAAGTATATTATTGATAGGGTTAAAACTAAGTTGGCAAATTGGAAAGTAAATTGTCTCTCTATTGTTAGAAGAGTTACCTTAGCAAAATCAACTTTGAGTTCAATTCCCATTTACTAATGCAAGTTGCTAAGGTGCCTATTAGGATATACAAGGAAATCGAGAGGCTTCAAAGGAACTTTATATAGGGAAAAGATCAAGCTCATGCTTATCATCTTATTAGCTGGGAAAAATGACATTACTAAAGACTCATGGTGATTTGGGATTTAGAAGACTACCTTCGGTTAATAAAGCTTTAAGGGCTAAACTTTTTGGATTATTATTATTGGAAGTGATAAGCTGTAGGCAAACATTCTTCAAAGAAAATACATGTTAAGAGATGAGGATGATCTTTTAGTAGCTAAAAAGGGTGACTTACAGCTTTAGAAGTTTATTTGCAACCAAAAAAGCATCATTAAGGAGGGAATGAAATGGCGGATAAGGAATGTAGAATTTGTAAGTTTTGTTAATGACTTTTAGCTTTTTAAAACTAAAAAGGTCAAAGATATGTGTGTTAAAAATTTATCACAGGAGGAAAAAGATAGCAAAGTTATTGATTGGACTATTCATTGTTCTTGGGACTTCCTTTGCTTTTCTCGAGTAGTGTCATTGAAAGTTATGTAAAAATTAATTTCAATGATGCCGCCAATGCAGTGCAAAAGAAATGACATGATGGTTTGGAGTGGCAACTCTAATGGTTATTTCTCTGTAAATAGGGCATACATTTTTGTTGAAAAAAATCCCCCTAATTTATTAAATACTACCTTCAAAGCCATTTGGAAGTGGAAAGGAGTACAGAGAATTAGATTTTTTATGTGGCAAATGTTTCACAATAGGCTCCCTACCAATACTTGAAGGAGTTCATGGTCAAATTCTTCCCTGTGTTGTAACTAGTATCACACTGAAGATGAGGATATTTGCAAGTGATAAGGGACTATAGCTATTCATCCAAGGTATCAATCTCAATTCTTTGTTGCTTCTTTAAATGATTAGATTGCTTTAAACCTTAAAAACAATTTAGGCAATGAAAAGGGAAATTGGGATCTTGTATGGGGTGTTACTATATGGAAGTTGTGAAATTAGAGAAATGGTAGTATTTTGGTGCCTGATTTTCAAAAACCAATTGAACTTGTTAATGAGATTACGTATACATGGAAAACTTTTATTATGAATGTGGATAATGAAGCACCTAGTAGTTCTATGGATCATACCCAACTATACAATCGGGTCCTTCCACTATGTGACGGGGTGAAAATTAATGTGGATGAGACTGCTACGTTATCTAGTCAGAAAGTAGGTTGTGGAGGAGTGTTAAGAGATCATGAAGGCTATTAGATCATGGGATTATGTCATAACTTGGGCAAATATTATGCATGCGATGTTGAAGAATGGGCAGTTTTAAGAGGTCTATGCCTCGTTTAGGATTTTGGATTCAAACATGTTATATTAGAGTCTAATTGTAAGAATCTGGTTAACTAGATTAATAGGGGCAGTGACAGAAGTGAAATGGGCAACTTCATTTTGTTAGAGGTTATTAATATGCTTAAGTGGAAATGAAATGTTCAGATACATTTTAAGAATAGAGAACAAAATCAAGTGGCAGATAAATTGGCAAAAGAGGTGATCGATTACTCTTTTTGTTCGAGGTGACTCTTAATTTCTTGGGGAGCTTATTGTCTTCTAAAAGCTTGGAGTCTTGATCCCATTTGATGTAATCCTTTTTCTATTTTGGGCTTGGCCCTCTTTGATATAAAAAAAAACTAATGTCATGCCATGTTGAAGGATAACATCTAAAGTAACCAATGAGAGGAGAGCTGGTGAGATAGGCATTTGTCCCATTATCCAAGCCTCACATTCTTAGGCATGTTTGAGCCACACAATAAAAAGATTAAACATCATTCATAATCTATTTTCTTATTATTACACTTCCTCCACTGTTTATCCTCTATAACACAAGTCGTACGAGTGTTGGATTGAGACAGAAGTTAGGACGGCCACTGCGACCAGTTTTACTGTTACAGTTCCATCATTTAATGGGCTCAAGGGTAATGCCACCAAAGCTAGCGGCGCACCCAAGTTGACTGGGTCACCATACCCCAAGGTGAGATTCAGCATTAATGCTTCACTCAAAGAGGTTGGAGGGGTAGTGGTGGCTACCGCCATAAGCGTCGTGATAGCTAGCAATGCCATGGCTCTCGAGGTGTTGCTGGGCGGGGATGACGAATCTCTTGCCTTCGTCCCCAGTAATTTCTCAGTGAGCTCCGACGAGAAGATCGTGTTCAAGAACAATGTTGGTTTCCCACACAATGTTGTGTTTGATGAGGACAAGATTCCTGAAGGAGTGGATGCTTTCAAGATCTCCATGTCGGAGGAAGAGCTTTTGAATGGCCCTGGAGAGACGAACAGCGTCTCTTTGGTTGAGAAGGGGACTTACGCTTTCTACTGTTTGCCTTATGAAGGAGCTGGTATAGTCGACAAAGTCACCGTTAATTAATTTTGTAGCATTTATATATGATTGGTGTGTGAAATGCCTTTGTGTAATTCAGTTGCTCTATTTTTAATGTTTTAACTATGAAGACCTTTGGAGTTTAGGATGCTCTCCCCCCATCTAGAAAATAAGAATGTTCAGAAATTAGAGCTAGCGTGGCAATCTACAAGGACAGATTGATCTGTGATCTTGTGTTGTGGGATGAGATGAATGATTCAAGAATAAAAGATTATGCATCCAAACCACGACTGCACAAAAAAAACAATAAAGAATTAATTAAACATTAATAAAGGTGTGGTATGCAACACAAGCCTACTAATTAATTAGTATTTACAACTTACATAAATTGGCCTATTGATTTGATTACATTCCATTGTAAACAAAAAAATAGTTCAAAATTCAGAGGCGGGTGAGGCACCTTTAATATATATTGCCAAGCACGTCACATCCAGTCACCCATTTGATATTTTTAACCCTCAAATTTGAATATTAGAATCGAAACTAAGAGGGCACTATGTAGCGAGGACATTAGGAAGGGTAGTTCGGCTGCCAAGTACCTTGCTACCCACATCTGGAAAATTTTTGAATCTAGGTATGGGACATACCTTACCATTAACATCCACGTATATTGGATATTTCAGAAGGTGGCCCTGCAATGGAGTGAACTAGTTAGCTGTGTACTTCTTCCAGTTATCATTAGCAATCTTGTTCACTTTCTTCACGCATTCCAAACTTTCAGGCTCCTTGAAGCAATCATCCACCATCCCAAGATGTTCAGCCCAAAAAGACATTCTATACCTGTAAACCTGCATATACCATATTCAAGATGATCGCAAAATGAGATCCTCATATTTTTAAGTGCTGAAGACAAACTGGGGAATGTGTTGTGTTGTTTAAACCTTTCTGTAAGGGTGTCCCCCTTTCTTTCCCCATGTATGATGGGGTTGAAAAGCACCCATTGCTATCTCTGTATCTCTTGAATCTGCCATCGATCGTTGATTGATATTGGCAGACCCGAGTAACACATATTCATCATCCACAATTATTCCCTTGGCGTGCATGTAAATCATAAACCATTGGAACCTTTGTGAAGCTGAAACCTGGTCATCCATAATCGTATCTTATTTCTGTTCTTTAGTCTTTTTAATTTAATAATAATAATAATAATAATAATAAGACAGGGTTGAATGATTACTGTGTCACCGTCATATGAAGTACAATTGCTTGAACTTAAAACTTCAGCTGGCAAGTTCTCTCGATTTCCCAAACAGTAGAAATTAAGGTAATCTCTAGGGCGTCTATTGTGTATACGCATGGATTTCAACTCTTTTGCTATGATTTCATACATCATTTGCATAGTTTGTCCCTGATAAAATGAATTTAACAGTTTTAACAATCACAAAATAATAATTGATTTGTAAACAAATTCTATAAACTAGAAACATATTTCACACCATGTTACCTGCCAAAAAAGAATCTCTTAAATCGAGGCAGAAGAAGGGACACCCTCAGGCCACATTGGTATAACAACATAAATAGAAAATCTCTCATTGGCTTTGATTTTGCTGGCAATCTTCAACGCCAACTCGATAGGAACTAAATTGTCAGCACCTGATCATTATTCAACTCATTATTAGATAATCACAAAATGTCACGGGAAACAAGGAAGAAAACAAACATGCTCTTAGTCAATCTCAAAACTTCGTGATAATCCCTTCCTCTTAAAAATAAATATATTATCTATGCTTTAAGGAAAACCACAACAAGGCAAGCGTTTTGTAAGGAAGTACAATTGGCAAACAATAAGCCAGCATGCCCAAGTTACATCCTAAGCCAAACAACTTTTATTTTTTAGCTATTAAATTCAAAGTTAAAAGAAATTTCTAGTGACATAAGTGGACATCAATGTTCTGCCAAACCTGCTTCTTTGTAAGACGGCCATGCAAAAAACGATCCAACAAAATATTGATTCTCAATGTAAATAAAATGTTGAGCAGATCTGATGGCTTGTATGTATGCTGTTTGTATACTTTTGTCAATGACCAAATTCTTTGCACAAATAAGGTTTTGCAACAAGAAATAAAATAGAAATTAGTCTAAAATGGAATCTCAATTTTAGATGTGATATGTGTAGTCAAAGATCAAGTTTGTCGGCAGATTATTTCATCCTATTAAAGTAACCTGAGCCTCGGCTTCATATACATCCTTAGGAAATCCTTTCAATGAACCCGAATCTATTAATCAAAAAACCTGTGAAGCAAATGAATTCAAGTAAACAAATTCTCAGTTCAAAGAAGCAGCAAAAAGAAACTACAAAGACTATAAACTAGTTAACCTGAACATACCAGTTTTCAGGATCTTCTTCCTTTAAAACCTATAATTCTGGATCATCATTTTGAGTAAATGCAGGACTAAGAATCCAAGAGATGCATTCTAGCTTTATCAAAGAATCATTGTGCCAATGAGAAACTTTTTTAAATTTTTGACCCAACTCATACCACTTGGTGGCCTTTCTCCAGCGTTGCTTAAAATTAGTAAGTATATCATATGCAACAGGTCCCTCAATTTTGCAATGCAAATCATGCCATGGTTGCCTTGGACCTTTCATTCCAACCTATTGTTTAAATGAAAGGAAAAAGAATTTTCATTTAATAGTTTGCACTAGCTTTCTCAACTAAATTGATCGAATATTTAGACAAGGAAGAATGCTTATAAAGTTAGATGTGGAATTAAAATAGCATCCTGCAAGATGTTAAACAAAAATGAACCTTGCTGGCTAAGAGGAAGGGACAGCAGGAACCTTTTACCATTACTTGACTACAACTTTGTACAACTATCAAGTAACATTAATAACTGAAGCCAAACCAACGCACATGTGAAGTTTAAGACTCGAGGCCAAAGACATTATCAACTTACAATACAATAGATGGATATAATAGCCAATAATCAAATCTGATACAACTAATCAAGTTTACATTTTTAATTAAAGAGATAGAGATGTTGGTAAAAAAAATTAAAGAGATGGAGATGACCAGATCAGGATTGCAATATATCATATCCAGGTGTTATATAATGAAACAACAATGTGCTCCCTCATTCAAATGTTATATAAGGAAGTAACACTAACATTAACCTTAAAGACAAATAATTTGTAATGCATAAAAAAGCACAACACTCAATACAAAACGACGATCACATAATTATAGAAATAGACAAATGGTCCTAGATTAGCCTATTATTCAAGACGCTGCCGATCTCCCTTGGAATTATTCTCATAGAATTTCCCCCTAACTGTCTTGTAAACTTAGTCATTGTTTTGAATTTCTCGATCTTCCCCACTTCCAGTATTGCATCCTTTGACTCCAAACTCTCATCTAGATTCTATAATGGGACTATACAACTTACTACTAATGTAAACATTTTTTGAGAGACGACATACTTACAGAAAATGTAGGGTTGTGATAATCATTCTTATAAACAGTGTCAAGATCTTGGAAAACTCAATGCTCAGGTGTATCATACCGACCATCACACAGGTCTAGACCACCTATAAATGCAGTTATCTTGCGATTATTGCCTTGTTCTTGAGTATCCACAATCACACATTTCTGATGATGTGTAAAGAGGGTTTCAACAACCTGAAATTTGTCTCACAAATTACAAAGTGTCCGTAAGTTTTCAAGTTTTCCATGGCTATATAATCTTATTAAGAGCCCCTAGGTAGATCATTTATAAAACAGCCGAGTGACATATAAAGGTAAGAACTTTGTGCCATATAAAATAAATTAAAGAAACCTCCATATATTCACGAACATGTGAATTAAAGTTTTAAGACAGTTTATATTATAGTAAGTGGAGTATTATCATAGAAAACATTTAAATTTACAAATACTATGACACTAGCAGAGTACAGGATAGAAAAGCATGATGAAAGCATGGAGGAACTTTCTGGGACAAACATGACAAGATATGAAAAAGGTTGCTAAAGCATGCCTGCTGTTTGATAAAGCTAAGCTTACTGCTGGCATATCGAGGTGATAACACACAAAAAACTAAAGAGTGTTTCAAAAATTTTCGAGTTTCTTCATCATGAGTATGCATTACTCCATCCTGCAAGCAAATATTTAACATGTAAGGTTATAGAAAGCTAAACGAGCACCGTATGGATTTAAGTGAATTGGAAATAAAAGTGCTACAAGGCCCCAAACCAGTATTCACCTGTTCAAGCCACTTGCATGTGCAAAACCCCACCCAAAAAAATACAAGGACAACAAAAGCTGAAATCTTGTGTAAAATATGAACATGATTGAATGTGCTAAATAAGTGTGATTTTAAAAGTTAAGAATTAATATCATATTTTCTAAATAGGCCTGAAAACTAAAGAGTATGAGGTTGGAGGCAAAACAAAAGGCGAATTTGAAAACTAAAAGTGACACATCGTTATGTTCGCTCTGCAGAGTAAATACTAGTTTTTTTCTTTTTTGCTAAATGAGACTCCAATACCACATAAGCAGTAAAGCAAATATTGGCAACATCATCAAACTCGAGTAGAACATAAGGTACTAAAAACAATTATCACGAGAAGAATAAATCCATGAATCCCAGTACTAACATTAAATCTATATTTTAAAGTGAATCACCACTATTGGAAAGATATAATTTCACCTGTAAAGGAATGTTTATTGAATTCAAATTCAAGTGAGAATCATAAGGCGGTAGAAAATAAATATGTTTGCTGTGTTAAAAATAGAATGAACCATAAGATATGCTAATACAAACGACAACTGAACATTAAAAAATTGATCAGAAAAGTTATACCGTATTAATGAAAAATTTACTGTGTGAAGTCTTATCATCCCAAACCAATAATAAAACTCACGCCCCTTCTTCTGACTTGTACTTTAGCAAATCACCCAAAATTAAATCGCCACCATTAGGTAAGGGCTTTGTGTGCTCCCTCACTAGCTTCACCTTATAATAGATCGACCAGCCTACAATGTAAACTAAATGGTGTGCTTCCAAAATTGCGTGACATATATCTTCCCAACATCTGCCTTGCTGAAAGAAAGTGCCATTCTCCAGTTTAATTTCTGGTACCATCGACTCTGGAACGTGTGCGTCTTGATATAACGTCACTGATCCTCCATGACATATCGAAAAATAAGAATCGCATACTTTGAAACGATCCGGCTTGGAAGAAATTCCATAACTATACAGAGGACTATCCTCACATTTTGTGAATTTCATCTCAAGACGAATGGCACAATCAGGTTTGGGTGGTTTACCATAAGAACCAAGTATGGGGAACCAATCGCTGATGAATTCACCAGATAAGATTCTCTCGACAGAGACGGTAGCAACTCCGATGAGATCAGCCCCGAACAAATCATTGTCCTTGACATTGAACTCGACCCACGAGATTAGATGAGCGAAAGGGATTTTAAAATACTCATTCCACGGCGGATCTTGCGAGTTAAAGATGACACGAGTTCGAGCCACCGTAGCTTTTGCAAGGCAAACGGTGACGTAAGGATCGCTGGTAATGATTTGTCTGTGACGATGGCATTTCCGTCTACTGAAAAATGAAGTTGTGTAGGAGTTGAAGAGAGAAAAGAATTGACTGACACGCTCCAAAAATAAGTCCATGTTCGGCAAACAGCGAGCCTCAAGAATTCTTAAATCAAGATCCCCATGAAGGTAGACCACGCTGTCCGATTTATCTCCCACCATTGAAGCATTAGAGTGATCAATATTGCAATCTCCAATCTCCAATCGCAGAGAAATGTGATGTGTTTAGAGCCTTTAATCTAAGGTCAGCATGCCCTGTGAGGAGCGTAGAGCGTAAACGGCCAGGCGGCTTTACCAGTGGGACATTTTCTCCTATGAAGAGCCAACGGCAAAATTGAAGGCCGCAACCTCTCTTCTCATGAATCGAACATTTATACACTCTTCATTCTGTTACCTTTACATCAACACGTGGAGGGGTTATGTAAACATAAATGTGTTTTGGTTAAAATGAAAAACTACTTTCTAGATTGTTTTTTATAGGTGAGACGAAGTGAATAATTGACAAGAAAGATTTTTTGCTGTTGTGTCGACATTGGATCCATTTTCAGAAGCATAAGCTTCTATTGATAATTATTAATCTTTTATTGATCACAGCTTCTAAAGCCTGCCAAAAAGAAAGATTCATTTGGGGACCAAGGCGAAAGTTTGTGATGCGTTTTTTAAGTGTTCTGGCTTTGACGATTATAATCATGCAAAGGCATCCAACGAATGAGACTCTAATAGATTGACCTGCCATGCCATGGATCCTCTTTGAATCCCTGTGATTTACACTTAATCACTAATTCAATAAGTACCACATGTGACATAATTTAATTAAATAACTGTCATAATATATTTTATTATATAATATTAACAAAGTATTAAATCTTAAATTTTGGACAAATAGTATAAGTAAGAAGTGTTTAGTTGTTAGGGATTGTTTTTAAATTTTTAAAAGAAAATATATTTTAATAACTTTTAAGTATTAATAAAATTCAACGGTCATAACTCAATGGCTTAGATCCAAATTCATTACCTCTATTTCCCTTCAATCCAAAGATCATGCTAATAAATATAGAAATCTGAAGGCAAAGCCAACAGTTATTGTAACTGTACCATTTTTTCCTTCTTAGTAAGTCAAAAAAGGGAAAAACTGCAAAATTGTATAAAAAGGTGAAGTGGGAAAATAAATTGCTATAGTTAAATGACTGTGTAACTCCCAATTAGACAATCTCTTTTATTACTAATAACGTTTGATTAAAAAAAAGACAAAATTATACACAATTCCTCTGAATTTTGGATCATTTAGAAATAACTCCCTAACCTATAAAATACAATGATAAACTTTCTTAAGCTTTCAAGTCTTTACATATACCTCTTAACCATTAATTATATTCCTTCTAAACTTTACTTTTATATATGTGCATGTAACACCCATAAACTTTGAACCCTTTGCAGATAACTCCTTTAAACTTTATTTTGTTTGGCTCACCAAAAAAAAAAAAGGGAGAAGAGAAAATTAGAAGGATGTAATTTTCTCTCCCTATGCTTGGTTTAGATGGAGAAAATGAGAAGAACAAAAAAAATTATTAATTTCATATATATAATAAAATCTAATATTTTAACATATAATTTATATAATTTTTGTTATATATTACTGATTAAATAAATATATGATTGTAAATTCTTTTATCTGATACCAGTGAAAAAAATAATAAATTGGCTCATTGGACAAAAAAATCTTGTACTCTAAAAACAAGGACCAAATTTTTAAAAATTTGAGAGTATGTTTATATTAATATACAAGGGGCTTATGATTAAAAATTTACAAAAGCTTTATTATTGATATATAACAATATATTATTAACAAATATAATAAACCAATTATAATATAAAATATAATAAATGTGGGAGTGTTTGAATGATTTGATCCTATAACATTGGATTATATCTACAAAAGCCCCACAAAAATTTTTTGTCCAGTTTTAATTTTTATTTCTTAAATTATGAAACATGTAATAATCTACATTATAAAGTAGAGAAAAAATTAAGATAAAAATAGAGAGAGGCAATTTGAAGGAAACGAAAAAATTCATATGTAAATTTGAAAATTGAGTTTTCTTTTCAAAATGTTTTTATATTTGAATAGAAAAGTTAGAAGTAAAAATATGTGAGTTCTGTATGTTATTTTCCTTTTAATTTCTTCTCTCTATTATTTTTCTCTCATTAATCAAACAGGAGAAAATGTCCTTTTCTCTCCACTTTTTTCTCACTTTTCCTTTCTTCCTACTTTTCTCTCCTACTAAGCACATGATTAAGGTTATACATATAAGTAATAAATAAAACTAATCACAAAGAACTTGTCCACATAAATGTAAGAGTTTAAGGGAGATCATTCTAAAATTCTAAAGGTTAGAGAGATTATCCATACCTGACAAAAAGTTCATTGGAATTATGTATAATGTAGCCAAAACAAAAAACAAAATTGCCTAAACATCAAATGTTATAAGGGGCCTGAGTAACATGAAAAACCAAAATTGATAAATTTCTCCCTACTTTTTTATCAAAAGTCAATGAAATTTTTGTGTTTTGTTAAGTTAGTTTCGAGCCAGAACAAGACTCTTCACACTTATAAATGTCACTTTTCTTGTAAGGTTTTGATTTCTTATTTTTGGGGCCAGGTAAGGTTCTTGAATTGAAAACATTAATTTGGTGATAAATTTGAATTGACAAAACGTAGGCAAAACAAAAACAAAAACAAAAAGGAAAAATGGACCAAATGCTATCACCCTTTCCATAAACGTAGCAAGGGAAATAAGTACTTTTATTGGGCTTCTTATTACAGTTCCTGAACACTGCAGCACTTCTAAAACGCTAATGATAGTACAAAAACAATATTGATGTTCGTACTTTTGCCATTTGAATCCCAGACAGGCAGAGACTACTGAGTACCCTGAAAATTACAACACTCTACCAACTTATACATCGAGAGGTGGACTTCAACATCTTGTTTCTCTGTCAAAAACTCAGCTGAAGGCGACGTTGGGACAAATAACACCCACGGCCACTGTAATCATACGAAACACCACACAGCCAGGCATGGAAGAAAGAAGCCAGGTGGGGTGTTTTTCCACAATGAGAAAATAATAATCATGATCTTTAACATTATGCCTCCAAGCAATTCTCGCTCGTGTCACTCGAAATAGGGGGAGCTCCCCTTATGAACGTACTTTGAACAAAAGCCACCATCTGTAAACAAAATTCGTTTAAGAAACAGTGTCATATGGAAGTAATTGAAAAATCCATACGGGTAATGTGAATACTACAGATGCCGCCTAGGTTGTCTAATTAAAAAATTAGTTTATAGCTAATATTTAACGATAGATATCATAATAGTATCAATGAACAAGGGCAACAGTCGGCCGAAATAAAAAATGGAAAAGCATGTGTCAAAATTAGGAAAGGATCAGCATGGATGCCACCTAGGTTGTATAATTTAAACGCAGGGCCTAAATCTGGTCCAATGATTGTTGAGTTAAAACCAGAGAGTTGATAATTATAGGCCAATTTAACCATTGATTTGACATCAAAGGAGCAACCTTGTCATTGGATCTGGACAGCGTCCATGTTTCTCAGTGTCCCTCAGTGTCTCAATTTAGCCCCTCGGATTTGTATCCATACTTTATCACATCATCCTATATTAAAATAATTTAATTTTTTTAAAAAATAACTTTTTTTTAGATTTTTTATTTTTAAAAATTATTTTAAAAAACTTATTTTACAGATTTTTATAAAAAAACTTACAATCTGGCTTATTTAAATTCTGAACTAATATATTTAATAAAAATTTTTTTAAAAAAACCTGCAAACTGAGCATTTAAATTTTTTAAGCATATTTTTATTAAGTAGTTCAAACCAGAGTTTGAAAAAGTTAGATTATACTTTCTCTGTTTAAAAATGTAAAGTATTTTTAACTGAATTTCACTTCTTAATAGAATAGTTACCTACTTTTAAACTAATTCTATCTTTTTATATTTACCTCTATTAAACATCATACAATAAATATAAATTCATTCATCAATAAGGGCATTTAAAAAAAACAATGATTATATCTCAAAAAACTAAAAATGTCTTACATTTTCTAATATATAATTCCTCAAAAAATGCCTTACTTTTTTTAACAAAAGAGTAAGTCTTTGTTTAAATATGTCAGGCCAAAATTTGAATAAGCTAGACTGTAAGTTCACTGTGTAGATTTTTTTAAACAGATTTTTATTAAATATGTCAAACTAGAATTTAAATAAGTTAGACTGTAGGTCCACATATAAAAATATACAAAGTAATTTTTTAAAATAAGTTTTGAAAATAGAAAATAAAAAAAATCTAAAGAAAGAATTATTTTTTTAAATTAAATTATTTTAATACAGGATGGTGTGGCAAAGTATGGAGCACGAGATACAAATCTAACGAGCAAAATTGAGGAGCTGAGTGATGCTGAGAAACATGGACGCTGAGAGGGTCCAGATCCCTTATCTTTCCTCACAAGCTTCCTCAAATCAGGCAACTTATGATTTGACTGGACCAGATCAGTCTTAAATACAGTGCCCGTTTGGATGAGGAAAGAACGCGCGTTTTGGGTCTAAAATCGATTTTTTCTGTCAATTTATCCAAACAGTCGAAAATGATCAAAAATTGATTATGGGCCAAAACGCGCGTTTTTTCAAAAGCTCCCTCTGTTCGCTTTTTGCCAAAAGTTTGTCAAAAACGTTGGGAAAAATTACAAAAACAGGTCCAGGAAAAAATTACAAAGAAAGCACATAATTTAATAAAAATAAAATTAAACTCTCTTCTTTTTCTTTTTTTTTCCTTAATAAAATTTAAACTTTATATATTTAAAAAATTAATATTTGATATTTAAAAATTAAATTATATAGTAATTTATATAGTTAAAAATTAATTTTGATTAAATTATCCAAATATCTTCAATTCTGTTAAAATCAATTTTAAAAAAACAGTATCCAAACAGATTATTTTTTAACATAATCAATTATAATTAAAATCTACCACTTAATCAATTATTTTCATAATCTATTATACTCAACTGAAATCCAAACGGACCCACAAAGGATATGAAGATACCGTTCGATACCACAATGCTAAATATAACCCCTTCGGGAACATCCCATGAAATTATAAATAAATAGTTCCAATACCTGACTTAGACAAATTAGCAACTGCAATCTAGATTCCAGATACCAACATTGGTAGTTCAGGCAAAAAAAAAAAAAAAAAAAAAGATACAACATTTGTAGTCTCAGAATTTCACTGATTTTAAACCGACACAAGACACAAATAATCAAAGGACTCTCTTCTCTATTATCAGAAAAAGATTAATTAAGCATCTGGTAGAGTATGGTCTTACCGAAGCAAACCCAATGCACATTATGCTGAAGCCAGGAAAGTTGAAAGGAGCCCCCTCAGACAGGAAGAGGGCTGCATAATGAAAGGAGAAATTGTTTGTTAATAAATTTCAATGGCAATTTAAACCTGGTACAACATAATGACATTCCACTGGCCTGTTAAAGGAGAGAAAGCCAAGGGAGAAACAACATGCGCAAATGAACATACGCCTGAAACACAACCCTGAGCCTTTCCCTGAACGAAAACCAAGTGGATCAGTGAGGCAAAATAAACAGAATGGATGCCAAGCCAACTGCTTTAAAACATGATGCCAGCAAAGTAAAATCATTCTCTTTTATCTTAATAAAAAAGATTCTGTAAATTGTATTATTTATGTATGACACAAATTGCAATGAATCAAATTCTTCTTCCTTAGACCAGTTTTCAGACAACCTTTGAATTTGACTGCCATGCAACAGATAAAATTGAGAGGGGATATAGCATATGCATTAATTTAACAAATACAAAGACCGTACATGTCCTAATAATTCAATATTAATACAGGTTCTTAGTTTAACGGATCAACCTGCTCACAGGGACGAACATGTTTGGATACCAGACTGCGCATCTGCAAATTGCAATATGAATTAGACAAATTCAAGCTTTGAACAAATCTTTGCCCAGAGACAAGAGAAAGAAATAATTATTCATTGTAAGGAATATATTAAACAAAAAAAGAAAGAAACACAAATTGAGAAACAAACTTACACAAGGATGTGCGAAAACAATTAATACTGAGAACATTGCAGCAGCATAAGGAACCTATCAGTTTTCAAAATGTTAACAGTTGCAAGAAATATATATAAAAAAAATTGCTATCCGCAATGATGTGAAAATACATACCCAGGAGGCCCATGCGATGCTGTAAATGATCATCTGCATCCCAGTCCACACATTATTAATGGAGAACTTGACAATGAATTTATTTCGTACGATAGAACAGAAATTAAAAAAATAAAAATGCTCACATGCAGACAGCCGAAAAAAAGTCCTATTGAAAGCAACCTTGCCTCTCCCAAAGTTGGAGCAAGAATGGGCATAAGAAGAAGCTGTGACAAAGTTTCATATTTAGATTCACAGCAAAATCAAGGAAACTGAAGACTATGAGAGAAATAGATGCAGATGGTTAAAGATGGTTCATAAAAGAAGAACCTGTGAAACAGTCCCTGCAATCCCAGAAATGACCATTAAATCAGCAAACTGATTCTTGTCGAAATGAAACCGAGCCTTTAAGTAATACTGCACAAAAAAGATTTATCATCATTGGCTACGCCAAAATGCAGATGCAAATTTCTAAAAATAATCTTTAGGGTAACAAAAATAATTACTTAGTTGTTATTTATATAATAACCTGCTGCCGTATAATTAAAAGAACAAGAAGGAAGAAAATCAGAAAGTACCATTAATGAACCATGAAGGCCAACATCGGCGAGGTTGCTGAAAAATGCAACAATTGCTGTTTGTGTAACAATCAAGCTGCAATTATGAGCGAATATACACAATTATCACACACAATATTAAGATCCCCGCTTCTTATGATATAATGTTCTACAAACACCAAAACAGGAGCGCTTACTCTAAAACTTGTACGCAAAATAATTAAACAATGAAACAAGTTTAGTTTTTCCTTCTCTTTCCTTTCCTTTCCTTTCCTTTCTTTCTTTCTTTCTTTCTTTCTTTCTTTCTCTCTTTTTTTTCTTGACTGAAAAACAAGTTTTGTTTCAATGTAAGGAAGATAAAGTAAGGAAGAGACAGAGAAGAGAGTGAGAAAATGTAAATTGGCCTACCTACTACCCAGCAAGGAGGTTAAGTCCTTCAATGAAGGCAACGTTTTAAAGGGATTCACATTTGATTTTGGCAGTGAATCGATTTTAGCAGTCTTGAGCTTTGCTTGTGGAGTGAGTGGAGCAGAAAGATTGGGATCGATGATTGAATCCGGAAGGAAAACTCTCATGTACACCGCCGCCATCACCGCAACAAGAGTAGAAACCTAATGCAGGAACATTGAAATGATTAATAATAGTGAAAATTAAGATGTGATTCACGGAGAAGAGATAAGTAGTCACCTGAAAAGTGTGCGCGGTGGAAAGGAACCTAGCTGATAAGGTGCCGCAGACGAACGCAGCGGAACCAATGCCGGTCAGAATTCCAAATGCAGCAGCTCGATGCCCTTCGCTCACATTATCCGCCTAAAATGTTGAGGGAAAACATAAAGAGACCCCTTCCAAAAAACATAAGACAACTAGTGATAATTGACAAAAAAAAGTTACTACAATTTTAAAATCTTGCAGAAGATTCCGCGTAAGAGCTAAGAATCGGTGAGTTTACCACGTAAGCCAGAGCAAGGCAAGGGACACTTCCTTCACAAACCATGGAAACGAGAGTCTTGAAGACGTAGTAAGCGTAGAAGAATTTCTGTGTCCTGCTGTAAGCTAATACGCCTGTCACAAGAACCAGAGATGGTCGAGAGTGAAACGAATAATGGAAACGCGTCGCAATACTGTGGATGATCAAGTACATGGTAGTTGTATAGAGAATGAAGAAAGGAGATTTGAAAGAATGGTACCTAGAGGAATCATGGTGAGGGTCATCGGGATTGTGAGAATAGCCTTCCTCCCATATATATCAGAGAAATTACCCAATAGAGGCATCATCACAAGAGTTCCCAATCCTATGACCTGCTCCAATCACACAACTTATTTAAGTTGTATTACGATAAAATTAAGGTTTAAAAAGGTAGAGCCATTGGCTCTTTGTATCCATTAGATATACGTGTATTATCTCAGTGGCAGTGAGTGAGCAGGAGACAGAACATGCAGTAATGGGTTTAGCCAGAGAAGGAAGCAAATCCTGTGAGAATATCAGAATCAACAGAGTTTCCTATTTTCCCCGCCAATGTTAGAAGCTAATGAAATTAGGAAGCATTGGTGTATGATGTATTGGGCCAGGCCTGCAATGGGATCTTATCAAACAACGGTGAATTGGGTTTCAAGGCCCAATCAGAAGTGAGGATCGTAATAATAAATGTGTACGGGGTCGGGGAACAATCCGCCAACGAAAACTAAGAAACGACGAAACGCGAAGGCAGAAAAGGAAGGATGGCCCAAAAAAGTAAACACACACACACACACACACACACAGAGGACGAAGCATTATGTGGTGTAGGGGGTCCCTCATGGAGACTGTTGAGTGTCGAGGGAGTAGTGGGCCATCCTTTTAAATTGATAGTCGACCTTTGAAGGAAATGGTATAAAAAACCGGACACCAAGAAATTGGATGGAAATTTCTTCCGACCGGACAAATAAAGGGAGACGCTGTTCCTGCTTCGAATGGGATGGCTTGCCTTTTTTGCCCCTTCGAAGGATAAGTAGAATAGAATTAGATGGAATTTTTATGCATTTTTAATAAGCTTTCATTAAATTATAAAATTAATAAAAAATATTATTTTGATGCTATATATTTAACATAAAATATAAGAAGCCATATTAATCAAATAAGTTATAAGCCATAATTTATACTATGTATTATATATTAATTAATGTATAACATATTTTATTTTATTTTTAAATTTTAAAATTATGAATTATTTTAAAAATATATTGAAATTAATTTAATTTTATAGTTTCAGAAATAAATCTTGTTGATTTTAATTTAAAACTAATCAATGGTTCTAATGTTTTTCGAAAAACCAATATTTAAATTATGTTAGAGATTCTATCAAGAGATCGCACATCACTTTCATTATGGTATGAATCTCGTCTTTATCATTTACTTCAAAGTTATATATATATATATATATATATTAGATTGTGTGAAGTTAAAGAAAAGTATAGTTCCTCTAATTTTGATTTTCTTAAATAAAAAAGTGTCTTCACAAAGGAAAAGAAATATAAGGCCTGTTTGATAACTTATTCTGAAAATAGTTTTTTTATTTTTTTTAAAATAAAAAATAATTTGATAATGTTTTTTCCAAATGTATTTTGAGGAACGAAAAGATTAAATATTATTTTAAAAATAAAAAATAAAAAAATCTTTTATGTATGGGATTATTATTTTGAAGAATATGGGAGAGTGCAAAAAAAAACTTTTTTTTATTTTCTTATTTTTGTTCTCAGAATATATTTTATAAAATATTAATTTCAAAAAAATAATATAAAAACAATTTTAAACAAGTCTGTATATACTTTTTTAATCCACGTGTCATTCTGTAGTTCATTCGCTTCAATGCGGTTTAAATTATACACTTGCGTTAGTAAAATAACAAAAATTGAGTTATACTCTGCGATACATTCAATAATAGTTTGTTGCCGCACAACAAGAAACGTACAGTTCCATGGGAAACACTAACTAGTCGATGGGGCTATTCCTTACGGGAGAATAGCAACAGGGAGGAGCAAACGACAGAGATGCCATCGATCGGCAAACGAGCAAATTAAGGATCTGCACACGTAGTTTCTGGATAGCTTGACATTAAATAGGAGTTGAGAAAATTAAACGAAGAAGGAGATGCACATAGGCGGGTATTGTAAAGAAGGAAGGAGACAAGTATGAAAAACTGACCGCTTGCTGAAAACCAGTGAGGTAAATGGCAAGGGAGCACTCGTCTTGTCCGGGACAAAGGGCGGCCATGGTGACGTCTGTGATGGCCGGAACCACCATGAACGACGAGAAGTTATGCAGAAACACCATCATCCACAGGTGGCTCAGCCCTCCTTTCAATCTCTCCATCGCCTTCTCCGATCGATCGCTCTCTGCTAGCTGTCTAGCTATTCCTTTACCAATATTTTATATATTACAGGGCAATTATATATAGCAAGCTTACAATGAAAGCCACTTGCCTCTTTTATTTGTGGTTTTAGCCTCTAGCTTCACTCCAAGCATATTCACCTTACTTCAAAGAACCATAAATTTACTCCAATCATTATATCGAGACCAAGCGTACTTTGTTGTGCCCATTGCTTTACGTGATATATTGCCCGTCACTATCACCCACTCCGTATAATTAATTCACACTGTTACACTCAAGGAATCTGTTTGGTTACTATAAACAAAGAGAATAAAATGAATTGGAAAAATAATAAAGGCAAAAATAACATAATCAAGATGTGAAGGAGAGTTAGGTCAATTATGTTTTATGAGAAAGAAAATTAATTTAATTAGTTCACCAAATTGATAACCAAGATTTATGAGATTTATGAAAATTAAGAAGTGTGATGGCTTCACACTTGTGGCTTGTAATATATGAATTTTATTGGACTATGATTTAGTTTATTTTATTTTAACTTTTTTAATACATTCATTTCTTATTCTTTCTATCAACTAAACTCTCCTAAATGTTTATTTTGTATGCATCACTCCACAGTTCATTCCCCTCTGATTTGATGCCAAACAGTGATCATCATTCTTAGATTCACGATGAATTTAAATCTTTCAAAGTTAAAACATGTCAATTTCGAAGTTCGCCTTTTGAAAAAAAAAACATTTTATGTTTTATAAAAAATAATAAAAGGATTAAAATACTGAAAAGGAAAAACTTTAGAGAATTTTACACATCCCAAATTCTGAGTATTTAAATCCCATATTATCTGAATCTCCATCTTTTTCTTTAAGAAAATATTATTTATTTAAGGAAAAAGGAAAAAGTATTAAAAAAATCAAATACTTGAAGTAGCAAGTGAAATCTAACCCATGATCTTCCATTAACAAGGGTGAGATATCTTCCACGTGTATTGTATTTCGATTTTCATAATAAAATTGAAAAGGCGGGAATGAACATCTCAAGACAAAAATATATGAAGGTGCGGATTGTAGGGTTGGATTGGAGCATTGAAAAGGTGGAGATGAAATTGGAATAATGCCAAAGAAAGGGGGATGCGTAGCGTCCAAGAATGAGGCAGCAAGATTGCGGGGATTAAGTTAGTCATTAACCGCGAAACCCGCAGAGGCGTGTACGTTTAATGTACGAAACTGCTACACTTGCAAAAGCCAATATTTGCATCTTCCTCCATCCCCACCAGCCCAACCCAGCCAAACCCCCCGTCTGGTCCCTCCCTTCGTTCACCTTTTTTTTTTTTTTAAAATGGGCCCATCGTCGTTATAATAAAAGAATTAAAAAAAATAAACATAACTTTAAATTTTTACAATTTATTCACATTTTATTATAAATTCTTACATTTTTATTTTTTAATATTTTAAATTTTTTTAAGTCTCTACACTTTATTCAGGGAGAGTTTAAAACAATAAAAAATAAAAATATAGAAATCTAAAATTATTTTTTCTCAAGAATTAATTTAATTCTTAAACCTTGATTAATTAAAGTTTTAATGTGATATTTAAATAAATTGTTGGGGTTTGAATCTAAACCCTTTATATATAGCAATTTAATTAAAAAAAATTTACATGTCTTTTTTAGTAGGGAGACATTTTCTCTTGTTGACAGAGCCTACACTTTATACTTAAAAAATTATTCTTGAACTTTAATCATGATATAAAAGGAAGAATGGCGAATGCTACCGTGACCTTGGGTATTGATACATATATCAACACATTTAGGTTCACGTACACAGGGATATAAAAAAACTGATTATATTTTTCATGCCCCTAGACACACGAGAAGGAAATAGCTAGATTTCCAAGAATATATATCTGGTAAAAAAATTGTAATTCTCGATAACAAACAGCTACAACAATACAATCAATATATTCCAATTTCCAATGAATAAAATTACAACAGAATCGACTAAAACACACATACTTCGACATGAACATTTGACCATGTATAGATGCCACATCAAATATGGTCATATGCCAAAAAAGTTACTCGGTATATAAAAGAAGTCGACAGTTATGGAACTAATAACAAATGGAGATTCTGTACGTGCAATGACTTTGTCTTCAATATTAGAACACAAAACACCATGCTCGCCGGAAAGCAGATTCAATCCAACAAGCGAGCATGTTTACCCGTTAAAATTGGCAGGATGGACTTAAAAAAGAGCCTGTTTTAATGAACAGGTTAGGTTGGCCTTTCCTGTCAAGGTGAGATTGACTTCGTCTCAAGGTGTATGTATAACTTGCATGCATCAACCATCATGTCAAATGTTTGTATTTATCTTCATCTAACAGATATGTACATATCGATATATTTATCTAGTTTGACTAATTTTGTCATCCACGGCATTTTTGACCCATTAACTCGCTTTAATTCTCATCACTTTCCTTCAAGCGACCCTAAAACCAGCTCCAACATTCAAGGGATTCTTAAACGGATCTTTGAAGCACTAATATCGATTATTTAAAAGAAAATCCAATCCTTTAATTTGCTAATAATTTACAAACTTTCAAAATCATTCATACATACGGAGACCACAAGCCCCATCGCAGCCGAGTTTACCAGAGTGCATAAATGATCTAACAAATGGAACAAAGCCATGAAAAGTAAAAGCACGACAAAATATACATTGAAGTGAAAAATAGAAAGAAATCAGATTATAGTGTTGGCGGAGCAATCGAACTAAGAGGCGGTGGAGGAGCCATGTTTCGTCTCTTCCGCAGATTAATTTCTGTCTTTGGAAGCAAAGCCACAATAGGTTCAGAGAATGAGACTAGGATCCCATCGTCTTCATCGCCATCCTCCTCCGGCGCCGCCACCGCATGGGCCTTCCAATCAAAATCAGCCAAAGTGCCACGTCCACTAGCAAATCGCTTCATCTGGCTCAGAGCCGGAGCGGCTACGGCTGATCCTCCGTCAACCTCCGAAGCACGAGATAATGATTTCCTTCCTCTCCGGAATATCCTCCGAAACGTCGACGTTTGCTTCTTCTTCTTCTTAACCTCCGAAACATTTCTGAGAAGTGGCCTCGCGTGGTGTACATTGGGTAGTGTCACGTGCTTGGATTTGGCTTTCTTAATTAGTTGCCGATGCTGATGCTGATGCTTCTTGTGCTTGATCTGTCCCATGCACGAAACTGTTGGTGAAGTGGGTTCAAGAGACTTACTACTTCGATTGTCCGAGTCGCCATAGTTTGATCTTCTTCTAGCTTCATCCGGAATCATTTTTGATCCCTTCCGGCCACCGTGTTTATGATATTTGTGAGCAACTTGAAGATCCCTCCTTGGGCTGAACGGAGGGCTCTGAAATGTGAGTGCTCCTCTTACTGCTTTGGGCAGTATCATCGTCAATATCTTTTTCTTTAGATCTGGTTGTTTCGCCATTTCTTTGATTCTCAGTTGGGATTGGTTCGTTATTTGTTAGGCGTATTGTCTCTATATATAAATGGAACAGGTTACAACATTGAAAGGATCATTGATCGAGTTAATTTTCTTACATCATTGGAATTTGTCAACGATGATTGTAGGCGCGGAGGAGTTTTGGTCAGATCAAGTCGGTTTGTATGACTGGGCAAACCAACCTAACCCTCTTTAGTCTTTACTCATTAAACCGCCTAATAAATAATTGAAAAGAAAATATAACAGATTTATGAGAACGACAGGGGACGTGTTTTTCTACAGACAGAGTTTAAGTAAGGCATACTATTCACTACTTATGAACAGCATTAATGATGTATATATGGGTGTTCATATTTCCAAAATCTATGAAATATTGAAATGGCATATAGTTGAAATTATAGAAATGTGCCAACATATAAATTATAAAATAATACTACCTCCTCCCTAATTTACAAAATACTTTTAGGAATGGTTTGAATAAGTTATTTAACAAAAATAAAATTTTATAATTGTCTCAACATTATTACCATTCTTTCTCTCACTCTTTCTATTTTTTCACAAATAAGGTTACGTTGAATGTAGAGTTTTTGTAAAAATTTATATTTGTGGTTTTTTTAAAAATGAGATTGTAAAATATATCCAATGAATTTTATTGGCATCTATACATAATTTTACAAAAAAAAATCATGTAAAATGTGGGGTGGGAGTATATTTAAGAAGCAGTATAATTAAGAATTTCTGAGTCGAAAATGTAAACGCCTCATTACTTGCTCAAAATTCGTAGTAATTAATTAAACCATTTCTCACTTTTGTGCGCTTAAATATGCCATATATATCACACGAACAGTTCAGCTCAAATAAAAAAATACCACACGATAGTTGAATACTTGAATGCTTTGCTATGACTGTTAAATTAATCACTATCGCGACTAACCATTTCTCACTTTTGTGCGCTTAAATATGCCATATATATCACACGAACAGTTCAGCTCAAAGAAAAAAAAAAATACTACACGAATAGTTGAATACTTGAATGCTTTGCTATGACTATTAAATTAATCACTATCGCGACTTTTGCTATTGCGCAATTTGAATCCGTAAAATAATTTAATTTAGTTGCCACTTCTAATCCTAATCTGCACTGCAAGGTGGATTAGCCACTTGCTCTTCATGATTTTTATGACTTGATAGTGATTACTAACCAGCCATCGGATTTTTTTAATTTAAATTAATTTTTAAAAATAAAATCCTAATCAATTGTGCTCTAAATTGGTTGGACATGGTGTTACGAGTCCCACATTAGCGGAGTATGGTTTATAAGTCAGTTGGACATCTTCCTCCCTATAAGATACCTTTTAGGAGTAAGTTTTACTAGTTGTGATGTTGGTGCTCTTGTTGAGAGTCACTATTTGCAAAAAAGGCCTCCCACATAGGAGCTAACTAGCTAAAGGTTGAGTGAAGCATTGAGGGATGTGGGCTGTTACGAATGCCGGCTTTTAAGGGACAGGCTATGTTATGAGTCAATTGGACACCCTCTCCCTACAAGGTATTTTTTGGATGTAAGTTTTATCCAAAAAACTTGTGGTCGTGACACATGATTTGTAGCCTTCTGTTTGATACGAAGTTATTGATAATTTATAAATACTGTAATTTCTTAATTTCAATCTATACAGTGACGTGTTAATCTTTTTGAAAAATCAATTAGATAGTGAATGTATGACTTAGATTTTTTTTATGATTATAAAATATGTATACATTTAGAAAAATAAAGAAAAATATAAATATAAATAATAATGTTAAAACATCATTTGGTCAAGGATAACCATGTGAGACTAGCCCCCCACCAGTCCTAACCTCTTGGTTATGGTTAAACTTAGTAAATTTACCGTCATCATATGCCACTGCCTTTTGTTGTGGCTTGTGGTTACATTTTCGCTGGGTGCTCACCAGCAGTGACGGATTCAACAAAATTTAACAATTGGGACAATATTTATACCAAACATAAATGTTAATACTTTTTTTAATCTAATTTTAAAATATTAATTAAAATAATATATTACTAAATTATGTGAGAATTTTAAAAAAATATGTTAATTTTATTTATATCATTAATTTATTTTTAGAATAAATATAAGAGCAAACAATATTTTTAAGTATGTATGCTTAATAATTTTAAGGAGAATGTGGAATAGTTAAATTTTTATGGGGACAACTACAATTTTGAAGAGGGAAAAAGTGTAATTTTGGAAAAAGAAAAGAAAAGTATAATATTTGCAAATTTTATGGGAGAATTGCACCATCTTTATATAGAGTGGTTATTGGTTCAATTTTAGTGCTCATCACATTATGTTTATCACTTGATAAGCATTTAGATTGTCAAGATGAAAAATGTAGATATTTTAGATTTACATATTCTATTTTTTTTCATCTAGAAAGTCTAGATTTACAAATAATATTTTATATTTTATATTTATTATAAAAAATTATAAAATTTTCATCTAAATAATGCATATTTAATATTAATTTTTTTTATTTTATAAATTAATTATCTAAATATACTCTGGATAAGTTAAATTTAAAATATATTTAAATAATTAATTTATAAATTTTTTAAAAATAATATTAATTGAATTATTTAAATTAAATTTATATGATCTAAATTTAAAATAAGATAAATTTATTAAAATTTTATATTTTATATTTAAAAAATATAAAATAAAATTGATGAATCTAAACCGTCCAAATGGTTCGAGATGCCTCGTCAGGTGATGGCGCCTGACGAGCACTGAAGCTAAACGCGTGTGGGTACGTCCCTACTTGCTAGGTTCTTTCCTTCCTCACGCGGAGGCAGCGAAGGTGGTGATATTGCTGCCAGGGGTACGTCCCTACTTGCTAGGTTCTTTCCTTCCTCAGGGGTAAGTTTCTCTCTATTGTGATTCAATTTTCTTTTCCTGAGTTTACAATAATCAAGCAACTGAAACCACATGCCGATCAAGATCTCTTATCTATTTCTCTTCCTTCCATATTTTTTCTGGGACACTGGCTCCACTCGACACGAGGTGCTTCCATTTTGGGTATTGATTTTAAGGAATTGTCGCCTTTACTGTTTTATCTCTAGAATTAAGATGGCACTATTGAGTTTCCGCTTTTCCTTTTTCGGTGCCGCTCGGCATTTGCTTTTTGGATGGTTGAAAGCACACCAGGTGTTTGCGAAAATTCGCAAATGAGTGCACTCTCACTCTTTCTTTTCTGGATTGTAATGTGTAGACAAATCTGGATTCGGATCTTCACATTTTCTTCTACAGTTTGATTGGTTGGTGTTCTATGCTTCATCTTGAATCCATACTTGAGCTGCTTGGGCAAATTGAGCCCAAAGTAGTTCCCCGATCGCTTTTATCCCTTTCGTTTGATATCGCAGTTGTTATATCATATAGTTTTGTACTCAGTCAATCAAGTCACCTTTTGGATTTTTGTAAATATGTTTAGGTGGACATTCGACAGCTCTCTTCATGTATCTACAGGACTTTATTCTCCGGGCTAGAGTGTTGAAACTTTACAGGCAAGCTTTGAGAACGGCTAGGCGAGGCCCGTCTTCTGCTAGAGGTGCATAATCTTATTTGAGCTATTATTTTATTTGAATAGTATTGTGGGTTTATAGTTGGTGTTTAACACGCTCGCGCATACTTTGGGTGTATTTTTGGGACCGTTAATGGTTTTGTTGGCCACCTGGTACCATTCATTGAGAATTTGGAATGATTACTTTCACCAGTTTACTTGACAATTTCATACTAATGCATATGGTGGAAGTGTCAATTCGTAACTAAGCACAGAGGTCAATTTTTTTAATGTAGGATGACTGGCCAGGAACTCATGCCATCAGTCACAGTTTTTGGGATATAATGACATGACTTTTCTTACTAGAATGTGTTTGGACACGAGTGAGTGGCCGGTGAGATAAAGAGACGGATTTTTCTGAGGAAGTTATTCCTGATGAAATGCATTTTCATTTTATCATTCGATTCCCTAAAATGGATAGCTTGTGATATGTCTCTTGAGAGAGTATCAGAATCTGAAGAAGAGAATTTGGTTGTGCAATCCTGTCCTTGTTATGTATAGTTGTTATATGTGGTCCTTTAACTGAGTTTGAGCGATAAATATCTTATTGCGATTTGCAAATGCAATGGACTGTACAGCTGAATTGAGACAGACAATTAGGCAAGAGGTGGAAAGTAACAGAAACTGCACTGACAAGCAAAGGATCCGTTATTTGGTTAGTGATGGACTGGAAAGAATGAAACGACTCAACGAAATGCTTGACATGCAAGGTCACCGCTGATGGATTGGTACGTAGGAGCAAATCAACCCGTTTGAGTTACTCGCTCCAATGTCCATTAACATGCATGGCACTTCCAGTTGGTAAGGGAAGAAAAATAGATGAAAAGAAAAGGGAAACGATTAGAAAGATTGAATTATTGTATCCATGGCAGTATCTATTTCTGTTTAGGTTCTGTGCCGCTCAAAGTTTATCGCTTGTTATTTTAACACTGGTTGCCTCTGCCCCATTATTTCACTGACTTGAGTTCAGTTGACCTGAAGAAATTAATCAACAAGGATAGAAACCTGAATTTATCTGCCAAAGCGATCTGAAAGAATGAGATAGGTGGACAGCTCGGGCTGCAAACAGGTTCCTTCTTTTGGACTTGTTTGGAATATCATATTATAAGACCTATAGGTTCCATGTTCCCCACCATTTTTTGTACGGCCCAACTAAATTGGTCCCTCGTTAACTTATTTTGCTACTCGGTGTGCTCCGTCTAGATATAAAAGATTCTTGGTCGCTTTGGAAGAACCAAAAACTTGTTTAGCAACTCCATGATCGAAAGGTATAATGAGATATAATGAATCAGGACAAAAGTGTAATCCTATAAAATAGGAATTCTCAGACCCCAGTGAATTTACATATGTTCATTTGATTATGTTTCCGTCAAATAGAGGTAGACATAGAGGTAGACATAGAGCCGTCAATTAAGACCGGCTCAATAAGCATGAAAAAATCTAGAGCTAGGCTGTTTCTTGAAGGTGTAAAATGGTACCTTTTTGAGGTTGAAAAATAAAAGGTTGGTTTTTTTAAGTCTTCTTATATTTTTTTAACTTAATATAAAAATGAAACACTACACACTAAAAGTAAAAGAATTAGAAAATTGAAAATCCTAATTTGCCTCCCTCATAGTCGTTTGATTTATTCATCCTCCTTGCATGGTTTTGAGTTAATGGTAACTTATTACTACTGGTTTATTTTGAATATTTTTGCATATTTTAAATATATTGAAATTATGTTTTTTGTTTATTATTTGTTGCAAATAATGATGATGCAGAAGGAATATATGAAAAATTTAATATCTTTGCCAAATGATGAGGCTTCACAAGAAGAAGTTTTAAATTATATTGATGTTGATGACAAAAAAAGTTATTAAAATTTAGGTAATGATGCTAGCAAAGTTTAGCTGTCATTGGTGTTGATTTTGTGATGTTGCTAATTTTTATTTGACTTAAATTTGTTATTGTGGGTATTGTCTTGAATTTATCTTTTTAGATTTAGTATTATGTGTAATAACTTTTTTAGAATTTTAAATATATTTTTTAAATTTTTAAATTGAAAAATAAAAAAAAAATAAGGCTAAGGCTCAGAGAGACGACCCTTCAGCCTTAAGGATCAGGGTCAGGCTAGTCAAAATGAAACCTTAAAAATGTGATCGGGCTTAACAGGGCTAGTTAGTTTAGGCTCTGGCTTTTTAAAGGCTAACCCTAATTGACGACTCTAAATATAGTACAAGTTGTAGAATTCTAAGTTGGCCATATTTAAACTGCAAGTTATTTTATTTTTAAAATTTTTTTAGGTAGTGTTTGAATTGGTAAATTTTTAAATTTGAAATTTGGATTTAAAATCTTATTTCAAATCCATATATTTAAAATTCTTTGCTTTAGTAGTTTAAGTAACAACAATTATTACTATTAGGTAGTGTTTCAATGGTGCATATAGAAATTTGAATTAACAAGGATTTAGAAAGGATTTTAAATTATAAAAGAATTAAGATACAATTTGAATAAAATTCAAATTCATAAATTTTTAAGTGTTCAAATAGGGAATTATGTCCGAATCCAAATCTAAATGCATATGTATTCAAATATAGAATGTATTTGATAACAATAATTATAATGATTAGTAGAATTTCAACGTTTGATCCAAGTTAAATTTGAATAGTTTCAAAATTTTAAGTTTTGTTCAATATGTATAAATGTTCAACTTGATATCTTAAATAAGTTTCAAAAACATTATCAACCTATAAATCCAATTAAACATTTCAAACTACTTCCATAGACAACTAATATGTTTATGGGTTAATGTGCAAATTAACTTTTAAAGTTTTATCAAGATATAATTGATATTTTAAAGTATGTAAAAAAGTAATGTTGCCTAGATGTTTTTAAAATGGTGCAATATTACATGGAATTGATGGGGCCAAATGTTGGTTGTTAATTTGATTTTTCATCTTGGTGTGGGCATGCCATGTGGCATTTACTCCTTCCTCAGCCATGCTTCTACAATCTTCTTCTTCTTCCTTTGCAAAATCCAATCTTTTCCAACAAATCCTAGAACTAAAATTACATCCCAACAAATCAGGAACACAAGCCAAACCAATCTTTTCTAAGACAGAGATCTAAAACTAGAATAAAATCAAAAACAAAAAAGCCATCAAACTAGAAACAACAAATAAAAAATGAACCAAAGAACCATGATAGCATTGAATAAGGAAGTTCACAAGTTGAAAACAATGGCGACCTCAAACTAAAAAAAATTGAACCAAAAAATCATAGTAGATTGAAAAAACTTGTACAATACCAAACAATAGAAGAAAAACATGGCAAAAAAAAAACATAAGCAACAATTTCCTCAATTTCAGATCGAACCCGACTTTTCAATCATGAACCCAAAAACCAAATTCACAATTAGATTGAACCTCTTGAAAGAACCCATAAATTAGATCGAACCTTTCACTCTCAAAGCCTTCCCTAAGTCACTCACGCTTGAGGTAAAGTTGAATAGTTAAACTTATACTTCTTGACTCGCTTGAGTTTGAGGGCAGGGAATGAGTCAAATTGAAAAGGAATGGATGAACTTTGAGAAGGAAACTCGGTAGCCAGAGGTAGAGTTGACAAGGGAAGGGACTAGGTCAAGGGCATTTGAGATAACAGAGAGAGACAAAGAGAGAGCATAGTGTGAAGCAAAGAGAGGAGAGTGTGGAGGAGGAAGGTGAACAAGGGGTTTGAGACACCACAAGGAATCCGATCAATATGACCACAACTTTTGCAAGAACGAAGTAGGGCGCAACTTTGCGCATGGCTCCAGCTTAAGACATTGTGAGGTTTGTAGGTCACAAGGAGCAGTAGTGCCAATCTAAACATGAGGTAGAAGATGTGAAGTCATGAGGAGGAAAGGATGAGAGAGAATAAAGGGAAGAAGAAGATGATGATGAACGGTGACCATGGCAGAAGATGGTAGCATGGGGGTAGGAAGGGAAGAAAAGGGAAAAGAGAGATGAAAGGGTGGGGCAAAAGTGGTGGGACCTACCACCATTTATTATTGTTGTTGTTGTTGTTAATATTATTATTTTATTTTATAATTTTTTCAAATGATAAAATGTGATGTGAAGGCTTTATAGGAACACCGCATAAGCAGAAAAAAGTCAACTAATAGTCAACGTTTTATTTTTATCAATTATGGGTAACATTGCATCATTTTCAAAATATCAAGAACAACATTACACTTTTAAATTCTTGAAGATATCAATTACACCTCAAGAAATACTTGGAAGGCGGATTGGCCCTTTAAACCTATGTTTATAGCCCATCCATTACAAAAAGTATCAAAGTACTTTGTCATTATCTCTCTATGGGAACTTTTTTAACTCCAAGAACTCCCTTCCTTTTGTGTCATACAGAATTTTTGAAGTAGTTTGTCATGTACAGATAACTTTTGGATACAAGGTTTTGATGGGACATCAATTTGTGACATCAATTGCTTTTTTTCCCCCCAGAATGAGAAAGGTCACGGCAAAAACTATGCAAAAGATGACAATCAAGTCATGTCAGTACTTAAAAAGCTACTGCACCCTAAAGACAGTTTGTCTAAAATCTTAATGTCAAGACTATTACTAAACTAAAAGCCTGCCATGTAAGCCAATTTGCACAATTATTGACTTATCTAAAAATGTGATCAAAAGTGATTCATCTACTCTTTCATTATAAAGTCTTTAATTTTCGTGATCAAAAGTAATCATCCTTTCATTAAGACATCATTTGCTTTCATTGCATGTCTTAATTTAGCTAAAGTAGCATCTTAGCACTAGGGTAACAGCATCTATTTGAATGATAAAGAGTAATAATTCTTACTCCCTCTGATCTTATTTATAGATTAGAGACAAAAAAAATTTTTTAATCCTATTTATAAATCATGTCATTAAATTTTCATCATAAATTTTCTCTTTTACACTCCATTGAATGTTGGAGTGAGAAAATATATTATTAAAATATGTATTTTTAATAAGGACAAAATTGAACATTTATTAAATTGTAAAACAGAATTAATGAATTTTAAAATTTTTTTTAATATTGGTGAAACATGTGAAGGGTAACTTATAAGGAGAACATTTAAAATGAACAAATTGAAAAGGCTATAACAAATCATTCATGGCAACATGCAAATTACACCCAGATTTGTCAGTCATTGTAAGTAGGGTTCTTGCAGTCATCAATGGTACTTCTATCTATATGGAACGAGAGACAAATCCCCTGTCAACCATTTTATCCACCAACTCCTCATGCTTCTTTAACTGTCCTGCCTTCCTTAGCTCGCTCAGAACCATCTCATAAACCCCCTGATTCGGTTTAATGCATTTCTCTTCAACCATCTCTCTCAGCAACTTGTACGCTTTGTTCCAGTGTCCCATTCCGCAATACATTGTGATCAAAATCCTGTAAGTATTCACATTAGGCTCAACCTCATTCTCGTCCATTTCCTTCTTCATTTTGAGGACCATATCAGTTGATCTCGCATGAGCGAGCATGCCCATCAATATATTGTAAGTCAGGGTATTAGGCTGACACTTGAGTGCATTCATTTTAGCATACAACCTATGAGCACCGTTTATATCATGTAACTTAGCTATGCATCTGAATAAGAGATTGAAAGTAGATGCATTAGGAGCACACTCTTTCTTAACCATTGAATTGAAAACCTTAATAGCTTCCTCAAGATTATCATCTTTACAATGGGTCTCTATTAGGAAATTATAGGTGATCGTATCAGCGGGACACCCGAGTCTCTTCATCTGATTATAAACTTGCAATACCTTCTCAGTTCTTCCAGCTTTGACGTGAACACGCATCAGGTTGTTGAAAGTAATGGAATTAGGATCACAGCCCACATCTATCATCTCAGAGAAAACATCATGCGCCCGAGTGATTTGCCCACACCGACATAGTGAGTCGATCACAATGCTGTAAGTATAAACATTGGGTTTGATTCCAGCCATCTTCATCTCCCCAAACACACGCTCGGCCTCGGAAATATTACCCGCTCGGCACCAACCACGAACCAGGTTGGTGTACACTATGACATCGGGCTCAAATCTGTGCTTCAGGCTATCGAAAAAGGACTGAGCTTCGCTTGCCCTTCTCTTCTTGCACAGAATACTAATCACAATTGAAAACGCAATCTTGTCGGGCGCGCAACCGTAATCTTCCATACGGTTAAAAGTGTGGACGGCCTCCGCAGCCAATCCTGCTCTCACGTATCGCCGGACGAGAAAAGAGAATGTCTCAACGGTTATTTGGATGCCTCGGGCTTTCATCAAATCGATGAGATGCCAGGCTAAATCGAAGAGCCTGAGCTTACCGGCGAGGTCAATCATCTCGACATAGGGCTCCGGCGAAGTAGGAAAACTCTCGCACGCGGTGACCCAATTGAAGAAAGCGAGGGATTGGAGGAAAGGGATACCGTGGCGGACACCGCCGCATTTCTCGAGCACGCGGCGGGCGATGGAGGGGGAAAGTGGATGGTGGGCGGAGAGTCGAGAAAAGTCGAGGGAGAGATCGGGGATTGTAAAATGAGGGGTGGGTGGAACGGCGTTAAGGTTAGGGTTGTTGCGGTAATGGTCTTTGATTAAAGAGTGAAATTTTTCAGCAACGACGGTTTCTTCAGGAGATAAGGAAGTGCTTTGGGTTGTTTCATTCACGTCTTGTTGAAGAGTAGCTTCTGAAACTAAAGATGAAGAAGAAGAATAGAACTTGGAAGTGCGAGTGAGAGCGCGGCAGAAGCGCAATCTGGAGTTGATGAAGGCCATGGAAGGAAGGAAGCAGATCGTTCCCTCCCCTGCTTTCGAGCTAAGGTGTGGTCTGTTCGCCGCCTCTTACTGAGCTAAGTAAAGACCATATCCCCTTTGCTTGAATGCATTAGGTTTATGTATTATGAAACATTTCATCCAAACTAACTAATTTAAAAACGGACATGCCTTTCACCGAACAATAAAATTATACATTTTCACTTTATATAACTTACTCTCTCCTGCCTCAAATATAAAAAGCGAGGATCGCACATAAGCACCATTAGAAAATGTTATTTACAGTGATTATTGTTTAATTAAAAACTGAGATTTGTTTTTTTGGGAGGGTGATTTCTTATTGGTTCCAGTTAACATATTGCAACAATCTTTGCGTGCGATTTTCCCAATATAGAATAATGGCAGTAACTATCTCAATTTTTTTAATTTTGACTTATTATGACCTGATTTTTTTATAATTTTAATTTAATTATAATTTAATCTCTATAATTTTAAACATTTAAAATATTGATCCTTCTATTTTTTAAAAAATATAAATATTATAATTATTTTAGAATTTTAATCTTTAAAAGTTTTAGTAATTTAAAATACTAGTCCTAAATTCTAAAATATTTTTAATATTTATAATTTTTTTAAAATATAGAGATCAATATTTAAAATTATTAAATTATAAAAAATGAATTGCAGCGAGTCAAAATTAAATGATTAAATTATAATTGAATTAAAATTATAAAGACTGAATTATAGCGAGATAAAGTTGAAAGATTGAATTATATCAAGTTAAAACCTTAAAGATTAAAATATTAATTTTTTATAAAAATAACATGTATTTTTATTTTTATTTTTATTTTTAAATAATTGTATAACTATATTAAATATTTTTATGCTAATAAAAAAATAAAATTAAAAAATTTTAATAATTATTAAGTGTCCTATATTTTAGACAAATTACTTTAGAAAACGTCCTCCAAATAGAATCATAAGGGGTATATATACATGTTAAAATATATATTTAATTATTTAACTTTATATGAGGTTTATTTTTGTCTCTTAGTGTAAAATATTTTTTTAATCCTTTAATTTTAACAACATTAGTTTTATCATAAAAATATGTACATTAAACTTTTAAATATTGACAAAACATTTTAAAATATTAACATATTAAATTAATTTTTTTAAATAACAATAATTAGGATAAAAATAATTATTTAAAAATAACTGTATTACAATAAAAGCACTAAAACTAAATTAAAATTTTATATAAAATTAGAGGATAAAAAAAACACTTTAGCATATATATATAAAATTAATTTTATCCATTAAATTTATAACTTAATAAGACAAAGAATACTTAATTCCACTTATAAATTTAGTAATGATTTGTAAATTTAAAAAATGACTTATAAGTATCACATTTTAAGAATTTAAATTGTAAATTTATGATATCTAATCTGTAAATGATAAGGTATTAATATTGTCAAAAAATTAGCTTATAAATTTAATAAAATTTGGCTTTTGAATATTGAAGGTTTGCTTATAAGCCAGTAAAGTTTGACTGATAAATATTAAATGTTTATATTTCGATAATTATTTTAAAAAGTTATTTTCCAATTGACCACATCATCAATGACAGTCAATCGGCATTTGTTAAAATAAGTGAGTCCAGTATTTGTGTTGTTTCGTTTTTGTAGGAGAAATTTAACTATAGTCGGCAAAAAAAAAGTGGAGAAATTAATTATAACTATATTTCAAGCAACTTGAGAATATTTTACAAATTAATGAGACTCATTTAAAAGTAATTCTTTTAAGTGAGACTTATCGATGATTTTCACTTCAGTTACTCGTGAGCAATGTAGTTGGAAACGCTCCATCGTGAATGAAATGAAACTTAAATTCTCACATATGAGACCAATTGCTGCTGCTTTTTTGTTGCTTCAACCATTACTATTTGTTGAACATAAGATGTTTAAAAAAAAAAACCAAACAAAAACAAAACAAAAGATGGGCTTAGCCTGAAAGAGGGGATTGAAATTCCAGGGATAGAATGCTGATGAATGATGAATGTGAAACAGGACTAATTTCCGTAAGGTTGGGCTGCAAAGTTAAAATGTCCCAATTGTTTGCAGGTCCAAAAACTAAGCCCAGATGAATAACAAGTAACGACCACATTAACATTATCACGCCAACTCTTTTTTTTTTTTTTAAACCACTTTTTTTTTTTTTTTAAATCATGTACGCCATGTTAAAACAAGCTCCGGATGAATCAGAGTGCTGACCGAAAAGGGTGTTCGCCGGAGAGAACTGAGAAATGAGCGGAAAGCTGAAAATATGGCGCCGCATGTCAATTGCTGTCAAATTCTGGACTCCTTGTTCCTGCGGACAGAGCAAGCGCCACTTGCACCAAGGCCCAGACACCATTGAGGAGCTTCTCGATAGGCATCTAGTCAAGAAGGATAAGTCCCTTGACGACGAAGAAGAAGAATTGATTAATCGGAGGCGACTCACCAGCACTCGCCGTGAAGCACTTAGCCTTTACCGCGATATTCTTCGGGCCACCCGCTTCTTTGTGTGGCCTGACCCCAATGGCGTCCTCTGGCGTGATATTCTCCGTCACAATGCCCGAAAGGAGTTCGAAGAGGCCCGCTTCGAGACCGACCCTGAAATCGTCACCCGATTACTCATCGGTGGCCGCGAGGCAGTTCACTCTGCTCTTGAAAAGCTCGCCAATCAGATTCAGAAGGATCGTGGTGGTGGAGATCCACGCTGACCTATCCTCTTCTTCCCATTCTTAGTATGTGACTTCGACTGAATAAAGGTGTTATGTTGTATCAATCTTCTAAAGCCTATTCCTTTCTTTCTTGTTTGTGTGATTTACAAATCTGGATATTGTTTGTCTTCACTTAAATTTACGGTTCTGAACTGAAAACTACCGATGAAGTTGTAAATATTATTCAAATTTCAGACAGAAGATGAAAGGAAACCAAGGAAAACGGGGAGAGGAAATTCTTCTTTATTGTGTTTTATGTAAGAATTCCTAAAATATCTTCTATACATATGATATAAAAAATAAACTCCACACCATGAACAGCTCGGCGAATTTCTCAATCTCTGTATAACCTACGGAACCCACATTAGCACCCACAATTTGTCTACTGTCATAAATGTCTGTTTCCGGCTAATTACACATCCTATCCCCCCCCCCCAAAAAAAATAAATAAATAAATAAATAAAGAAGAAGAAGAACAAACGAAAAACTGTAATCACCGGAAGCATATGGTACTCAGTTGTTATGGTGCATATGATATGCCACCGGTTATCCTATGCCTGTCATATTCTCCGGTCACGTATGTCTTATTTTATCTATTTTACTGACATATCTGGTGTCTGGTTTGTTTAGGGCATTCTTTAGGCCAAGAACAATGGGCCATGTTTATGCAATTAGTGTCTCATGCATCACTGAGTGCCAAAGTTGATAATCCATAAGGATGTAGTCATGTCTAGTTCCTGAGGAGTGCTACACCTTGATTTTATCAGTGCAGTATTCAAATTCGACTCTGATTTCCTTAAATCTAATGTTGGTTAGGTTGATTTTATCATTGTATTTTTTTTTTTTCCCGGTCATATGCTCTAACGCTCTATACCCTGTGGTTTTCCACATTTGACTCTTGGCTAAATCGGCTTTAGTGGGGGTGCCCCATACATTTTTACTTCACCGTACTATTACGGGCTGAAAGTCTGGCGCAGCACACGGCGCCCGTGCGGCGTCCTGGAAGACAAATCTTACCACATACGGATCACATTGGTTTCGCCCTGTCATGGGCTCATCAGGGAGGCGGCACTAGCCCCCGACCAATTGTGCACTCAGTCTGAAGACTGAGGCAGAACACCCCCAATGCTAATGTCGCCCCCTTTACCCATATTGTGCGAGGCTAACCAGCGGATCGTTCATTAACTTGGTCTTTACACAGTCACGGAGATATCATCCGTGACAATACGCCCTTGTTTGATGTTGATTCCTGCCTCCATTCTCTGTATAGACCTGTTTAATTTGTCAAATTTTTAGTTTGTACAAAAATCTTTGTCAATTCATTGCCTGATCTTGTCTATTCTCACTCAACCCTTCATCCTTTTCTCATTGATGCACAGAGGAATAGGAAAAGACTAATGTGTAAAGTGAACACCACCGTCATTAGCTGTGTTAATTCAGAACTTGGGGTAGAAGCTATTGTTGTACATGTTTGAAATTTTGGATTGGGATAACATTGAAGTAACATTTGAATTGATGGATTTGGATTTTAAATTTGAAATCTTGCATTTTAAATTTCACATTTGAAATGCATGTATTTTAATTTTTTTTTTTGCTTAAAAAATTTCAAATAAAGAAGAGAGATGAATTAAAATTTGAAAAAAAAATGAAAAATTAAGAATGATGAGTTTATTTTTATTTTTTAATGGACAAAAAAAAATGAGAAAAAATATGAGAGTTACAGGGAACAAATAGTGAAAAGAAGAAGAAAATAATATATTTAGAGTGATTAAAATTCAAATGACTAATGTCTGGAGAGAATTTGAAATTACAAACAAATTATAATTTAAAATGGATTTAAATTTAAACCAAATTTAAATTCATAAATTTTTGTATATCTAAACTAAAGATTTAATTCAAATTCAAATCCTCATTAATCCAAACACAAGTTCATTTTTATTATTTGCCAATTGAGCATACTTTTGAGTTGCGTGCTGTCATCTTTTGTATCTTTGAGTTTTATTATACTCTTAATGAATGGCATTTGAGAAGCTTGTGAAATTCACCTGTAACACCCAAGACATCAATCTCTCTTCGGGGTCAGTATCTACTTTGTCTTGGGGTCCAGGCACTTGCTTTTCTCATTTAAGTCTAGAAGGTGATTATTTACATGATGGATGTTTTCGGTACAAAATCCCTTGGTGCCAAATCTATTCTGTTTCCTGACTGGCTTTTCAGATTTTCCCCAGTTCATTAGGATTCCTGCTAATTGGGTCCTCTATGATTTTGTTCCTAGACAGGAATAAGAAGCCTCTTCAGGTGTTACGAGGATAGAATATTTTCCCACGATTTTAGGAACCAGAAAAGACCTTAAATTCTGCTTTATCGATCATGTTCGGATTCTTTTGGTGGATAGATAGTGCTTTCTGGAGTTTGATGTCTCGTGTTGTTGATACGCTTACTGTTTGTTTGACATTGTTTAATGTTGACAAAGATATTTCGCTCCTTCTGCCTCTAGAGATGCCTTTTTTAGGCAGCCGGAACCAGCTTAAAGTTCTGTGTTTTATTGGAAGATGTTGATTAAGTAATGAGTTCAGAGGATGTATATCTGTGTGATCACCGGTCTTACTCATTTTTCCTAACATCTGCCCTAGTTCTTCGGAATTGAATTCGTGAAGGAGTTATAGCGGTTCCGACTGTTCATACGAGCCCAAAAAAGTGGACGAGTAATGAAGATTTGTCGCGTTGTCATTTGTTGCTGACCTAGTTACACTTTTTCGTGTTGTAATGATGTTGAATTAACAACGTGGACTTATTTGATTACCAACAGTGTAAGCATGTGTCAAAGGCTCACCGAGCCAAATGCTCTGACGCTCACACTACCTCTTCCTTGCCCATTACGTTTCTAACATGCCAAATTCTATGGCATTATAAATTATAAATTTATTTAGAGATACTTGCAGTAGTAACGTCACTTTTTACAAACAGGATGAATCACACAAGTTACCATGATAAGAGGTTTCAAAGCAAATAAACTCACCGTTTTAACATATAAACCTTATAGAAATTATGTAATAAAATATTAAAAGAATAAAAACTAAAGTTTTTTTTCGGCTAAACTATTCTCCGTGAATTCCTGTCCTTTTTCAACTCAAACGTTTCCTCAATGCTTATTTTCCTGTTTGGCAGTGATTAACAGGAATGAAAGAGGTATAGTTAGCAAGAAGACAATGATGAAGCGGCAAAACTCGAATGCTGAAATTGAACGTCATGAAATTCAAGGTCGTCCAATATTCCGAAGCTGGCTCAAAATTTCATCGAAGTCTGCGGGAGGCTGGCATGAAAAGTGTAACTGCTCTCCCGTATGAGGATGCCGAAACCTGCAACACAATGTTCTATTTTTATTTTTCATGCAAATTTGAGTGTGAAACTGAAAACAATTAGTATGTAAGATGGTACTATCCTCTCACCCGAGGGTCAAAGCATGAAGGCAAGGCCTATCTAGCCTAGAAACCATTTGTACAATTTTGCCACGCAAGCTTGTCGGTATTCTGGGCAGTAGGAGTGATAAGGCCATGCTCTTCGTCCCTCCATACACCTCATCACCCAGCAGAGGAACTCCTAGATACTTGGAGTGTGCACGTATCTGAAATAACCATGAGAGCATGCTTTACAAGGTTTCCCATCTCTTTCGGCTGTAATTCAGCCAAGTAACATACATAATAACCTTGAAGCTCAATAGTGTTGATTTTTCTTTTAGATAAGAAAATATATAAAAATATAACTCATGATGGATGGACACAAGACGCATCAATTTTATATCAAATCATGCCATCAAAACTGACTTCTTGAGTTTGATGGTATCTTCAGCTATCAAGCAAAGGCATTTTAGAAAGTAGCAGGTCATGTTTTCCCTACAAAGGCTTCAACCAACACTAATTTTGATATCTTGTTCAGCAGGCCCCTCAAAATTTACCAAAGATCCCCACTTACATGATCATATCATAAACCATTAACATCTAGTTTTCAAGCTATATACCATGAAATACCTGATGAGTACGCCCGGTTTCTAGCTTCCATTCAAGCAATGCACAAGCACCGTTAGCAAGTATCTCAATTACTTTGTACCTGATACGATGCAAGTAACCAACTTCCAATGAAAAACATAAGTAACACAATGATCAACTACTTCAATAGATCGCACAAGGTAAGATTCTCGTCCATTCCATTCAGTTTTAATCACTTAAAAGCAAAGACCCAAAATTGCCAAAAATAGAATATCCTGAATCCATTTTGTCAAAGGTAAATGCTAATCTGCTGGACTAATTCCACTGGAGGGGCAATTGGTATATTAGCCTCGATCATAGAAAGAAACCGAATTTCATATTATTTTCACACACCACCACAAGCATCTATGTTCATGTTTTAGTTGCTGCTTAATATTAACATCCCCATAGTCAAATATAACCAGAAGCAGCCAATGCAAAGCATATTACTTGGTGAATCACCTACTAGCAGCATAACGGGCTTTTCTAGCATTAACTGATCCAGCTACAGCAGTCATCCGAATCCGGTTATTAGGGTCACGACCAACTGGAACCTCAACACGTCCAGCGGTTGGATAGGGAACCCCAACAGTAAGACTGACATACACCCTCTTGATAGTACGTAACTTGAATTGTTCTGATAAATGGATGTGGGAATGTTCATCCTGCCATCAAAGCATATAAAAAGGGGAACAAAACTATATTTTTGTCTATTATAGTGTAAGAGAGCAAGGATTCCCATTTTTCACCAACGTAGGAGCTTGTGATCAATTACCACAAGATTATGTAATACCTTTGCTACAACAAGCAATCCACTAGTGCCTTTGTCCAGCCTATGCACAATCCCTGGGCGGACTGATGCTCCACACATGTAAGAATATGTTTGTAACTCTTCACTGGAGTTTGGACGAATAGAGAAGCTATCAAAATCATCATCAAAATCTTCAGTCTCTGAAAGAACTTCCTTGTCAGAAATCTCAGCATTCGGAAGACTGCAATGGTGAAGAATGCCATTAACAAGAGTACCAGATGTATTTCCAGGTGCTGGATGCACAACCTAAGTTGAAGAACAAACCATGTCAATAATTTGACCCCGTCAGGCATTAACAATACCTTCTAAATATTTCTAATGCAGTTACGCATGTTGGAGTAAAAATTAGAGAACGTGAAGGTATTCAAACTTCATAACCTACTGCTCTGCAGTTTAAACAGGTTATGCCAATTTTTTTCCATTTCCTTTACTTTTTTTAGGGCTGTTCTGAGGGTGACAAAATATTTTGGAAGGATAAGATGAGATGCATATAAGAGGCAAGCTTTACAGCTCATATCTCCGACTGCTTGTTTTTGAAGACTAGGTATAAGCAAACTTCAGCCGCTTAGTTTATGTCCACCATGTTATTAAAATCATGGTGTGTTCTGACGGCTTTAATTGTCAAAGATATATCAATTTTACAAACAGAAAACTGGAAACATGTATGTAAATAGTACTTCACGCCAATAAAAAATTTAGAACTGTAGGCTTGAAATTACCACGTGCGCAGGTTTATTAATTACTAGTACATGCTCATCTTCATAAACAATATCTAGCTGCATATGTTCTGGCTGAGCTCTCAACTGTTGTAACTCTGAAATCGTGCAATTGATCTTATCCCCAACCTTGACATTGAAAGAAGCCTGCTCAAAAAAATCAATAAACACGAGCAGATTCCCCCTATCATGAGTTCATGGCAATTGACATCAAAGCGCTATTTTTTACAATTGAATTCATGAAATAATCGATCAACAAAAAGAGCACTAAAATACAAACAGGGGAATGTTTGAGCTTCCTCTTGAAATCAAGGAAGAGCCACTTGTAATTCAGGATATCTGAAGTTGATTCATGACTGAATGTAATGGTTATCATATGCAATGATGAATTCTTCATCAAGTCTCTATGCGCAAAGATGAACACCAACAAATATTAAGAGAGTTCCGATTAAGATTGGTTCCATTAAGAAACTGATTGGTACAATGTACGAGCATAATCTAAACATTAGAGATATTTTGATGGATTTTGAAGACATAACACACCTTAATTCATAAACTAACTAACTATGATGATTTTTGTTATTAGATTTGCAGAAGTGAACTCGGTTAATCACACGTATGCTTCATTCATCACATATGGCCGCGCTTCCGCAACATGTTGAAAACTGGTCAGTTTTACCAAACACAAACCCACACAAGGAAATAAAAAATTATTTAGATTCCATTGCGCAAACTTTTCCATTGCCAATGAGATTTACCTTATCAACAACACGGCCGTTGACAAGAACAAGCCCCGCTCTAATACTTGACTGCACACGAGCCCTGGTTATGCCGCTGATGCGGGAAGAGATCCAAGAATCGAGCCTGATTTTTCCTGAAATGGCATCAACAGTCTCCTCCAACTGGACGCCCGCGTAATTTGTCCTCTTAGAGAAGACCGTTTCTTGCTCTCCATCGGAGTCTAAGTCTCCGTCAAAGCCGCAACAGCCTCTAATTGTTCTCGAAACACTGAGAGGAAACTTATGATTCCGATCCCTAGTGGAGAAGAGAGCGGGTGAGGGGCGAAATGATTTTGCTGTGAAAGCACCACGACATGTACAAGACTGAAGCTGGAGCATCCTTTCATCACCGCATCCCCTGTCGGACAAAAACGACGTCTTAAGTACCGCGGATCAGCGCTTAAGTAAAACGACAACGTCCTTCTAGCTATTTGTTGTTCAAATTGAAGTCCCACAAATTACTGGTAAAACAATAAAAAAAAATTGAAATCCCAAAAATAAAAATAATGATGGCACGAGGAATTTTAAATTGACGTACTTTTTTTAAAGAAAAAATTCCAGCAGGGTCGTAAGACAGTGCAGTACTAATTTGACTAAACTTTTCGTCGAGAAGTAATGGTTTTAATCTCTTTTTTTTTTTGGTAAGATCTTTTTTTTATATAACAATGGTTTTAATTTCTAATTTCAACCAATGGTCTTTTGTTTATTTACGATTAAACTAACTAGCTAATGTACTTGACATTCGCAAAAAAGAAAAGAAAAGAAAAACCAAGGACTTAAAAAACACTCCCCCCATTAAAAGCTATATAGATATTAATACATATATTTAATACATTGATACTTTTATTTTTGAAAATATAAAAGAAGACACATTTTCAATTCATGCATACATATATATATATATATATATGTAAAAAAATTATATAAAACATTTAAAATATAATTTTAATTAAGAAAATATTTAGACTATATGAGTCCTACATAATAATATCAAACGAAACGAAATCATTAATTATATTTTTATTTTATTTATACTTAATTACTACACGTCTACGCTTAATTGTCGTAGCTTCCTACTTGGGAATTATATGCTAAAAATTATATTCATAAATTTTTGTAATCAAAAAAATATTAGTTTTGTTCTTTTTTTTATATCTCAAATTTATTCTTCAAAGAAGATATAATCTTTAGCCTTAACAACAAATTATAAAAATATATTAGAAATAAAAAATTAATATCACAATATTTAACAAAATTTAATTTCTTGAAACTAACTTTAAAATATCAATTTTAAAATATCAACTCACAATCTAAAAGCATCAAATACATCAAAAATTATTTTTTCAAAAATAAAAACAATATTTCAATGCTCTTCAAATACATACCGACAAAATATAAATAAAAAAAATATCGTCATCAAACATAATACTGAAATAAATATGTAAAATAATTTAAAATATCCATGCTTCATAGGGTTAATGGGTAACCAAACAGAAATTTTAATTTCTTAAACAAGTTCACATGTAGATGAAGCTAGAAATCTCATTCTATTCAAAATGACACAGAAAATCCAATACTTGTGCAATTAATTATCACACTTTAAATTGATTGGACCACTAGCTAATCACATCACAACTTACAGTTACAGGTCTGTTATGGTGGTTACTAGTCATACAACAGCAACCAGTCGAATAAGGAGGCAAAAACGCAAACTACATGAAAGATTCCAGAGCTAAAGTGAAGGAGGCCATGAGAAGTGGAGATGTCATGTCGTTGGCCATATCAACACAGAACATTAGATTGATTAGCATATAGACTATGGAGTACACTTTTGGGATCTCACCTATCCAAGACAATCAAAGACATTTAAGATGAACGAGCTCGTACACACTTGGGGTGCACCTCATAACCACATTCAAGACACTGGTAGGCCCAGTTTGAGCCTTGTTCGTCACACTCACAGCAGATAAAGGGACCTCCTCCATTCCCATCAGACACCAAATTCAGAAGGTGGTGATGCCCTTCGTGGCAAACGAATGTCGGATAACCTTTGGCCTCTTCTTCGAGTTGTTTCTCCAGAAGCTCCACTTTGGCTTTAGTGAACGGATACGCATCCTCTTGGTACAAGTTTATCAGGTTCCTTCCGTTTCTGGTTATTGTTTTACCATTTGGACCTAGTACCACCAGGCAAGGTATCGCTTGGATATCAAAGTGCCTCGCAAGTTTCTTTATCTCTGGGTCTCCGAAAGGCAATGCTAGCCAAGGCATGTCACTGAAGTAGGAATCAAAGCATGCTTGGTCACGATCATTAGAGACCAGAACTATCTCAAAGTCCTCTCCATTTCCAGCTTCGCCCACGACCTTCTTGATGTTATGGTAGCTTGATATCAGTTTTGGAGTGAAGTTGAGGCATGGGAGGCACCACTGAGCTGAGAAGAAGAGTCCTATTGTTTTGCCCACTAATGAAGCAACAGGCACATGTTTGATGTCAGGTTGAGGGGGACCCAGAACATAGTCTCTATGTTGGTTTGTCAGTAAATTTGTCAGAGTCTGGTTCTCGTGCCTCTCTTTCTCTTCCTTCTTCAGCTGATCCAACCTCTCTTTACTGAACGGGAAGGGTTGGACTCCATAGCGGCAAATGAGTTCAACCCCATTATCTACAATTGCCTCGTCTTTATAATCATTGGGTTGCAATATTACTAGACGAGGCATGCCTTCGACGTCGAACTTTTTGTTCAGGGCTCTCTTTGATTCCAAATCTGAGAATGGAATTGCAAGCCAAGGCATTTCAGCGTAATAGGCGTCAAAGGCAGTCAGGTTTTCATCGGAGGACACGTACACGATCTCAAAACCTGGGACATTGCTCCTGAGCTCCTCATAAATGCTGACCAGCATTTCTGTGAATCTCCGGCACGGTGCGTACCAGTTAGCACCGAATAGAAGACCCACCACTTTCCCTTCAAGATCACAAACTTTCACCTGTACCCACAATACCCCAATTAGCAATCGTAATTGGAATAGGTTTCTCTGCTGATGTCCTTAAATCAAGCTGCTAATAATATGAGTTGTGATGACTTAAAAGCTTATATAATGCGTGTGCGCGCGTGCATAAGTTTAATGCGTAGCTCATCATTAAATAGGAAAGATCGCATAAAATTGTCAAAAGGGCTCACTATTTAGACGAGATTCAAATATTTTTTTATCTATTATAAAAATCATTAACGAATAACACAAAAGAAAACCGAAGTCACAAAAATATGATAACAGTGGATGTAAAAAGGAGGGGTACTGAAGAACAGACTGGCGCGGATTCTTATCCATATCAACAAGTGATATATATGTAGGAAAATGACGGGACCTAAATGGGCCACGTGTACAAGCAACAACGTTGTTGCCGGGCTAAAGGAATGGTTTATAGGTGACATCAGTCCTTTCGATTGGGATGCTTGGCTGTGCACGACACGCACAGCGTGGAATCTCACGTATACTGACAGGGACTAATACATAAGACATGTGCAGCTCGTGAGTTCTAACTCTTGAAAGCTAAGCGATTAGTAGTTTAATTAGTACACCAACAAAGCAACTCAAAAGCCATTAAGATAATATTTCGCAATTAGGAATAGCTCTTAATCCTTACATTCAAAACACAAGTGGAAAATTTAAAAAAGCTCTAAACAACTCTTGAATCTTACCTGGGTCGGTGGGAACCACCACAAAACCTAACAAAATTTAATGGCAATCGCAGTTATTTCAGGACATGAAGCCAAATCAATAATTATTCCGAAGAGACAAAAGGATTAGAAAGTCAACCATCTGTCCAAAAGTAAAATGCTTTTTCTGATATTACCCCGTTTCTCTGGGAGGAGTAAAAAAAGGACTCGGATGGCCAGGTTCTTAGCTACGCTTCTCATTTCACAGGCAATCAAAAACAATGTCATAACTCATGATTGTGATACTGATTATACATTAACCATGCACATATTAGATGATCTTGATGCTGATCGGAGGCCAAACTCTGAAGCGAACTGGGTTTACCAGGTTATTTCAAATTCTTGAACTTTCAAAAGTTGTAGTTGATGAGCTGATACCTCATGAATTTGGGTGTCAAAAGCATTAGGCATGTCACAGCATTCGGCAGGTTGGATTTGGACCAAGGATCCAACCAGTAATATGAAAAAAAAAAGAACAGGACAGAGAGAGAGACTAAGCTCGTGTCACGTTTTTCTCTTAAGCAAGGATTAAAATAGGCAAGCAAGACTGACTCAATACATCTGGCTAAAGCGAGTCTCTCCGATAAACAAACCAGAAGTTAATCAAGTTATAGACGTAATATTGGGACATCAATCATTTTTAAATTAATCATATCCACTGCCAAAGACAAGATAGTAGACAATGAGCTGAAGTCACCCAATAAACAAAAAGTAACTCATATAATATATATTAATTGATTCCTAGCTAGAAATAAAATCAGCTTCCCTTTTTCTTTTATATATAGGGACTGTTGTCATTTAACAGACTCCAGGAACTTTTTGTTCTTTTCCGGCAAAGTATATAAAGTTGGAAATATGACCAGGTTCGGCAAAGATAAAGTATTCTTCATTCTAGTTTCATATGAATCACGTAACAATTAGCAGAAAAAAGAGGGAACTGGTCGCCATCTCACACAAAAGCCGAACAAAATAATATTATGGAAGAAGCGGAATATATGGATGCTTTCAGACACTGTTTAATTTTTCCGAATTTTAGCAGAACCGAGAGAGAGAGAGAGAGAGAGAGAGAGAACCTGAGTCCCAGTTGGAGAGAGCAGAAAATCACGATCTTCGGAGGCAAGAAGGGACGAGAATCTAGAGCTTGACAAGTTTCCCGAGTGTCCATTGCTCAACAAAGCTCCAGCAGGCCCATCCTTCGTCGTCGTCTCTGTCCTCATCTCTCTCTCTCTCTCTCTCTCTCTCTCTCTCTCGCTCTCGCTCGCACGCTGCCTCCCTCTGTCTATCACTCTGTATGGGGCTCAAGCCCTTGGCTAAATGGGGAGCGAAAGCAACATCAGACGCGAACTGATGTGTTGTCCGAAGAACCACATTCTTTCCACGTCATTACATCCTGTTCGTCCTTTATCGTGCATCACACGTTGCAATCATCGGCAGTACCGAGACACAGCTAGTATGCGTTGCATACACATTGAGGATGATACCGAGGTGTATAAATACGGTCTAGATTGCTCGATACAATGCTGCCGATGATCCAGCGGCTGAGATGAGAGAGAACGGGTCCGTGGTGTCATAATAGAGGTTTGATGATGATGATTAGACTATGGGGACACCTGTCAATCCTTTTAAGTTCCTTCGCTTTTCTGTCACGACCTTTCTCCGCTGAACAGTGAAAGCATTTATTTTCCACAGTAACGTGGCAAGTGCACACTCGTACGAACGAATGATTCTAAAAATACGTTAATTAATTAATTAATATGCGACTTCACTCATCTCATTTATTTACAAGTTCTAATATATTTAACAATAATTTTAAAAAACTTAAAATTCATTAAATATGTTTAAAAATTTAATATTATTTCTCTTGCACATGCTTTAATAATATGTTTTTTAATATTTAATAGAGATTGAATGAAAAAAATTATAATAAAAATTAATTAGATAATTTGTAAATTTTAAATTAAAAAATATGAGATTTTACTAAACTTAGTCCTGCCTTCTTTCTCTGCTAATCCATTTTCATTTTTTAATTAAAGACGGGGTGGTAATAATTTGTAATTTTTCCATTCCTTTTTATCTACGATCTTACTTACATATTCTAGAAACAGTTTTTACTGAAAAGGAATAGTTAAGATATTATCGATACAGGTGTGAAGAGCGCGACCGTTATATTGAAAAAATTATAGTTATAAAGTTTGTTCGAAAATTGATAGTGAATTTTCAATACAATTATAAGGTGCCAGCAAAAAATAAAATAGATCTGGTTTGTTATATTTTATTTGATATTAGATAAGGCATGGTGTATTTTTCATCATGCGTCTTCCACAACGCAGTTTTAAAGAGGTTGAGAGTATAGAAGTGTCATTTTGAATTTGTATATCCATGATCTTGAAAAGACAATACCGCCGTTCAATGCAAGGAAGGAAATTCGTTTAAACTCCTCCATGCTAAGCAAGAAGAATAACAGAAAAACTCCTTTAATTTTGCAACACGTCGTAATAATAATGAGTTCTCAAAAAAAATTCAAATTAATTTTTTATGTAAAATCATTTGAATACCCCAATAGCTAATTTTATTGGCTCACAAGTTCATTATAAGTATTTGAAAGTTTATTTCCAACAATGACTGAAATAATTTAAAAAATTATAACTTTTTATCATAAATTTTTTTCATTATGTAAAGTTCAGTTAGTTTTATATCGTATACAAGTTTAATATGAGCATTTACAAATTTGATTCCATCAATAATTAAAATAATTTAAAAAATCATAACTTTTTATCAATAAAATCCATCTAATTTTAGATTATCAATAAATTTGATGTAAATATTTACAAGTTTAATTTGACTAATAACTGAAATAATTTAAAAAATTACAACTTTCTAAATTATAAGGATATGTCAGAATAATTTTACATACAAATTTAATATCAAGAAAACCCTTGAAACCTCGCTGCTATTATTACATTTCACAAAACCATATTATTATTATTATTTCAAAAAGATTGATCCATGATTTCCCCTGCAAAGTATTTACTCAGTTAGACAAGACCAGGCAACCGAGTGAAGCTTGGCATGAGCAGAAAAGTCAGGCTCTTAGCATCTAAGCGAGTCATCAAAGGCTCAATTCGCACCCTTGCGTACATCATTTACGGAGATCCCTTCCTCTCCACACTTTCCGCGAGAGAGATACGGATTACAGGACCGTTTATTTTTAAATTTAAATGATCCAAATTTAATATTTTTACTATAGCAGTTCAGGGGAGTCTCTCTACTTTAGATAAAGTACGCTTCTTATGTTTAAAAAGTATGTAACCGATAAGGATAGCCGTAATTGATAATACTTAGGGGTCTAATTTTACTCATCCTGCGTCCCCAATCTTCACCATTTCTCGGCCCCACCACTCAGTTAACTTTCAATGACTCAGATTTAACATTTTATAATATTGTCATCGTGGTAAATTAAAAAATTGATAAATACTAAATCTAGAATATTAAAATTTGATGGGAATGGAAAGGAAAGGAAGGGGATCCCTTCCCCTGAAGTAATAACAGAGACAACGTCAAATTAATGATGGGGACTTCTTCGGCACACCTGGGCCTTGACAATTAGGAAATTGAACACGGACTGATTTGAATGCCCCCTGAGATCCACGTGTCAGCACGACAAACCCAACATAGATACACAGTTGAAAATAATTAAATCTATAATTTACAAAATTGTCCGATCAACTTTTTTATTATGATATAAAAAATTTATTGTTCAAAAATATATAAATACTTTTAAATATTTTTTGAAATTTGAAACATGTGCTCGTTAAAAACTTTTAGCTTTTAGGGGACCGACGCTCAATTTATCTAAATCTTTTAATAATAAAAAATTTTCAAATACAAGAAAAGAGAGCACAATAAGCTGATAATTGAGCGAGAGTGGGAAAGTTTCGTGCACTGAAAGGTGTGTTCCGTGGCTCTGACTGTAAAAGTATAGTCTACGGGCTGATCTGCAAAATTTTAAGTGGCTGAGTTGAAAAGGCTCGGGCAATAAATTGTCATGATGTACGTAAAAGTTACGGCACGTGTAACCTTTTTTAATGTTAGCTTTGCAATTTGTTATTTATGAAAGCAATATGTATATATATCCACATGTATTTAAAAAAAAGAAAAAACATATACCGTCATACCGACCATTTTATTCAAACCAAAGAACAAGAATTTTAAATTCATCGTGACTTTTTATGCATCATCGATGGTAAAGAACATACTCGAACGCGTTAAAAAGTATGAGTTTTACCTGTTGTCAAAAAAATTCATATTTTGAACAGCCGAACATGTTTCCCAATGTATATGGTTTCTGTAGATGAGCAGTTAACAATTATTAACGCATAACGTTAGGATTTACTCCTTGAATCTAAGATTATTGAATAATTATTAAAAGAGAATAGCAGCTAAAAGAAATGTTATGATGAGATCCTCGTTTAATATTAATCTCATTATAAGGTTCTCAGTTATCATTCTCCCCAATGTTAGATGCGCTGTCAAATGTTTCTTTTAATAATTAATACTATCATTAAAAAAATTATATTAGACATGAATTATGAATGATGTAAATATTTTTTGTAAGTTAGATGTGATGTTTGAACAATAAAAACTAAACATGAAACACTAAGTCTAAAGGCAATTATAGAGTTCTCGAGTTTTCTTATTTTAATTTATTCAAATATGAAGGCACAAAAAAATTAAAAAAATGTGTTTTAATTAATATAAAAATAAGATATAAAGTTGCAACGATTACAATTTGAAGACTGAAAATAAATTCAAATCTAAATCAAGAATAACTAATAAAGAAAAGCTATGAAATTTGGTGTACTGTATATCTGGCCATAATAATGACAGTGGTGGTGATAGTAATCCCCTTTTTTTAATTATTTGGCTAAGCTTGTCGTGCCTGAAAAATTCAGAGTTTGTGTGCAAAATATCAATGATCACTCAGCACGGTCTTGCAATATTCATGGCACGTCAAATAATATTATCATGTTTTTTCAACAATCTCCCGTGCTCAATCACTCTAGATTTTAAATGTTATGGTGAGAACATGCAAGACACAACTCCTTTTAATAACGGACCAAGCCTCTATTGTCACTTGGACCTATCCTTTCAATGTTATTCCCTTTTGCGATTTTGGTTTTAAACCAAAAGAGTAATTTTTTTTTTAGTTTTCATACAACATATATGTTTATTTGGTCGTTAGAAATTAAGGCTTATAAAAAACAATAATATAATTACTCAAGTTACTTTTGAACAAAACATAATTATTTAAATTGAAAAATAAAATTTAGATCCGATTGTGATTGATGAACTTAAATAGAAGAGATGCAATTTGAAGGTTTTACTATGCTTCTAACATGAAAGGGCAATAAAACTTTGGAGAATGAACGAAAAATCAGAGGCATGGGAATGATATGGAAAAATGCGATCGACATTCAATATAATTGGTGGGTATAAAAATGCGGAGCAAGGTTTGAAAATTGAAATTGTGAGCAGAGGGCATCGGATTCTTGGTGGGGAATACGGTAAGTAGGGTGATGCAGGACCAGCGTGGAAGAGAACGAGATGTGTACGGATAGGGACACGTATTGAAAAAGGCCGGACAGGTGTCAGCAGATGCGTGAGTCGTGGAAGTTGTTGTCTTTCAATTATTTGAACCTCGGGGGTGGGCCCACAGAGGCCTCGACACGTCGACGATGCGAGGCAGAGGCAGTCCTTTGGATTGATGTGAGAAACCAGTAAGGCAGCTGCTAAGGGACGCGTGCCCCTTTGGGAGGATCTGATTCCATCAATTAGTGTTCCTCCCCTGCCGTCCGCTTCCTCCGCCCATGTACCAATGTACCCTGTACATCTGTACTCTGATGTACGATCCCCCTCAGTACATTAATAATAGAGCCGTGTCCCTCGTGTGTTTCATAATTTATAATTGTATGTTTTTCGGACATCGTCTTTGTGTTATTTGAGTTCAGCCCAATATTTTTTCTGACGACCAAACGAGCCCAATAATTGTAACCTGCATCTTGTCTTGGACTATTAGTTTTAGATAACGTCATGCACATCAATAAAAATGAAAAATGAAATTTTATAAATTTTTTTTAAATATAAATATAAATTTTTAAAAATATTCTTCATTCATTTAATAAAATTTTAGAAATATACACTTAATTATTATACTGTAATCATTGTAATTCTCTCTTCACTTAAATAGTTATATTGAAAAATTATTGCTAGTGAAATTTTATTTTTATTAAATTGTTTTATATTTCAAGACAACAAAATATATCAAAACTCGTGTTATGGTTTGGGGTAAAGTGAGTGCTAATTTACATCATCATATTCATAATCCTAAATAACACAAAAATAT